CATAAATTTCGTAAATTCTAAAAATTCCAAAATGTTTAATTCTAAAGTCTAAACAATCCTTTTGAAAACATTTTTCTCAAAATTTTTTTAAAATTGTCTAAATCAAAATAACGTTTTTTTAACAAGGTTCTCCTAAAAAGCTGAAATTCTGATAACGTAAAACCTGTAATAGAAAGGCCTCCACACTGTCAAGCTGAATTATCTCGGCTCCTATAAGAGATATCAAAAACGTTTCAACTAATAAAATGTTTGTGATATTGTGATAAACAATTTGTTAGTTGACAACTTTTGGATATCTTTGACAGAAATCTAAATAAATTGGCTCGAAGTTAAATGTTAGGGGCCTTTCTATTAAAGATTTTACGGTAATTCTAAAAATTCGAAAAAGCAAAGAAAATTTTGAAAAAAAGTTTGAAAAATTCGAAAATCTTGAAATTGTTAAAAATTCGAAAGATATCGAAAAATCTTATGAAAAATTTTTAAAAAATTATTTTAGATCAGCATTTTTTTTCGAAATTCTCAATTTTCAGACAGTTAAACAGGGATCCTAAACAATGTCAGAGTTCAAAGGACCACACAAAAATTGCAATTTTGAGAATCATTGCAAATCGAAACTCCGGGACAATCAACAAAAAGAAAGGATGAGAAACAATTTTTTAAACTTTTAATCCCAAAAACTCTCATAGTCCTGATTTTCTAATTTTAGCACAATGGAGACATAGTAGTAGTGGTGGTAGTGGGGAAGTATCAATAGACAGCCAGAAGGAGAGCACCAGGTGGTACCTGAGGGATGGACCAGGATAAGATGGGATTGAAGGGAGAAGGAGGAAGACACGCAGAGAGGAACAATGTTTTTCATTAGGTTAAGTGAGCTTGAGTGGTCACTTCCACAAAACTTAAATTTTTCAGCTTCTTTTCTAACGGGACTAAACCTCCTGACCTCCGATTGCCCTCCACCATCGCCTTTTCTGCCCACCACCCTTTACCGAGGTGAAACCCAGGAACGTCGCCAGAAGACTTCAAAATCAGAATTTCGGAAAACCAAAAGTTCGGGCATCAACTAACCCACAATTCTGATCTATCTGTCCAGGTTTCAGCTTGATCGGTTAACTTTGAATGGGTGATAAGGTGAGCCACATACATACGCATATACAGAATCTGCTAAATGTTATCAGTAATGATAAGCTTCTAGAAGGTGTTTTGAAAAATTCCAAAAATAAAAAGAAGAAAAATCTCTCTTCGAATTCAATTCGAATCGCCAATTTTGGATTCTCAAGGGCATATTTGACTGCGAGAAAAAAATGTGTACTACTGAGAAGGGAATTCTCTTCTTTTCTCAATTTCTGAAGAGCACATCGATCGGAAAGATGAAAAAAAGAAAAAAAAAGAAGAATATGGGATGGGAGAGAGAAAGACTGACTACACACAATTTTTTCTTCCTATTTTTTTCTCTTCTGAAGAGAAGAAGACTCTTCTGGAGAGGAGGCAAAAAAAATGGGAAGGGATGGAGGTGGGGGTGGTTTGGAAATGAAAACGAAAGAAAATAGACGGCACTCTCTCTCTCTCTCTCTCTCTCTCTCTCTCTCTCTCTCTCTCTCTCTCTCCGTTTTTCACAGAGAAACGACCCCGAGGGGTCCCTTCAGGGGAGGGACCCACTCCCTCTCTCTCTGACACTTGAGAGTCTGGTTGAGGAGGTTTTTTGGGATTCGAAAAGAGAGAGAGAGGGAGTGAAATGTGTATACGTTTCGGACGGAGGGTGGTTTGCACTTTTGGGAGCCACTGGGGAGAAAGGGGCCCAAGAACAAGGAAAATGGTTTTGAAAGATATTGAAGGATAATGATGGCATGTGTTAGTGAAAATTTTATGATCTGCGAGAATATGGGCTGGGAGGGTCTATGGAGATACCAGATAAACAAAAGGGCAATCATTGATAGAGTTGGATGTATAGTACAGGTCAATGAGATTTGTGAAAAGTAATTTACAGTTGATTTTTAGCATTTTCAGGAGTCTGGAACTCGGATTTCAAGTTTCGTATCACTTTGAAAACTTTGAATATAAATTGAAAACTATACGTTCACCTAATTTTTTTAAAATTCCTATTTTTGCCGCTTTCGGAAAACACCCCTTATTGGCCAGTTTTTGTACTGAAAACGTGAAAAATAGGTGTCTCGCAGTAATGTGGAATACCAGAAAACCCAGGAATTTTCAGAAAATTTTTTTAATGCAGATACCGTAGACCAGTTACCTAGTTCTTGGACCGTTTTCAATCCGTTTTTGACTCAATCTGAGTTGGTTTAAAATAATTTGGATGTTTTTGAGATGGAGCCTGTAATCAGTCTGCCCATCCTGAAATTACCATTAGTACATCTTTGTAGATTTAAAGAGCACATTCAGCTGTGTTTCACACTGAGTAGAGAACAATGAGGGTCCAAAGACAACCTTGAATGACGAATACCGTCCTTTAATAAGCTCAGTGGTCTGGAAAAACCCAGGGTCATCTATCCCAGAAGTGACCTAACTAGGAAAAATAGTCTTTATCTCTATGATGGAAAGTTTCAGAACATCTGGAACAGTTTGGAATGGTCCGATACCTAACCAATGTATCAGAAATTCCAATTCGTGAGAGCCTGGGAGGAAGAGAAGTTTTACTGGAATGATCTCTCATTTGTCATAATTCATTCATCATTTTTCTTCATATCAAGAATCAAGTCGGCCCCTCGTTTTCTATGCCTAACATCATTTGAATTCCTCATCCCCCACCACCACCACCACCACATCATATCAAATTCATGGGCTCTCTCTCCCTCCCTCTCTCTCTCTCTCTCTCTCTCTCTCTCTCTCTCTCTCTCCGTGCCCATGACCCAATTATTCATGCAAAATGTGCGTGTTAGTGGGGTTGAGCCAAAAAAATGCTGATCTCAAATATCAAGATTTTTTTTTCCAATGCGAAGGAGGAAGAAAAAAATATAGAAAAAGAAGGAAGACTTAGAATTTAGGGATCCAGGAATCTGAGAGAATATCCGAAAATTCAAAAAAAGATAGACATTCCGAAGAATTATGAGAATTTAAGAATATATTTTCTTTATCCTGAATAATTCTAGAAAATTCAGACTTCTGAGATTCCAAGCTTATCAGAATTTTGAAAATTCTAAGAATTAAATAAAAACCACAAAAAATTCTACATAGGAAATTTAAAGATCCCAAACAGTCAAGAAAATTCCGACGACTTTCAAAAATATTGAAAATTAAAAATATTGAAAATTAAAAAAAAAGATAAAGCTGTCATAAACTTCTGCATATTCTATGATCTCAAAGTGTCGCAAACAGGTTTTTCTGCTTAGAAAAAAATTAGGAGTAATTTCGGACAAACAGATTCACAGACAGATGCCTAAACTTAAAATGGGTGAAAAAAAGAAGAAAAACTCAAAAAAAAATTGTTTAGCTTTATATTTTTAGCCCTAGGGCAAAAATAAGAAGATAATTAAAAGGAAACACTATTTCTGATTAAAAAGTGGGAAAACAATTTTTTGAAACTTTCAAAATTTTCAAGGTTTTTTTTTAAAATTTCGGAATTTTTAAACATTTTGTACACTTTACTGAACAGTCTTTGCAAAAAGAAAACTCCAGACAATATCGAAAATTCATGAAAATTAGCTCATTTTCTTTCAAATGATCTCTAGAAATGATCATAGAGTCTTTGAAGAAAATATGAAAGAATAGGTGATTAACTTTTATGATCCTTCATCTATTTTTTTCCATTCATCTCTCATTGACGCAAATTCTGGATAATCCTGAACAAAATCTGGCTATTCTTTGCCTTTTTTCAGAGAAATCAAATATGAGAAAACTGTGAGGTGGTGGGGAGGTTATAGAAAATTTTTGAAAATTAAATTTTGAGAACAAACACTAGTATTTCTAAAAATATCGAAAATTTAAGGAGTAAAAAGTTCCAAGATCCTAAAAAATATATAGGAAATTTTCCATAATTCTAGAAGTTCTATTAAAAAAAATCTAAAACTCTAGAAAATGTTTTTTTTATTCAAAAGTTTTGAAAATTCGAAAAGATCCCTTTAGAGAATTCTGAGTTTTTTTTTAAATTTCAAGTTTGATGTTTCAAAACCTATTTTTTTCTCAAAAAAAAGAAGAGGATATGTAATCTGAAAAGGAGGAAAAAGAAAGATTTCCTGATTCATTCAGAGGGAAAAGGAAAGGATAGATGAATCCGAAGAAAAATGATAATGGGAAAAGAGATAAAAAACTAATCATGAGCTTTTTTCCCGTATTATTTTTTCTCACTTATAGATCACAAAAAAATTTTTTTAGACAGTCATGACCCAGAAAAAATTAGGTCATGACCTAGAAAAAACTAGATCATGACCTAGAAAAAATTAGGTCATGACCTAGAAAAACTATACCATGAAATTTGTTCACGACCTAGAAGAAAACTAGTTCATGACCTAAGAAATCTAGGTCACGACCTGAAAAATCTAGGGCAAGATAAAAAAGTATAATTTGGAAAATTGAACAACATTTCCATAAACTTTGTTCATGTATTGAATTTTTGGATTTTTAAAAAATTTTGTCTCAGATTTTTTTGGAATTTCAGGAACTCAAAAACTGCTCAAAATTCGTAATATTTTTCACTAGAATTTTGAAAGTTTCGGAACTCAGACCCTTTTTATATTCGGCTTCACACACACACATGTTTCTGTTAAAAAATTTATCGAACTTTTATTATTTTCATGACGTCTGAAGAGAAAAAAGAATAAGCAGGTGTGATGGAAAACTTTTTGAGATTTGATTTGATCCGATTGGAAGAAAATTCTAGAGAATTCTAGAAAATTCTAGACGAGAAAAAAAATGTTATGAGTCAATTTGAATATTGAATTAAGATTCAAAAGGACTCATATCAATTTTTTCTGTCGTAATCTGAGATTTTGTTGAAAAAAACTGTGATTAAAAAAATTCAATAAAAACTTGAAGAATTCAAAATAATTTTTTTAATTGTGCAATTGAGATTCCCGCTTTTTCATTTCAGCAACTTGTTGAATGATTCCCTGTTCCTCAGCTAAAGACATTGGTTTTTTGGAGGAAATCTAAAAATTTGAATGCGGAAATTTGGAAAAAAAAATACCGTAAACACTCTAATAGAACGCCACCCGGAACGTCAAATTTGAGCCCATGTATCTCATTTTCTGTAAGAGATATCAAAAAGTGGTCAACTAATAAAATTTTGCTGGTATCACGATAAACAATTTATTAGTTAAAAACTTTTTGATATCTTCCGAAAGATGTAAGATATTTAGGCTCAAAGTGGGCAATCCGGGTGGCGTCCGATTAGAGTGTTTACGGTATGTTGGGTTCCTCACCATCTTCAACATTTTCAAATGGAAAACCAATGTTCCTTGAGACTTTGGCATTGTCTTCTGGAGCATTTGATAGCACTTTTTGAAGTGAAATTTTCCACATTCTTGAATTTCGCGGCTTTTCCCTTTTCCAAGTTTTGAAAACAGGAATCTTCTCAAATCTTTCTTGTACTTGATTGTCTTCTCATGATACGCATGCTTTATATGCTTTCTATGAGTTTTCGAGCGAAGGATGTTGTGAATTCTGAAATTTCAGATGTATTGGAAAAGTTTAGAAAATCCAACTTACGTATTGATAGTGCGGAAGTTCCGGAACTCTCTTCTTTCTTGACGACATCTGACTTTCAAAAGGTTTCTGTTTCTTTCGTGTTGTTTGAAACTGAAAATTTTGAAATTTAATTATCTTGTTTTTTATCACGGCTATCAAAAAGTTGTCAAATAGTAAAATATGTAAAATTGAATTTCACATATTTCAGTAGTTAATTAAGTCTTGTTATCTTTTAGGAGCTAAGATAAAGATGACCAAAGAATGCAAAGAAGGACGCACCACCACCGACACGACGCTAATTATCTTGACTACGGGGAAATCTATAGTAAAGTTATGGCTCCGCTTCACTTCGAAACCGGTCATTTCGAAACCGTGGTGATATAGGCCAATGGACAAATTTCAGACTACAGAAACAACTTTAGGGTTTTCAATTTTGCTTTTTCTGATAAAACAAATTCTGAAAATCGAAAAAATCCAAAATTAGATGTTTTCAAAAGTCGAAAAATTCTTGAATTTGTCGATCTTCAGAATGTGTTCTATCAGAAAAAGCATATTTGACAATCCTAAAGTTGTTTTTGGAGTCTGAAACCTGTCCATTCGCCTGCATTACCAAGGTTTTGTACCGGTTTCGAGTGACGCTGAGCCAAAGTTATCAACTATTGAAAAGCGAAACATCTAAATTTTCAGAATATATTAATTTACCGTTTTCTTGTATCTTAAAGTTGAGCCGCCGTAAAAAATAATATAGAAGGACCCCCTCACTTGGAACTTTGAGCAAATTTTTCTCGATTTCTGTCAAAGATATAAGGAAGTTGTCAACTGGTAACTTGCTTATCATAATATCAAAAATATATTAGCAGTTGACACATTTTTGATATCTTTCATATGAAACGAAATAATTAAGCTTTGACAGCGTGGGGCCCTCTTATTACAGGTTTTATGGTAATTGAGGCCCGAGTAAACACACTAATATTTTTGTGAGGTTTACAAACTGTCTTTGCCGATTTTCAAAATTTGAACTCAAAATAAGTAAGTACTCACCAATAAAGATAGTTTGAGTTCACGAGAAGCCTCTTCAATTTGTATGGCTCCAGAACAACATTCTCTGGCAAAGATGCCTTGAATCGTTTCAGGTAGTCCCTTCCATTCTCCATAGTCACTGCTCTCCATCTTTCAAATGATAGTTGCTTCAAGTGACCCAAATCCATCTCAAGGATCTTCTCGAATACTCCCTCCGACAATTCCATATCGGCAATGATTATGTTTCGGATTCTCTCAAACTTTCTGGAAGCATTGAGCTTTAGGCAACTGATGGCATATCTTAAAAACAACAACTTACGCCAAATGAGTATCCGCAGAAAATCTGGAATTTCTTGCTAGATGGGTAGCTGGTTTAATGGCACCGGTTCCTCCATACTTGTACATGGTCACCGCGCTACTGTCCTCGCAACCCTGAAACAAATTAATAGTATTGTTCATGAGATCTCTGGCTTACCTGAAGCTTCAAATCAACCATCACAGTATCATACTCCTTTTCTGGAGTCATATTCTCAATAACATTCTCAAAATGACTGCAGACTCTCTTCAAACTCAACAAATTTCTCACTGCGTACTCTTCTTTCTTCAGATACCACACACTATTTTCCTCTGGCAAGAAGAAACGAAATGATCCGCTTTTCATTTTCAGATACTTTTCACTGTTTGCAGTCAGATAATGAAGGTATTGGGGTGGTGGTGGGTTGAATGATTTGGTTCCAACGTAGGAGAGGATTTTGGCAAGAAGCTGAGGAGGAATTTCATTGATATGGTTTCGTGGATTTATAGTCACTGGTTGGGAGTTGTCGGAGGTTTGCTGAAAATGTTATAGTCAATATTAAGGTAATGGGAATTTTATACTATAAGGATTTCCCTAACATGAGGTTCAGGGTAACTAATTGAATTTTATATGATTAGCTATATCTTCTGAGAATCTATTGTTATCTTTTAGAATTATTCGATAAGTCGGTTTTGAAGAGAGTTACAATATGTAAAGTGATCATAACTTTTAGAGAGAGTTTCGGGGATTCAGCAGCAAGGAATCATACTTTCGATTGAACTTTATATAATTGCGTAGATCAGTACAAAATCTATATTTCAGTTTTTGAATCTCTTAAAAATGATTATTCTGAAGAAGGTTACGACTTTCGAAGTACGCGATATTTTTATCTATTTTTTTATATTTTTTCAAAAAATTCGAAAAAAAACTAAAACCAAGCGATTTTTATATCATTCTGTATATCTTTGCAAGATCTACAACTCCCGTTCAAAATATCTTCCAAAAATGCGATTAAAGGAGGCCAGACACCAAAAAAAAAAAGTTTTCCTGATGTTTTGCCTGGAGAACCCACATGAGGAGTTGAACTCATGCTGGACAGCTCAGGGGTACAGCGCCGCTACCGGCTGAGCTACGGGGACGCGAAGGCGCCTGCCGACCGATGGCCTACATAAGCGCGGCGCGATTTCGTCCCCCAAACTGTTCCCCAAAATTTTTGCTGCCTGGCCTCCTTTAAACCAAGTTACGATAATTTTAGCCTATACATACTCACCATTTCATCTGGTACTCCAATTCGTCTATCACTTCTCACCGCATCCCTGACATAGCGTCTTATGTTCCGAGCCAATTGTTCGTTCCTTTTTGTCGCCATGGTTTGAGCTGAAAATCGATTGAATCGGAATTATGATGGCTCGAAAAATCACAGAAAAAACATTGATTTCCAGATGTTCGCCCAAAATAATCGGAAAAAAAGAACGCGCGGGAAACAACTGATTCAAACGAACACAACACATCAGTGATGGTTAGACGCAGTGAGGTTACATACTCTTCGTCACACACTCTCTACCTCTTCTCTCTGCGTTTCCTCTTTTTAAACTATCCTACTATCTTCTCTGCGTCTCTCTCATCCGTCGGAGAAATTCTCCGAGAAAATAGTCGGAGACACCGACTCGGAGGAAATTTTATACAACTCGTCTCGTATCGATTTTCTCGAGAACCATTCATATATACCTACACTGCTGACTAAAAATCTTTATTAGGAACATGACAATTTTAGTTGAAAACTGTCAATGTAGGTGTCTGAAAAATAGAATTTCTGGAATTATGAAACAAATGTAGATCTTTATTTCTGTATTTCAAAACTTTTTCGTAGTCATTTTCCAGGAACAACTGTACACCCTTATTGACACCAATGTTATTGGTAATTTTGAAATCTTAGAAGTTTTTTTCTTAACATGATGTACCGTAAAACCTGTAATAGAAAGGCCCCCACACTGTCACGTTTGAGCTCAATTATCTTGGTCCGTATGAGAAATATCAAAAATGTTTCAACTAATAAACATTTTTGGTATTATGATAAACAATTTATCAGTTGACGATTTTATCTAATCTTTCACAGGAACCGAGATAAATTGACCTAAAGTTAAAAGTTAGGGGCCCTTCTATTACAGGTTTTACGGTATCTTTAGAGCAAGTTGTTGTAGAAAATTTTTCAACAGTCCTGAATTTTTCAGAAACTCGAAATTCACCATTTTCCACTAAATTGATCATTTTCAGATTGGATTTTGGCCAGCACTGTATTCTTATATACAGACCTACAGTTTCTGCACACTATTTCATTTTTTCCCCTTTTTACAAGTCATTCAAACGTTTCAGAATGGGAAAATATTCAAAATATTTGGAATATCTGGAAGACGGGAAGATGCGATGCTTGATTTGTCAACACACTTTCAGCAAACAGAAAGACTCGTGTACAACAGTTTTGAACTACCATTTCAAGAAGAAACATCAAAAAGAGTGGAACGATGTAAATTTTACAAGCTAATTATCAATTACCCTTTGATCCTATTTTTCTCGATTCCTGTGAGAGATACCAAAAAGTGGTAAACTAACAAAATGGTCATCATAATATTACAAGTATTTTGTTAATTGACAATTTTGTGATATCTTTTACACGAACCGAGAAAATTGGCTTGAAAAGTGCAACTCTATTTTACTGTGTTTTTAATTAACAGATAAACGGGATTTGTGATGATGAGGAGGAGCCAGCGGCAAAGCATCCAAGGGCAACTGCAAATTCACCAGAAGATGTGAGAGCTTCAAAAATCAATCGCGCGTTTATGCAATTGGTTGCTGGAGCATCCCTGCCAGTGAACTTGCTAGAACATCCTGCATGGAAAAACTTTTGCAAAGTTGCAATTCCAAAATTCCAATTCAACTCCCTATTTCAACAGTCAGAACTTCAAAGTTTGTATATTGAGTACGAATCGAAGATTAGGCATGATTTATTGAAAGTGTGGCATGTGTCAATTGGTATTGATGAATGGGCAGACAGTGAGCAGCGAGGAGTTGTTGTTTTCTATCTAGAACACAATCAGTGGACACATCGAGTTCTTGGAATTGTCGAAAATTCTCCGGAAAAAAATGCTGAAGAACAAATTGAAGACATTTTGCAATCTTTTGATTTAAAAGGTAAAATTTGTTCAGTCATTGTCAGAGGTTCGAAGACTTTCAAACTGGATTTTCCGCTTTTTGAATGCCTGGAAAACAACCTAAATTTCGCTATAAACGAAGGATTTGACAAGCTGTCAACTTTTCAAAATGTCTATGACAAAATCCAAGATATTGTCGACAGGAAAGAAGAAACCAGTGAACAATTTGGGGTTGAGAAAGTTTGTTTCGAAACTTCTCCTATTTCTCAAAAGTTTAACGCTTACAGATACGATGGATGACAATTCATGATTTATTCGAAAGAGCTCTCCAACTCCGCGAGGTTATCAACTTTTTGACAGAAGAAAATATTCATAAGATCACGAGCAGCGATTGGGATACTGCGGAGTCTGTAGTTTCGATTCTTCAACCAATTGTGGATTCAACTGTCTTGATTCAAAAAAGTGGCATGACGAGTAGTGCAATCATTCCCCTTTGTAAGGTTTTGATACGAGAATTACACGATATGAAGGAGAATCCAAATGTTTCCGAACCGATTGTAAAACAGATTGAAGTGGAGTTGAAGCAATATGAGTCAAATGAGTTTCTTCAGTTTGGGATGATGCTCGACGTTCGGTTTAAGGTTTGAAAGACGCTTTTTTGAACTGTTAAACGGTATTAGAAGGTTCCTTCTATTAGAGGGGGCCCTTCAATTTCAGGGACCCTTCTATTCTACCTATCTTTTTTTTTCGAAAAATTTTTACTTAAAAATTAGGCGGCCCCCAACTATATTTCCAAGTCCTTCCATTAGAGATTTTATGGTAACTAGGGCCGTTCTAATAGAGGTTTTACGGTAACTTATCATGCTGTGTAGCTATGAAATTGGAAAATTTCAGGATTGTTTCGCCGAGGATGAATGGAAAAATAAGTTCTCTCAATTTCTTCTAGATCGATGTGATGAAGATGACGAACATGTCACAGAAGTTGCTGCCGTTAAAGAAGACCCATTTTCCCGATTCATAAATGCCCAAAGGATTGATATTAACAGGACAAGAGGCAATCGAAAAGAGCAAATACTCCTTGTCAGTTAACCTATTTCTTTGGAAAACGATAATTCTGATATTTTAAGGAGTTGCAAAAATGGTTTTTGGATGGAACGAATATGAATGAAAATCCGATCGAATGGTGGGCAAGATCAGCCAGTAAAGAAGCCTATCCCATTCTTCATCGATTCCATTTGAACTATTTGAATGCCCCAGCAATGGGTGCTGCAACTGAGAACCTGTCTTCTACTGATCTTGCTGGATTGAATGATAACAGAAAACTATTGAACTCTGATGATTTTTCAAAGTTTTTATTTTTACAACAAAACCTTCGACTAATGGGTTATGGGGGTCAAGAATGTTAACCACTCCTTCTTTTGTTGTTCCCAGTTTTCAATATAAATTTGTGCTGCTTTGTTGCTTGTTTCAATATAAAGACTTTTTAATCATTCCAAAATTATCAGATTCCAAAAAAATGTATGTCCCCAGATTTTCAAACATTAAAAATTACGACGTTTTGTAGCTCTTTTGGTTTTAGGAGATACCGGAAAACCTGTATTAGAAGGGCCCTTTAAAAAGAAGGACCCCCCCCCCCCTCAATAGAAGAACCCTCCGAGAAGGGAAAAATAAAAGGGCCCTGTAATAGAAGGGTCCCTTCAAAATGTGTATTGAAATCGAACACATCCCGTACGTTTTCAGTGAAAAATGTTCCGGGAATTCCACAATTTGACAGAAACCTTTATTTTCTGATAAAAGACTTGCTCAAATTTGGTGAAATTGACAGATTTTCATGAATTTTGAACGAGAATTCGTCGAATTTTTCGATGAAAAACGTAGGGAAAAATGTCCGGAAAATAGAAGGGCCCCTGCAATAGAAGGGCACTCCGAGAGGGACTTGGAAAAATAGAAAGGCCGTCCCTTCTAATATAGGTTTTACGGTATGCGCCTTTAAAGAGAAGTACGCTCCACTTTTAAAGGCGCATATCTTGAAACCACAAGAGCTACAAAAATGTTGTCAGTTAGAAAAATGAAGGTCTAGTCATTTTTCAATCTGCCTATAAGTTTTCATAAAAATGTGAACAGTTTGAATCAATTTTTAGAAGCTTGAAAATCTGTAAATTTGATTTCTAAAAAATTTGTGATTTCGACTTTTTTATTTTTTAAAAACTGTTCTGAAGAATACAATTTGCAATTTTTATAAATTTCTCAATTTCATTAATTAAAAAGACAATCCCTGCTTTCTCAATCATCGCATTCAGCCCGGTAGATTTTCACCTCCATAGGCTGAAATAAAATTTTTTTTAAAATATATATTTATTTTCTCAAGTTTCCCAAAAAAAATAGACTCACATCATCAACGATCGTTCCATTTATTGGCGATGTGTCATTGAAATTTCCAGAATCTTCTGGTAACGCCGAAGACGTCGTAGAGGATCCAGCTTCGGAGTTTTCAGAATTTTGTTCTGAAAATTAATTTTTTGAAAGTTCCAAAATAAAAAAGAGATACAAACTCTGAATACAATCCTTTCGAATGTTCTCCTCTTCCTCTGAATCTCCAACTTGTCTATCAATTTTCGTTTCATATAGATTTTTTGAGTTTTCAGAGATTATTGTGTTTTGTGGAGGGAATAAAAATTGGATATCTGAAAAACTCATGTTTTAAGCAGTTCTGATAAAATTTAAGTTTCACCTTTAATTTCGATTGGAAAGGTTTCAGCTACCAGGAAAAATCCAAAAGTCCCAAAAACCAGAAAAACTATTGTTGATTTTTGGAACATTTTCTGGAAAATTATAAATTTGAACCAAAGTTTTAAACATGAATTGAAAAAAATAATAGTCCAGAAACTACAAGAAAAAAAAGGACACATCGTCTGTTATTCATCTGGATAAAAAGAAAAAAAAACGAATAAATCAATGATAAGCAGGATTAAAAAGAATCAGATGGATAGGATATGACCTAGATGTTTTTGTCCTTAGCGTTCTTATCTTATCACCTATCATTAGGCGGATTTTTTAAAGGTTAGGAAAGTTTTAAGAAACTTTAAAACGTACCAAAAATGTTCTTTTAGTCAAAAAATCACAATAAATTACAAAAAAAAAGAATTTTAAGAATATTCAGAAAACGTTCAGTATTTATAGAAGCACACATCAGTTAGAGAAAAAGGTGACTCATCATTAATGTGATGATGTAATTTAAAAAGAAAACCAAAAATCAGAAATTTTTGAAATTCCAAAAAAAAGTAGTAGTTGTGAAATTTAAAACTTGGTTTTCAAACATCAATATAAGCTTTTTTGCGCTAAACTCGTAATTTTCAATTTTAGAAAAAATTTTTAAACCCGATTTATGAGAAAATCATCAGTATAAATAAAGGAATGAACCCCAAGAACTGAAGTGATTGCCAAATTTGAAAATTATCACGAAATCTGAATTTTTTGGTCCAAAAAAATTAATTTAAAATCCTATTTATGGGAAAATCATTTTTATAATGGAGTGGAATTTTCTTGTTGACATTCCATTTTCCCAGATGAAAAATCTGTCAGACCAAATTTGATCTACCGTAAAATTTGTGGAGATCAAATTTAATACCAAAAAAGTAACAAGCGAGGAGAGAAGAACGCGGCGGAGGCGCGTCAGTTGAACGTTTCAAGCTGGTATTTTAAAATTCGAATTTTCCGAAAATTCATGTTATTTTTTAGAAGTCCAGTTCCGAATCTTCCCGAAACCATAAAACAACTAGGTCATTTTTTATCGAAAAATGACTGAAAAAGAAGCCAAAAAACCATCATTTTTCTATTTCCTAAAAAAACTCCCACCTACTTAGTCAGCCAGTTTCCCCCAAGTAGAAAGCAAAAAGAAAGAAGTAAAAAAAAACAAAATCCAATCTTCTTCTCTCCCAATCCAAAGCAATTTGGTCAAAAGACAAAATAGAGAGAAAGAGGAAAAAACTGAGAGGATGAGTGTGTTTGTGTTCTTCGATTTCTCTCTTTTTTTTCCCCAATTTTCTTGAGATAGAAAACTTGAGACCTCTTTTCCGGTTTTATTGCCTTCCTCCCGAGTAGTGTGTCCCGATTTTTAATGGACGTCTTCTTTTTTGAAGTTGAGTAAAAAGGACGTTTTTCGATAATGGGTAACTTGAAGACATGAAAAAATAATTGAACTTCGAAATAAGGCCTCCATTCGGTCGGCAAATTCAGCCGACCGACCGACCGAGCTGACCGATCGGTCGGCGCGCCGACCGTTTTCGTGCATTTGTGCGTCAACATGCCAGTGAGTGTTTGCGTACGAAACATTGTATTTTACGACAAACCACTCACTAAATGCCTCGTTTGTCGTTAAAATAAAGCGCTTGTACGCAAATATAGGTATTTTAATGCGCAAAGGCACGAAAACGGTCGGCTGGGTCGGTCGGCGATTTTCGACCAACCGAAATGGAGGCTTCACTTCGATAATATCGAAGACGTACAACATTTTAAATCATTTAGAGGCAATTTTAGTGATAATCCAAATTCTGAAAAAAAGAATTTATTACAAATTTACAGTTTTCAAGCATATTAAAAAACGACTATCAGAAAAACCCGGGTGTGGTGTAACCTGATAGTTTCGAGGTAAATTTTGAAGACAAAAAAGATCATCGAATTTAATTAAAGCTAAATTAGAAATTTTGAAAACCGAAAAATTTTAAAATAATTAAATAATTTTGCTTTCAAATCTCAATAGTCGACTCATTTTTCGAATCATTCGGCGACGAATCCTCATCATGTGAGTCATGCGAATCATGGGATACTGTAGAATCGGCACAAGACGTTTCGGAATTCGTTGGTGATGGTTTGGAGAACAAAAGGAATCGCAGTTTGGCGGCTTCTTGTTGTAAAAGTTGAATTTGACCACGTAGCTGAAGGTTCTCTTGCTCTAGCTTTTGAGCTTTCGACGCTATCGCTTCCTCTTTCTGACGACGAGCATCTCTGGACCGTTTCGCGGCGTCATTGTTCTTTCGACGACGTTCGAAGTAGGCGGAGTCCTGAAATTTTATTGTTTTTAGACATTTTCAGATAAAATATAAATTCTTAAATTACAGAGCTTCAAAGAGAATATAAACATGTCCTACCGTATACACTCTAATAGAAGGCCACAAAAGCCACTAACTTTAATCCCACATATCTCGATTCTTGTGATAGATATCAAAAAATGGCTCACTGACAAAACGTTGCTGATATTATGATAAAAATTTTGTTAGTTGACTGCTTTTTGATATCTTCCACAGAAACCGAGATATACAAGCTCAAAGTTTACGGGGTGGGTGGCCTTCTAATAAAGTGTTTACTGTAGTTTTTTTTACTTTTCGTTTTACCTAAAGAGTGTCAAACGTATTTCAATTTGAAGAATTTTTTATGTTCTACACATATCAAATTTTATTTTTCATGGACAAACTTTGTCTTTAATGAGCTTGTGACCGCCTAGCTTACACCGGTCCCCAACTCAGCCTCAGTAAAAACCCAATCTATCACAATCTCTCTCTTCCCTCCAGCTGATATATCAAATATCAAAAGAAGCCTTTTCTTCTTCTTTATTCAAAAACCTTGGGGTTTCCGAACAGTTGTGTTTTGTGTAACCCCCCAGTTCTCGATGACCACCTCCCGAGGATGTGTAAAATGCGCGACCCTTCCAAAATTAACGATGGATGTAAAAAGTGTGTGCAATATTATGCCTTCTGGTCAGTTGAGAAGAGGCACAGTAATCCTAGCAGCAAGAAAGTGTGAGGATCACTTTGCAAATAGACGCTTTAGAACGGATTCGAGATGATATGTTGCAAAAAAGGGCAAATGACTGGGACCGGTTAGATGAAATACTAGGTATGCTGTTCGCATCTGAGCTATACGGCTGTAACCCTTAAATGGCGCATAGAAGTCGTTATATGAAACGTGGCGTGGCTAGAACTTCTAAAACTAACCAGATTTTAACTCATTTTGAAGTAATTTATGAATTTAGCTCAAAAATTCACATTTTACTGAGCTTGGTTAAAAATGAAACAACTTTTCGTCCAAAGAACCTTTTCTCCTGTTTCAAACGTTTTCCTTTGGATATGCAAATTCGCTCTACCGAAATGCCAAATCTTCATTTGAATATACAGTCCCTTGCAGCGAGATCCAATTGCGTAATCCTCTACCTGACCCGGTCAACCTCTCTTTTCCTATACAATGCACACCGCCCCGTCCGTATATTCAAATTCCGAGAGACAGGTACAGTAGCCCTCTTCCATTGCTCATCATAATTATTGCCGGTTGGCAACAGTTGGGTGGCGCTAAACAATGCCTTAATTGGGGATGTACTCTCCCGCATTTGTGTTTTTTGAATGTGTATGGGGGTGGGGGTTGACGGTAATTATTTATTAGCCGGGACCTGATGCTCATCATATTCTATTCAGACTGTGAGTGACAGCTAGGTGGCTACTGTAGATTAGCATATAAGATTGAACGGCTAATCTTTTGAAAATGAGTTATGCTTCTAGTTCAGGAATCATCAAGTCAAAAACTTTTAATTTAAATTTTAAACCTAATTGTATGCTCTAGAAATCTACTAACCACGATACCTAGCTTCAAGGGGTCTCTAGCTTATGGGGGTTACTCCCTTGTCTTTTAACTGTACCGAGATGGTCCGTTACCCCTCTTACGTCCGTTCCGGTCACTTTTTGGTAACAGACAGTTGTTGCGCAATCAAACAGGAGTCGAATTACGCAACACGAACTTGAGAACACACGTCTTCTGAGTGAGAAGACACTGGCAGAAGACGAGGATAGTATAAACAGAGAAGAGGGGAATATATGGATAAGAACAGTTAGAAGTCTAGTTCTAGAAGGAAATGAGATATAAGAGCGAAAACTGCGAACCTGGGAAGGAAAAGGTGCTCCAGAAGGCTTTAAAATTAGAATTCTCAAAGAATTAAAACGGGTTAACTATGCCGATGATAACAGACGAAGCTAAGAAAAATCACTCCACGAAGCTTCAAACTCAACTATTTCAAATAGTTTACAAAATTTGAAGATTTGATAAAACCTTGGCTCCCTAGCCATATAACTTATAGCTATAGGTACATTAATATGAATCGAAAAGGTATTTACACAACTAACCATAGCTATAACTTCCGTTATCTCATTTTCTAAGAACCACAGTAGTTAGTGGCTCATTAATAAAATGTGTAAAATTCAATTTCACACATTTAATCAGTTAACCATTTTTTGATATCACTCGCTGACGCCTAGATAATCTTCAGAAACACTCACCTTTTTCTCTTCTGGTATTGGACACGACGCCTTCCTAGATGGTGACCGTTGTGGGCTGGAGAACTGCAAACACCATAAGTTAGGGACAACCAAAAAAACAAAGAAATATTCTTGTTCAGTATTCTTTATACTTTTCAGGAAAATTGGAAAAATTCCAGGTTTTTTTTTCTATATTTCTCAAGAACCCACATGTGAACTACTAACGGTAGAAGATCTGCTAGAAACCGGACTGCTACACATAATCTCATCGTCCAATTTGATCTTCTTGGTCGGTGTCAAAAGCACGGACGTTGACGTCGGTAGACCTGCCGAATCAAATGGTACAATTCCCAATGGCGTCTCCAGATTTTTTTGGGATGCTGCAGCGGCTGCAGCAGCCAATCCGGTTAGATCCTGAAATTAAAAATGAATTGAAAATTCGGATTTTCTTCAGAGTTTTTAGCGTTTCCTAATAAGAGACATTTTTGTATTTTCACAAGAACTGTGATACCGTAAATCCTGTAATAGAAGGGCTCCAAAATTTTTAACTTCGAATCAATTTTTCTCGGTTCCTGTCAAAGGTATTAAAAAGTTGTCAACTGATAAGTTGGTTATCATAACATCAGAAGTTACTTGTCAGTTGACAGATTTTTGACATCTTTTACATGAAACCAGATAATAGCACAGTGTTAATATAGTTAGGGTAAAATCCGAAATTACCTGAAACGGGAAACCAAGTGAGCCGAGCAGAGGTTGTGCCTGATTCGAGAACAGTGCGGTGAGTGCTCTGTGAATATCCATCTGTGTGTCTGTTTTTGATTTTTGGGGGCTGAAAATATTGATAAGGCGTTTAGTTTTAGTATTTACAAAGTAATGAAGAGAGGTACGAGTTAGTGATAAGAAGCACATTGATAATCACTAAAAGATACGGTTGCCTGTGGTTACGTATAAGAGGAACATAATATGTTCTGGTGAGACAGGAAATTATAAAAATGTTAAAACACTGGCCAATAACACAGTAACACAACTTTCTTCCTAATCAAAAACTGTGTGTTTTTGAAGCGTTACAAAAGCATCTAGAAATGACTCAATTTGTCTGAAAATCTCAGAATACATTAAACAAAACTAGAGCTCTATTTTGTAATTGGCAGCTTTTTTCGGAAATCCAATTCTGAGGAGATATGGCACGTTGAATGGCGGCGCCGCCAATTGTGAGATCAGAAGACGTGCCTGCTTTATCCATCAAAAATTTGTCAAGAAAGGTGTCAACTACAAAAATACAGTTTTAGTTTTGTTTAGTTTTTTTCTAAAATTCACAGACAAATATAGAGGATATTAGCTGGATTTTGAGAGCCTTAATGCCGAAAAAATGACGGGAAATGTTTAAAGTCTTAAAGAATACGGTATATAGTCTTCTAGATCGAAGGGACCTTAGGATGTTAGGTAATAAAAATTGGAAGCTTTTAAAGAAAAGGGAAGCCTGAAAAATGTTCTTATGAAGCTCCCAGAGATCTTGGATCTCTTGGATCCTTCGGAAAAAAAGAATACCGTAGTCCTAGGACACTGGCACATTCAAAAAACAGCCCCGGGGGTCCCTTGGAGACAGCCTGTTGCACCACCGCCTGTCAGAAAGAGCCCCAGACTGAGTGATTGCGCACATCGGCTGTCTCGAGGGGGGTCTCTTCTTCCCGCCCCCTTGACAAGAGGTCACGACCGGCCAAAGAGAGTGGCAACAGTGCGCAACGGTAGGGGGACAAAATAGTAGAGGAATTGAAGAGAGTGGTATGCGATGGCATTTGAATCTATTCCGGGGGTCCTCTATTCAAATGTGTGCAATGGAATGGGGACCATTTTCCGTCTGTTGACGAGGAGGGGCGGCTCTTCAGAAGGTGTGGGGGGATGGAAGACACGGGGGGTTATATTGTTAGGTAACAGACGGTGTTAGGTAATAATAGCTTATAATTATTTGAATGGAAAGGAAGAGTGAAATGGGTGGAAATAAGGGTTCCAGGATATTTCGAAATCTCTCTAATATATGGTTGAGTCTATCCTCCGAACTTTTTTAGTTTTTGGAACTTTAAGGGATCAAGAGAATTGCATAAATTTAAAAAATGGGACCTTGTAGGAAAATTGAAAATTCGAAAACATAAAAATTTCTAGAAAAACAAGGTTCTAGGTTTCCGTTTTTGAGTGAAACTTAAAGAAATTGAAAGAAATTGAAATCGCCCTCTCCAAAAAATTCCACGTATTGAAAAAATATGAGTTCTCTGGGAAATGCGTCTCTTTGAATGTTTATTGTTGGATAATTTTCACTGGCACCTTCTCTCTGGTAAGAAGCCCTTTGCATTCCGCTGCTAGTTCTTTTCTCTTTTGCTTTTTTCTGTCGATTGGTCCGATGCGAAAAAAGTACTAAAAGACCCTAAGGGTCGCCATGTTTCCGGGTTCATGGCTAGGTGTTCTATCACTGAACGTCCCCGAGTAGCAGAAGATTTTATCAAAGATTAAAAAAATTGAGACAACAATGAAAAGCGATTATGCAATGTGGCTTCTTATCAGGAAGAAGGAGCTTCTGAAAATTAACCGACAATGGTCTCCGAAAAGAGGGGTTTTTCGGCTGACTTCTAGTTTTTTTTGTTAGGGGGTGGGGGACCCCTCCCTCCACGCCCTATGGGTTTTAGATCCCATTGGTCAAATAAACCTTTTTTCCCTTTCATGTACTGAGCCTCTACGTGGCGAAAGGGATCAACAGATTAGTTTCTAGTCTGGCTAATCAGTACACTATTCGAACTCTGTTTTTTTTTCTTGAAATAAATTTTTTTTATAATGAAAGTTGTGATTTTTCTGTCGTTTTAGACAATTTTCAGGAGTCTGGAGCTTGTCTGTCAGGTTTCCAATCACTTTGCATATTTTGATAACAGTGCATTCAAACAGCTTTTAAGAAATTAAAAAATTCATAAATCTTCAAAATTCCATTTTTTGAAATCTTCAACATTTTCTCATTTTCTTAATCGATGTCCAATTTGAGACTAATAGCTCCACAAAGAGCGGATGTCTCTTAATTCAAAAACCCAAAAGTGTCATTTTTCGGTATTCACAATATCCCATTACTGTAGGAATTCAAAAAGAGCAGACACATTAAAAAAAAAAACGAAAAATCTCCATTTTTCTGACCCAAATGAATAGGTAATATATTGCGTAATTGGGAAGAGAGAGAGAGAGAGAGAGAGAGAGAGAGAGGGGAATACCAATTTGAGAGAGAACCTTTTACTTCAACAGGGGCAAAGTTTGATCCTAATTATCTTGATTCCATCATTTCTCCGTTAATTACTTTTTGATATCTCTTTTGGAAAATAAGATAGTTTGAGTTCAATTTCAATAGCCTATAACAAGGTTTCAAGCTTTTTTGGAATTTTATGGATCTATGAATTTCACTCAATAACTTGTTCATGTATAACCCTGGCCTAGTCAAGTACCGCCCCCATTAGCTCTCCACAAGTGGTTACTGTAAGAGAGCACATGTGTTGAGCGAAGGGGTCCTTCCCCTTGGCGGTTTACCGCAAAGGGACCCCACCGACAAAAAAGGAGGGGGACCCATCGAATTATAATTTAGGGACCATCCATAAAGGGAATTATCTAGAAAAGTGAAGAAGCCGTTTTGCTAGGTTAGATTCTCTTATCCACCACTTGTCAATCATCCTAAAGAAAATAATGAATGAGGAAAAAAGAGACAATGGAGCAGCCTCACCGTGAGGGTTTTGGATTTATAAGGAATGCAAATGAGATGGTTTTGACAAAAAGAAGAATACAATTTGAATCAGTTATAAGGACACTGATCCACGTTGACCTCAATTATCTCGATTCCTGTAACAGATATCAAAAAGTTGTAAATTAATAAAACACGCGAAATCAAATGTTACACATTTTACTAGTTGACAATATTCTGATAACTTTTACAAAAACCCAGATAATTTAGGTCAAACCTTGGCTCCGCCCACATCCCCTTATGGCAGACAGTACCGCGGTGTTTAGTTCCGTAATTTGCTTCAAACTTCAAATAGAATTCAACCCACAAAATCAGAAGCTTTATTGCTTCATACAACTATTTCTGCCAGCGGATTTCAACGTCTTCTGTCTAAAAATCAAAAACTCCAGGTTACTAAAATTCTATATCATTTTAAAAAGCTTTTCAAGATTTATAATTTTTTAACTGAGTCGCTACTCAGTCAGCGTCCAATCTTGGCTCGGCTGTCATGAGATATTCAAATAAGCGCATCCCATCCCATTAGTAATTCCGATATATCCCCTCTTTCCATGCCTTTCCATTATTACCTGTATATGTCCCCTCTTATCCCGGTCATATTTGTATGACCTCGTAATGCACGAGTTGTGAGGAACAGTCCGTCTCTTTTTTTAAAGGCACAGAGTGACGGACCATTACAGTTGTTTGCTCATCCTCTTTGTAACTTTAGGGGGACTTTTTGTTTGTATACCGAGCTCCAAGTTTGAAAAAAGTCATGGAAAGTTGGTTTATAGGATCCCACCCAAACTTTTAGCTCAATTTTTTCAATTTTTTGAGAAAGATATCAAAATTTTGTCTATTGATAAAGTATTTGTCATAATATCAGCAATATTTCATTAATTGACAAATTTTTAGTATCTCTAGAGATAATTGATCTCAAAGTCAAGCATAGGTTGAGCTAAGCTGGCACACCACCGACCGAGGGCGTATAGAGCACTGTAGAGCTTTGAGCTCAATTATCTCAATTGCTATAGAAGGTATCAAAAAGTGGTTAACTGATAAAAAAGTTGGTAATATTATGACAAAAACTTTGTCAGTTGACACATTTTTGGTATCTCTCATAGGAATCGAGATAATTGAGCTCAATTATCTCGGTTTTTATGAGAGATATCAAAAAGCTGTCAATTGATAAAATATTTATCATGATGTCCCAATGTTTTATCAGTTGACAGATTTTTGATATCTTTTACAGGGCTCAAAGATGACGGTTTGGGTGAGCTTCTTTAGGAAATACGGTAACTTTTTAAAAAAAATTTAGACCGAAATTTAAAATTCATTCTATATTCTCATATTCCAATTAAAGTTCACTGAGCCTTCTCTGACTTGCTCGTCTCCTCATCACTATCCGATTCCGTCTCCTCGGCCATTTGTCGCAACTTTTTACGTCGAATCTTTCCAGACTGAGTTTTCGGAATCTCATCGACAAATTTATAGACGTCGATCCATTTATAGGATGACAACTTTTGACGAATAAAGTCCGTCAGCTCGACTTCTGTCAGTGTGTGATCTTTTTTGACAACAAACGCCATTGGAGACTCTCCTTTGTGCTCATCGGGCATTCCAATAACAGCACAATCCTTGACTTTTGAGTGGAGAAGAAGGACGTCTTCGATTTCCACTGGAGGTACCTGGAAAATTAATGAAGCTAGAAAAAATATTGTAAATTGGAAATTGTAGGAAATTTCATGATAATCATTTTTGTAATTTATAAAACTTAGCTAGAAAATGTTGTTCTTGAGATATAGACAAAAACTCACCTGCATTCCATTAACTTTAATCAGCTCCTTAATCCGCCCCGTCACATGAACCCTTCCCTTCTCATCAATCGATCCTAAATCTCCAGTTTTCAAAAATCCATCACTATCAATGATATCTGCTTCTTCCTGTCTCAAGTATCCCTTCATAATTGTCGGACCACGAAAACACAACTGTCCAACTTTTTCAGTTCCAGTAACTTCTTTTTGCTGTTTATCAATGACTTTCATCTCATAATTCGATGCCAAATGCCCGACAGTTTCAAAGCTGTTCCCATATTCGAATCTTGGCAAAGTCGTGAATTGCACCATTTCTGTCATACCGTACGCCTGACAAAGCCACGTGGAAGGGAATCTCTTTTTGACTTCTACTAGGAGTTGTGAGCCGGCTGTTGCTCCTGCGGACATGATCACTTTTAGATATGGAGCAGTGTTGAAAATTGGGACCATTGGGTCCTTGGCAAGAACAATCAGCATTGGTGGGACCAGCCACGCGAGTTTGACCTGGAAATATGAAATTCAAAAAATAGTAATTTTCAAAAATCAATGTTACCTTATAAAACTTGATACGATTGAGCATAACTGTTGTGTCAAACTTTTTGAACACGATTCCAGTCATTCCAAGTAGAATAGTCTCCAACATAGTGTTGAGACCGTACGCATGGTACCACGGCAACAAAAGTACAGTATGCTCCTTCTGCCACGTGGCAGTGTTTCCTTTCCCAAACATTGCTGGAGCCAGCTCTTGCTCCATATGATTTTTGGCAATGTCCAACATTGCTCCAATATTCCGATGAGTTAGGAGACATCCCTTGGGTCTTCCAGTCGTTCCAGACGAGTAGGGGAGAAGGGCGATGGAGTCCATGCTGGAAAAATATTTTAAAATCAAAAAGAGCTACAAAAAATGGTCAACTCTAAAATTTTTCTTCGTTGAACTTTCAAGTTTTTGAGATAAATCAATTTCTGGATGAACCAACCTGACTTTGACATCAATCGGCTGATCTGGTGTTTGTGTCAGTTCTACAAAATCCAGAACATTCTCTGGGAATTCGGTTCTGACTGGAAATGTTCGCAAACAAATGATTTTTCGAACTCCTGGACACTGGGAAGTTGCTCTGCGGATACGTTCCAAACGATCTTCATCGGTGAACACGATGCAAGAGTTTGAGTCGCAAAATTGCATTTTTAGCTCGTCTGAAATTCATTTACAAAAGTTTGTTTCAAATTGTAGGATTTGAAGCTGATCTGGTTTTTGAGATACTGTAAAACCTGGAGTGTCAACTTTGAGCTCAATTATCTCGGCTCCTATGCGATGTATCAAAAATGTGTCAACTAATAAAATGTTTGCGATATTATGATAAAAAATTTATCAGTTGACAAAATTTTGATATCTTTTACAGGAATTGAGATAAATTGGCTCAAAGTCAAAAGTTAGGGGGTTCTTCTTTTACAGGTTCTATCACAGGTTACTTTTTCGCCTTCCAAACAGTCTAACGTTAAAAACTGACAATCCGTGAAAATTGCACTGGCATTTGACATCGCCCCTCCACACTTCATCACAGCCAACATCGCAATCAGGAATTCTGGACAATTCGGAAATGCTTGCGCTGCAACGTCACCAGGCTTGAATCCTCTGAAAACGAAAACTCGCTCTATTGAACTCTTTCAAATATTTTCACAATTTGATTAAAGCAGACGCCAAGCTGTTCACAGTAGGCTCCACATCTCGATAGTATTTCTTTTTTGTAGTAGTCTCGGCGTCGAGCTGGAATTTTTTGAAATTTTTCGAAAATCTGAAATTTCCATGGAGCGCGCTTACAAAAATGACAGAATCCTTGTTGGCAGTTGAGTGGGCGCGACAAGCCTCGAAAATTTTTTCGTGTATCGGCAAATCCGACAGCTTCATCGGCGCTGATTTCGATTTGAAAACCATTCTTGAATGAAAAAATTTTTTTTGGCTTTTTTTATCTTTCAAATTACCGCGAATCCTTTCTGACGAAAATTTAGTGTAGTTGTGAGAGAATGACGGATTTATTTTCAAGGGTTAATTGACTTTTACACATATGCAAAAAACTGTTGTAGGGGTTTAGAGAAGTTTACGATTTTAAAAATATCACAAATCAAAATTTTGAAATTCAGGCCAAATGGCGATTGATGACATCGTCGAGTGCATATTCCAATGACTCATTAGTCCCTTTCATTTGACCAATAACCTCACGAGCCCATTTGAAATACTCGGTGACCCTCTTCTTATCCCAACCGATTGGCGCCTTTCGTTCCAGATCACGAAGATTGTAGAGTTTGTCAGCAAGATGGACTAGTTTGGCCTGGAATAGATAGATTATTTTGAAAACTAAGAATTTATTAATTTTCCTTATTTTTGAACTTTCGAAAATTTTAAACTCTACCGTATTCCCTCTAATAGTACTCCATCGCGAACCATAAACTTTGAGACCGATTATCTCGGTTCCTATAAGAGATATCGAAATTTTGTTCACTGATAACATATTGGTGACATTATGATAAATAATTTATCAGTTTACAATTGCTCGATATCTCGAATAAGAACCGAGATAATTGATCTCAAAATTGCCGGCTTTTCTGATTGCAAAATACTAGCGGGCAAACGTTGGCAACTTTGGCAGCTTATATCTCAAAAACCATGAACGCTATTTGAAAATTGAAAATCACAAAATGATCCTTTTAAAATTTCTAAAACGACGTACTTCATAAAATTCACAAAGTCACTTTAGTTTGGGAATTATGCATCTTTACAGTATACAAGCTCATCATAGCCTGGGTTTGTAGTCTACGTCTCTTTAAAGGCGCATATCTCCAAAGCTAGAAAAGTTATGGAAAAACTATTAAATAAAAAACATGTGAATTTTTGTGATCTATCAACATTTTAGTAATTTCAAACGTTTTCCTAGCTAATCTAATTGCGGAGATACCAGCCATTTTTTAAACAAGCTGGTTGACCGTAAACCATAAAGCTAGACAAAAACATTTAAAGAACTACAGTACCCACCCGATGACTATGCTTTCCATAGTTCTCAATTTGAAGCTTCTTCCTTTCCTGCTTCGCGAGTCCCTTATCATCCGTACACTCCTTAACCACTTCCAAAACTTCATCTCCAAACTCCTTCTGAATCTCTTCCAACGTCGTTTTCGTATCCTCCACAACATCATGAAGAACAGCTCCAGCCAGTGTCACCGGATCATAAACCTTTGCTTCGTTCGTCAAAATATACATTACTCCAATCGGATGATTGATATATGGTGTTGCATTGTCCTTACGCTTCTGATGACGATGACGACGGGCGGCGAAGTCTGCCGCCTTCATTACCAAATTCCAGTCGACTAGTTCGGTATCTTGTTTTAGTGGTTTTTCAGGCTTTTTGTAGTCATCCTCGTCATCAACTAAAAAGAGTTGGGTTGATTTAGCTCTTCTAGATTAAAGGCGCATATCTCGAAAGTCATAATACATAGCTAGAAAGATTTTTCAAATTACAAAAATGTTTATCATAAAATTTACTATATTTTTTTGATTTATAAAATTTTTCTAGTATTTCGGGTCTTTGAGATATGCGCCTTTAAAGCGGCGAAAACCGCTCTTCACTCATCTGCAATAGGAAGGTGCTCTTCTAAGTTTCTTGTATATCTCGAAAACTAAAATAGCTAGAACATTTTTTCAATTAACACAAATGGTCCTCTTAAAATTTCCTACATTTTACATTTTACAAAACTTTTCTAGCCTTTCTAGTTCTTGAGATATGCGCCTTTAAAAAGTGCCTAAACTCACAAATTCCATCTTCTTCTCCATCTCCAAATCATCCTTTTCTTCTCCTTTCGGTTTTTCCAACTCAGGATACATTCCTTCAAATTCCACTAATTTTTCCTCGTGCTTCTTATCGACCATTCTAAAATTTTAAGAAATAAAAATTCTCAGATTCTAGGCTATAAGAAGAGAGAACCGTACAGAAAGGGATATAAAATGAAGAATAGGTGGGAATTGAAAATCGCCGCCTTCAGCTAAAAAAGAAAAGTGAAACGAAAACTGGTTCAATCTTGTGTCCTTTTTCTCTCTGAGCCTCTCATTTATCCACACTATTTATGTTTCTAGTGTAAAATTAGTCGTGAAAGGATGATGCTGTTTGAAGATTACGAAATCGGACGAAAAAAAACAGTAAACAATTTTCTTGGCGGGAAACATTGGGAAATTGAGGGAGAGAGAATAGGAGAACGGGTTCTGACAAGGCATTTTACAAAAGAAAAAAGTCTAAAAGTTCCAAGAATTGTCGGTAAAACTTTTTTGGATAACCTAGACCACCAAAAAATGATGTTTAATTGAAAAAAAAATGTCTGAACCATGAGTACCTTAATTCCTTTCAGGTCAATTATCTCAATTTCTATGAGAGGCTAAGTTTGAGCAACGCACTCGCACCCCGCCGACCGATGGCTTATGGAGCACAGTAGAGCTTTGAGCTCAATTACCGTAAAACCTCTAATAGAACGACACCCGGATCNTCCACTTTGAGCCTATATATCTCATTTTCTGCAAAAGATATCAAAAAGTGGCTAACTAGTAAAATGTTGCTGATATCCTGATAAACATTTTACTAGTTAACCACTTTTTGATACCTTTCAAAAGAAGTGAGATATATAGGCTCAAAGTGGACGTTCCGGGTGTCGTTCTATTAGAGGTTTTACGGTATATCAGTTCTTATGAGAGATATCAAAAAGCTGTCAACTAATAAAATATTAATCATGATATCAGCAATATTTTATCAATTGATCAATTTTTCATATCTCTCATAGGAACCGAGTTAATTGAGCTCAAAGTAAACATATAAGGTTCTATTAAAGGGGGACAGGAGATTTTTCGTAGTTTTTTTGTAGCTAGAGTATGCATTCTACCGTCACGGTGTACAACGCTTAATGTCACTGTGCGTACAGCTGTCGTCCTCGCCTTTATGTATGCAATCGGGCAGCGGCTTTTTCTTTGCACGCGTAGCTCAGTTGGTAGCGGCGCTGCACCCTCAATCATCGCCCTCACAAGTTCAACTCCTCGAGGGGCATCTTTGAACGGAATTTCGAGAACATTATTTTTTCATGTCCCCCCACTTTTAAAACAGCGATCCCAGCTTTTGAGATAAGCGTCTTCATCAAACTCGAGATTTGATATTACCTGGAACAAAGCGGTTTCAATTATAAACAATTCAAACCTTAAAATTAGTGATATTTCATAACACAGTATAAATTTTTACAAAACGTTTCTTTCCCTCCTTGATTCAACGGAAATACATAAAGATTGAAGGAATCCAATATCGAGTATTCCTCATTTGCAAGGACCCAATAGACCTGCAATTACCCCAGCCCACTTATCTATTGCCCCCCCCCCCCCGTCCGTCATTGCTCATCTTTCATATTTCCCTCCACTCATTCCGCAAACACCATCCATTGTGCCCTCCCTTCCTCTGTCCCCCGCTGACATATGCTATCGATTTTCCCGTTGGCCGTAGAGAAATTTCATCAAATTTTGAATTTATATTTGGAACCTTTGGAACTAAAGAGTGGAGAAGTTCAACAAGGAGTCGGCATGGTTGAGACGTCGCTGACTTCGGAACCTCCGTTCTGTGACACTTTCGAGAGAATCTCAATTGATACATTTCCAATTTGGGCACTTGGAAAAGAGATTAGCAAGGAAGATGGTGAGTCGGTTTTTGGTATTTTTCAAAAGTTCCAAATTTCTTCAGGTATTGACGCAATGAAAAAATACATGACTTCTCGATTCTGGTTCACCTACAGAAGAAATTTCTCGCCAATCGGTAAGACAATTGGTAAGAACTTCATACCAATTTTTGGTTTTTGCAGGCGGCACCGGACCAAGTACCGATCAATATTGGGGATGTATGCTCCGATGTGCTCAGATGCTATTGGGAGAGGTCTTGCTACGTCGTCACATTGGAAGACACTTTGAGTGGGATATTGAGAAGACGTCTGACGTTTATGAGAAGATTCTACAAATGTTCTTTGATGAAAAGGATGCGTTGTACTCCATTCATCAGATTGGTAAGTGTTACTTTTTTCCTATCAAAGATATGAAAAGTTTGTCAACTGATAAATTGTTTATCATAAATTCATAAACGTTTTGTCAGTTTTCACATTTTTGGTATCTTTCCCGGGAATCGAGATAATTGAGCTCAAACTTGACAGTATGGGTGCCCTTCTATTACAGGTTTTCTAAGGTTTCCAACGATGTTTAGTTCAAAAATGTTGGTATTTTATTTGTGTTTTAAAGTGTTTAAGTCCTATATAGTGACGCTAGTTAATCATATAAGACAGACTACAAACCATCCCCAATTTTCAGCCCAAATGGGAGTCAGTGAAGGGAAAGAAGTGTCGGAATGGTTCGGACCCAACACTGCCGCCCAGGTAATCAAGAAATTGACAATTTTCGATGACTGGTCCAATATCGCAGTCCACGTGGCATTGGACAACATTCTGGTGAAACAAGACGCCTTAACCATGGCCACCACGTATCCCAGTGAAGATGCTGTTAAGCTTATTATGGGTGAGTTTGGCTTTAAAAGCTGATAGAATTTCTAGTTCGTACTTGAATCAATTCTGAAGAACTGATTATCTCAAAAGCGACTTTTGATTTCAAAAATAACAATTCTGAAGGAAGTTATGACAATTCGAAGTTGGTGTCCTAGAATTTCATTTCTATGCCACCAAACTCTGATTGCCGTAACTTGGCATAAAATTGACATTTTTGGAATCTAAAAAAAACCATATTATATGCATGAATCTTGACTACTTTAAATAAACTATTGAATTTCAGAAAACGGACTAGTTGAGAAGCATTATACCTCTACCGTCCCAGCCAATGGAACCGAATGGCGACCGCTTCTCCTAATGATTCCACTTCGTCTCGGCCTAACTTCCATCAATTCGTGCTACCTTTCAGCCATTCAAGAATTCTTCAAACTTCCCCAATGCGTTGGTATCATTGGCGGTAAACCAAATCTTGCCCATTACTTCGTTGGAATCGCCGGAACAAAACTATTCTATTTGGATCCACATCATTGTCGTCCGAAGACTTCAAAGTTTTTCGTTGAGAAGGAACAACAACAACAATCATCTGGAGATTCGACACCAGAGAAAGTGGAGAAAATCGATGATAATGGGTTCCACGAGTTGGAAGACTTGGAACCATTACCATCGCAAACTTCTGACGTCTACACGAAAATGAATGACTCCACGTATCACTGTCAAATGATGCAATGGATGGAGTATGACAGCATTGATCCCTCATTGGCTCTTGCTCTTTTCTGCGAGACTCGCGAGGAATTCGAAAATCTCTGTGACGAACTTCAGAAGACCACCTTGACGGCTTCGAATCCTCCGATGTTTGAATTTTTGGAGAAACGTCCGAAATATCTTCCAAAGTTTGAGCCATATACTGGAGTTAGTATGAAAATCGAGATGAAGGAGTTTGATGATATTGGAGCGGCAAATTCGAAAATCGACGAAGATTTTGAGGTGTTGGATGTGTCGGTAGAAGACGCGGAGACTGGTGCGGAGGCTGATGACGTGGCTGAAGACGGGGATTCTGAAATTGTTGAACCATAACTTTTTTGCCTTATTTTCTTTTCTTTAATTTCCATTTTCATGCTGGTCACCTAATTATGTGAATATGTATTCTGAATTCATTTGTAACTATGTACATGTAAGAATGAGCAATAAATTATATATTTCAATACCTTAACTGTTAAAAGAGTCCGGGATTCCGCAATTTTTGAGCCGAAGAATATCAAAAAAGTTCCAGGAAATTGGGAAATGAGCTGAAACCAAAATTTCGAAAAATTGCGATTCAGAAACTTTCTCTAAAATTTTGAAATTTACACATTTTGAGTTCACTGTTCTTTTCAGCATGCCATGAGCTTCAAAACGAGCCTAAACGCGGTAAGGCTCAGTAAGACACATTCCAAGACTTCCAGGACCATTTTCCGGCACATAATTCGGAGGGTACAAGAGGATACAAAGTGGTTCGGGGGTACAAATTAAGTATTGCTAGATATTTTGTACCCACGAATTGAAGATTTTGTACCCTTAAATTGCTTTGTATCCCAATGACCCCAAAATTTTTGTACCCTCCGAATCATGTGCCCCATTTTCCAGATTGGCTTGAGGATCAAAAAAACGGAACCCCACCATTCAGGAGGCCATTTTTCTAAACAAGCATTTTTTAAAACAAACATTGTTCCTAAAAATGTTTATATTCGAGGTCTCACGAGCTTTTTTTGTGGATCACAAAGCATTTTTAGTAGCCAGATGTTCCTATTTTTCTGGTCAACTTTTCATCCTCTTCTCCTTTCAATTCAACAAATGAAAATTAGTTTTTGAATGAAAGTCTGAAATTCTATTCGTTCCTTCTCTTTTCAAGTGTCACTAACAAGTGGACACAAGAATGCAAAAAAATCAGGAACCAGTTTTCCGGACGAATCTAAAGTAGAAAGTGAACAAAAAAAAAGAGTTCTGGGAGTATAAAAGTCGTTAACAGGTTGCAAACTTTAAAGTAGTCACTGTAGAAATTATAACTCCGTAAATTTTTGGTAGGACGTCAGACTATGAGAAAGGAATTTAATGTTTTCAAAGTCTAGGTTACTGTAAACACTCTAATAGAACCCCCTTTAAACCGTCTACTTCTCATGTATCTCAGTTCCTGTGAAAGATATCAAAAAATGGTCAACTAACAAAATGATAATAATTTCGCGATTAACATTTTATCAGTTGATTACTTTCTGATATGTTTCACTGGGACAGAGATAAATTGGCTCAAAGTTAAAAATTAGGGATGGCGTTCTGTTAGAGTCTTCAAGACAGGTCTGCTGAAAATTAGGTTCTCGAAATGGAAATTCTACACAGATTTTTGTACTAAAAGGTACGAGAATTTGTTTTTCAAACTGTTCCAAAACCACTCCCCATAACCATTTGAATAATCTCTCTCCTTTATGATCCCATTACCCCAACCCAAATAACATAATGTTCCTTCAATTCCTCCCCATGTGTCAGGGGTTGACCCGTGTTATCTAATCCTACTGGTTTCACTTGTTACTGCATAATGCAACAATTTCCTTCCCTCCACGGTCTCTCTCTCTCTCTCTACCTAAAACACATTTGTCTAATCTTCTACCATGTTCCTTCTTTTTGTTGTATTTCTTTTTAGAAATTTTTATTACAACAAATGGAAAAGGATAGATCTATAAAATGAATAGTACATATTTTATGGACATTTTGTCCTATTCTTCGATGTTTTAAAACAATTGACCTGTTTTATTATGGAAAAGTACTATGTTCTTTGCGTTGTCTTATACTTATTGGAACATTCTTGGTGTTATCCTGTAAAAACACGCTGTCTAGTTTCAACTGATTTCTCTCGATTTTTGTGAAAAATTTGCAATATTATGATAACCAATTGACAGCTTTCTTAAATCTTTAACAGGAATTGAGATAAATTGGCTCAAAGTTAAAAGTTAGGGGGCTCTTCTGATCGAGTATTTCTAGAAGCACTTTCAGAAACCCTAGCTCTCTTCTATGTTTTCATTAGTGCCAATATCAACTTTTTAATGATAGTTGTATTGGCACCACTCAAGACATTGTTTGCCAATTGCCTTAATTATGTTTGCCCCCAACCTACCCCACCTCTGCCAACACACATTCCTTTGGGAACAGTTATGTCTAAACTGTTGGGGTTAACTTGTACTATGGAGCTAACCTAGGTACACCATATCTTCCTCCAATTTTCACTCTCCTTTCAAAAGGTGATAAATAATTCTCCGATCTTCTTCTCTCTCAAAATTGTCTTGTCTTCATTCCCTCCCACCGGTCACTTTCTCTTGTCCTAATTATCCTTTCATTTCTTCCCACACAACAACATCATCTGGGGTGTTCTTACTCTCTTGATGACCCACAGATCATTTTCTCACTGTTTCTTATCAGTTCTGAACTTGAAAGTTAGAAGCAGGTTACCGTAAACCTATCCTCGCCCTCTGCTCAATTATCTTTGTTACTATATAAGGTAGCAAAGATCTGCCAACTGGTAAAATGTTTGTCATGATATAAGAAGTGTTTGGTCAGTTGACACATTTTTGATACCTCAAATAGGAACCAAGATAATTGAGCTCAAAGAGTTTGTGTCCAATCTGGTACAGTACCAATATTTCAACTTTAGCAGTCTGTCTAAAAATTAGTCAGCACTTTATGAAATGTTTTGAAAATATGCTTCATTTTGTAATGCTTCATTTTTGTAGTATACACTTTTTGTACAAATGCATCCTAAAACTACCGTAAATCCCACAATAGAAAGACCCCCTATCTTTCAACTTTAAGCCAATTTACCTCGGTTCCTGTCAAAGATATAAAAAAGTTGTCAACTGAGAAAGTGTTTGCCGTAATATCACAAACATTTTATCAATTGACACATTTTTGATATTTCACATAGGAGCCAAGATAATTGAGCTTAAACTTGACAGTATGGGTGCTCTTCTATTGCAGGCGTTTGTTGAAATTCTTCATTACAGTTTTCTACTGTAACTTTTTTCAGAATGATTCCCAGACTCTGGGATTTGCTAATCCTTCTTCTGACAACATCCCTAGCCAACTGCCTCCTCCATGTTCAGAAAAATGAAATCCGAACTTTTGACTCGCTAGACGGTCTATGGACATTTGTAAGAGAACCACATAACGGAGGAGATATTGGTATAGGGAATCAGTGGAATACGCTGGATTTGGACAAGTTTCCGGTTTGTTCTATATTTCAATTTTTGCTGAATTCCTTTTTGTTTTAGAACGCCACAGTGATGCCTGTGCCAAGTGCGTATAACGACATTGGCACTGGCAGTGAACTTCGAGATCATATCGGATGGGTTTGGTACGAGAAGAAGGAGTTTGTTCCGTTGAGAGATCGAAACATGAGACATGTGTTGAGATTCGCATCTGTTAACTATTTTGCTGTTGTTGTGAGTATGCTATGTGATTTTTAATGGTTATGATATTAGAAGTCTTGGTCGTTGGTCATCAGAAATATTATTCCCTTATTTTTCCAGTACGTCAACTCTGAAAAAGTCACATCTCATACTGGAGGTCACTTGCCATTCGAGGTCGATGTTTCGTCGCAAATCAAGTTTGGAGCTGAGAACAAGGTATGTTATATTGTGACGTGGTGGCCTAACTTTTGCGAGTTGGGTTTTCTAGGCCACCTCTTTTTTAGCCTAGAATATGTCTCATATTCATTTGGTATGTTTTCTAGGTCATTTTAACGTGTTGGCCTAGAAAACTCAACTTGCAAAAGTTAGGCCACTATGGTAAATGACCTAGGAAACACACTAGGGGCATCTTAGGCTTGTTCTAGGCCATTTTTACGTGGTGGCCTAACTTTTGCGAGTTGGGTTTTCTAGACCACCACCTTTGTTGGCCTAGAATTGGTCTCATAGTCGCCTGGTGTGTATTCTAGGTAATTTAAACGTGATGGCCTAGGAAACTCAACTTGCGAAGATTAGGCCACCATGGTAAATGACCTAAAAACACACTAGGGGCATCTTAGGCTTGTTCTAGGCCATTTTAACTTGATGACCTAGAAAACTCGACTTGAAAAAGTTAGGCCACCCCATTAAAATGTATTCGTTTCAAAAAACTCCTCCACACTGATAAGAAGTTATATTTCAGTTCACCGTAGCCGTCAATAACACTTTATCATGGTCGACAATCCCACAGGGAGATTTCAACTATCAAAAATTGGCCCAGCGAAATATCAGTGGACGAATCGTAAGCCCAATGGTCAACCACCCCCTAGAATCCCCGTTTCCAGCTCTCTCGCCTCCCTGACGGCGCTGTCAAGAACGTTGGAAACTTTGACTTCTTCAACTACGCAGGAATTCTAAGAACCGTTCAACTGGTCAAAATCCCATCGATCCATATCCAAAACATCAATATTGTAGCAGATCACACGGGGTCTTTCTTCTTTGAGACTGCTGCAAACAACTTGGATGGGATTCAGGTGGAAGTGAAGATGTTCGATGGAGACAGTAATCAAGTGAGTCAGTGCTTTTTTCAAGATCAAGTTCTTTATTTTAGGTGTTCACTACAAATCAAACCAAGACAGAGGGGAAACTGGAAAATGCAAAGCTATGGTGGCCACGTGGAATGGGAGATCCTAACTTGTACACCCTGGAAGTCTCCTTGATATCCGATGGAGAGCTAGTAGACATTTATCGGGAAACGTTCGGATTCAGAACTGTCACCTGGTCTGACTCCCAAATCTTCATAAATTCCAAACCATTCTATTGTCTTGGCTTCGGAATGCATGAAGATTTTGAATTGATCGGGAGAGGATTCAATCAAGCAGTTATGACAAAAGATTTGAACCTTTTGGAGTGGATGGGTGGAAATTGCTATCGAACTACACATTATCCATACTCAGAGGAGCGAATGTTCGAGAACGACCGACGTGGAATAGCAGTGATTGTGGAGACACCAGCTGTTGGGTTGAAGTAGGTCATCAAAGATGTTCTTAAAACTTGAATAGTGTTTCCAGAGGATTCTCAAAAGCCAATAACAACTTGCACATTAAGATGCTCACCGACATGATTGACAGGGATAAGAATCATCCATCTGTGTTTGCGTGGTCTCTAGCCAATGAACCTGTGACTAGTAAAAAAGAAAGTAGAGCTTACTTCAAGACCCTTGTGGACACCGCCCATGGTATCGACCGTACTCGTCCAGTGACAACTGTCTACGGACCAACCAACTTTGATAACGATGAAACTGCAGACCTAATGGATTTCATTTGTGTCAACAGATACTACGGATGGTACATTGATATGGGGTACATTCCGTGGATCAATCAGAGTGTCTACTGGGACATCTCCCTTTGGCGGGAGACTTTCCATAAGCCAATCATTGTGACAGAGTATGGAGCGGATAGTATTCCGGGGCTGAATCAAGAGCCATCTGTTGACTTCTCGGAGCAATACCAAAATGAGGTCATTCAGGAGACCCATCACGCGTTTGACGCATTACACAAAGATCATACGATTACCGGAGAGATGATTTGGAATTTCGCAGATTTTATGACTGGAATGAGTGAGTTTTTTGTTATGGATATTGATCAAGTCTAATTTCAATGCGCGCTTTTTTTTCAGCAGAGCGCGGTTGCGCGGCGCCAAAATTCAAAAAATTTTACAGAAAATCCGGTTTTCAGCGAATTTTTTTTGTATTATCGTCATTTTTTCAACTTTTCGTCCATACAAAGTGTTTTTCAGACTAAAAACATATGTTAAGTGAAAAATGAGCTAAAACGCTGGTCTAATTTTTCCGAAAATTCGACGGTGGGCGGAGTCCGGTCTCGAAATTCTCAAAGGTGCATTTGAAGGAGTATGCATTTTTCGTAATTATTATATTTTCTGGCCTTTTTTCGATTTTTCGACGAATTTCGTAGATTTTCGATGATTTTAAGTGTTTTCGTGTATTTCTTTGCGATTTGTCGGAACTTTGTGAAAAGAAAGTAGTTCAAAATCGATAAATTTCATTGAAAATTTGAAAAAAAGAGGCCAGAAAATAATTACAAAAATAAATGCTCTTTCAAATGCACCTTTAAGGATTTCGCCCCCAGACCTAAGCTCCGCCCACCGCGCAATAAAATAAGACCATTGTATTAGCTCATTTTTCACTTAACATGTGTTTTTAGTCTGAAAAACACTTTGTATGGACGAAAAGTTGAAAAATGGCAAAAATCAGAAAATTCGGTGAAACCAGTTTTTTAAATTTCGGCGCCGCGCAACCGCGCTCAGTCGAACAAAACGCTTGCAGCTCAGATTCTCAAATGGGGAGAATTTTCTAAACATTTTAGAATTTACAATTGATTATTATTATTCTTCTTCAAAGGATGTTCAAGTTCTATGATTTTCAGCCACCACTCGAGCCGTCGGAAATCACAAAGGCGTGTTCACCAGATCTCGTCAAGCCAAAATCGCCGCCTACACTCTTCGAAATCGATATCTAAAACGTTTCGATCAAACCCAATTGGAAATTTGGGATTAACCTGAAAATCGTCCTTCAAATTCTTAGCCATTGTCTCTCTCCTGTAAAGCTTTATATCCTACTGTATTTTTTCCCAAGAAGCGGGCGCCATTTCTAATAAAGATGAGCAATCTAGATTTTCTAGTTTATTGCATTAATAAAACACTCAAGTATGTACAATCAAAAAATAAATATGACCCATATCAGCAAAAAGAAGAACGCAGGAGACATGAAATGAACAACATTCGGGAAGTGAAAAAAAAGAAAAGAAACAAGCTAACTGTTTTGGCAAAAGAAGAGAAATAGACTATTCATTATGACGAGGTAACTACTATAAATCAACTTTTTTGGAATTTTTTCGAGAATCCTTCGATTTCGATGTTTGTTGTTGCCCTTCTGGATACATATCTTTTCGGAAATTGTCAACCTCCATGATACTTGAAGAGTAGCGTCCGAAACTTTGAAGAAGTGCTACCACCTCGTTTCTGAAAAATTCAACTTAGTGGACTAACTTTTTCAAGTTGAGTTTTCTAGGCCCCCCAAGTTTCATGGCCTAGAAACGACCTGATATTTACCTTGCGTGTTTTCTAGGTCAATTTAAGGTGGTGGCCTAACTTTTATAAGTTGAGTTTTCTAGGTCATTTTCCATGGTGGCATTTTCCCACCAGGTACATTTCTTAGAACATTGTAACATGGTGGCCTAACTTTTGCAGGCCGATTTTTCTAGGCCACGACGTATAAATAACCTAGAAAATGCCGCAGGGACCTGTCAGGATGTTTCTAGGTCATCGGAACGTGGTGGCCTAGAAAACTCAACTTGCAAAAATTGGGCCATCATGTTAAGATGACTCAGAAAACACACTAGGCTTGTTAGGCTATTCCAACATGGTGGCCTAACTTTCACAAGTTGAATTTTCTAGGCCATTAAGTTTTGTTGTCTAGAAATTACCAGATATTTACCTTGCGTGTTTTCTAGGTCATTTTAACGTGGTGGCCTAAAAAACTCAACTTGCAAAAGTTAGGCCATCATTTTAAGGTGGCTCAGAAAACACACCAGGGGCTTGTCAGGCTATTCCAAGATAATGGCCTAACTTTCTCAATATGATTTTTCTAGGCCACCAAATTTTATGGTTTAGAAATAACCGAATATTCACGTGATGAGCTTCCTAGACTATTTTTACATGATGGCCTAACTTCTGCAAGTTGATTTTTCTAGGCCACGACGTATAAATGACCTAGAAAACGCGGCAGGGACATGTCATGCTGTTTCTAGGTCAATTTAAAGTGGTGGCCTAGAAAACTCAACTTGCAAATGTTAGGTCACCATGATAAAACGGCCTAGAACGCATTGAGTCTATTTTTGAACTTTTTTTCCCTCTTACCTAGTCAATTGGAACCTGGACGAGTCTTGTTTATAATGTGAATGTGGTAGATCAGAAAACAAGATCTTCAGAGCTGTTCCCATTCCATGCGTTTGAACTTTTCCCCACAGTCGACACTTATCACATTCCACACAATCCATAATTCTCGAGATATTCACGAAATGCGATCTGAATTCTTCACGAAGCGCTCTGGCGTGTGACTCGACTCCAGTGAACATCTCAGATTCATCAAAGTGATCAGGATAGGCTCGAATCTCCTCGAGCAACTCTTCCACAGCTTTCCGCGTCTCCGCATCCTCCTGATCGTTTCCAGTGTAGAAGAGCTCGTTTTGCAGGTATGGCGCCGCTTTGAGAAGTGCACGAAGCTCCAGAAGATAGATGAAATAGACATTTCGAAGGCGTTGAGGTCCTTCCCACGACCATTTCGTTCCAAATCGTCCCGCAAACATTTCGGTGTTACGGAACCAAGTTCCCATTTGTGATCCGAATTGACCAAGGGATGGTGGTGCTGAAAATCTTATGTTTTATGTCTGAATCTTCGTCCGGATGTCTTCTTACGTGGCTTATAGTTATACGCTGCAATTGAGATGGTAATAGCCGAGTGGAGTCCGGAAATCAATCTATAGAATACTCGCTTCTCGAGGCACATTCCTGAAAAACTCATTTTTATTTAATTTTGGAAAAAAAGGAATCCCCCAAATAGAGAAAAACACAAGGAAAATAGTGTGAAGCTTGCTTTCCCAGAGACCCCCACATTGACTACATTAGTGCTTGTAACTTCATACTTGCGACCGGGCCTTTGCCGGGCCTTCGCGGAATCTGCCATAGTTTCTTTTAGAATCAATATGTTTAGACCAACTAAATTAGATATGATAGAACTCGACGAGTGCTACAAAATTATATTATTTGGAGAATTGTGTCTTGTCTATGAACAAAGTTATAAGGAAAAAAACAGAGACCCGGCCAATTTTTGACTGGTAACTTTGTTCATAGACACGACACAGTTCTCTAAATAGTATATTTTCGTAGTACTTTGCCGAAATCTATCATATCTAATTTAGTTGGTCTGAAAGTATTGATTCAAAAAGAAACTATGACAGATCCCGCGAAGGGCCCGGCAAAGGCGCAGTCGCAAGTATGTGTAAATAACTTGAATCTGAATATTCCAAATTCAGATACCCAAAGCGTATGATGTGAGTAAAAAGGACACAAAAGGACCATATAGAGAGACACGTAGCAAAAAGAGAAACAAGGTGTTAACAAGAGGATAGAGAGAGAGAGAGAGAGAGAGTTCAAATGAATTCCTTCACCAGTAGTAATCAGTTGTAAGGGGAGACAACGTACCTTCTGAATAATTATTATTTATTAGTGTTGGACATTTAGGTTATATAATCTCGAAAAAATCTTTAAAAATTTCGATATTTCAAAACTCACCAAAATTGCTAGGATTCGTCAAAAAGTTCTTGTCAAACTTGGGGTCCGGTCTATAAGAAATTGGATTATTCCAAAATTTATGATTTCTTTCCCCACTTAAAACAATTCTCCTCGTAGATACTCTTCCACACTCGTTGCGGCGATTTTCCAGCGTATCCTGTGTATCGTTCCGGGTTCTTCGACAGGTCCACATAGTGCATTCCGTCGGATTCGTCATCTGGAATTTTTTTTTGTCAAATTTTGTGTGGTTGGTGTATACAATAGAAGAGGGGGGGGGGGGTAGGCGTCAAATATCATATATATTGTGTATATCGAAAATTAAACAATATGTGGTGGTGATGATAATGGCGATGGGCAGGTGGACAAATATACAAAATTATTTTTGTGAGGAATTCGAAAGCACTTATTTTTGGAATTCACTACAAATTACACATGATATGGTAATCTTACTTATATATAAAACGACACGCGTATGTCTGTCCCGGAGTCAGGCTGTCAAAAATTAGATTAACTCGCGTCGAAGGCGCACCAGCTTGCTGGTTGAAGATCAAATGCCTAATTTTTCAGCTCAAAAATAGAATATGCGAAAACATTTTCCACGTGAAATGAGAACTGAAAATAGTATGACGTGGCAAAAATTTAATTTCTTAAAAATACGATTTTTTCCGTGAAAGAAAATATGTTGAAAATTTTATGACGTGGCAGAAATTAAAGTTTTAAAAAATAAAAATTTTATGACGTGGCAAGAATCGAGTATTGGAAATGAAGAATTTTCGACGTGAAAAAAACAGAATTGAACATTTTATGACGTGGCAAAAATCAAATTTTGCACATAACTTAATTTTTCTCGCTTTGAAAAAAAAGCTCACCCTCTATCTCACAAAACTTGTCTTCCAGACCATCGTCATGATGATCCATTGCATCCAACTGTCGTTTCTCATCATCCTTCAACGTCCGATCCATCGGATCGATATTGTTTCCAGCATCGGCACACTTTTCCGTCGTCTCCTCCTTGACCTCTTCTTTGGCCTCCTCCTGAACAACAGTGAGGGTTGTCGTGTCGTTCCAGCGGTTGTTGTGATTCAGATTGCTCTCGTGTGAGCTTCGTCGTACCATGTTCACCGCGTTTCGCCGACGAAGACCAGCGGGCACCTCGTCATCGCAGAATGCGATACCGCACTGATTGGTGCCGCATTGTCGCTCATCCGCCCAGAATGGGCATGTCTTATCCATGTTTACCTAGAGAAATGCTATTGAAGATCTTTAAAATTTTTAAAAACAATTTACCTTATAAAACCGGAAGAAGTCTTTCTTGAGCAACTTTTGAACTTTTTCAAAAATCCGATCATTATTCAGTCTATCAATTGTACGCGTTTGTGAACAATCGCACGGCTCGACCGCCTCGTCGCCTTTACAAAAGCATAGGCGACCCGGTTCGAATTGTGCGCCGACTATTACTAATAGGACTAGAAGAAGTAGGAGTATAGGTTCTCTCATCCCTATAAAATAAAGGAATTTTGGTGTATACAGTAGTAGTTGGCTGGAATTCTGGAGTTTTGGGTCTTCTGCAGACAGAGACAAAGTTCACGTGGAATATGAAATAAAATCAAAACAAAAGGAGAAAGAGAAGCCTCTATACACGGATAGAAAAAGGGACACTTTTTCCGAGAGAGAGAGAGAAAAAGAGAGAAAGAGAAATATGGGGAACGAGGGCAAGTGTCCGGTATTTTCCGCCGTCGAGACTATGGAAGGGAGGGGTGCGGTGTATTGGCTTTTTTTCCGGCAGAAAATGCCGGAAAACTGGATGTGTGGATTTTGTGTGCTCGGTGAGCATAAATGCGGAAGAGGGAGGTGTTTTTGTGATCAAATGATTATGAAACGTATAACTAATACATCAAAATGTGTAGAAAAACATATAAAGTCATGTAGCAACAAAGAAACCATTTTTCTGAATTTTTACTTTATATCTACATGAATCTACATAGATTTCGACAAATTTTAATAAATTAAAACACTTAATTTTTGATCGGAATCCCCCTTTAAAGCTAAATTAAGTTCCAATTAAATCAAATCTGTAATGCTTTACTGGAACCAATTTCTTGTTATTTCACTGAATTTTTCGTATTACAAATATTATGCTTAACATTGAACTATTTAGCAAATTCATTAATCAGGTCATAAGCTGAGAACTCTTGAATTAGAGTTTGCCCTAATTAACCGATTATTCAGAGTAATTTGGCTTGGTTTGAAGACCAGTTTTTCATTTTCCTAGCTATTAACTTTCCAACTTCAAATAAATGATTCAATTTTTTAAAATATTTTCCAAACCTTCAACTTTTCCCTTCTCCATTACTAAATCACAACAACCGCTGAAACGCTGAACGATGATTAGATTAGAAAGTATAATACAGTTTTTCAGTATCAAAACAGAAAAAGAGCAAAAAGAGCAAACAAGAACAGAGCGCACGACACAGAAAAAGGTAACGACTGATACAAATGCGCTCCATCGGCGGCAATTGTGAAATGGTTAAGGCGACGTTGCACATGCGAAAACGATGCTCACATGGAGAGAGAAAACTTTATTAGAGATCAAAAATGAGATTTTAAACAAAAAGAGGCAAAAGAAAGAGTAAGGGCTGAACTTCATCTTTCGGGTTCGCTTGACTTGGCCTTCTTTGGCGCTGGTCCCTCTTCCGGTGTATCGGGAATCTCGTCGATATCCTCTGTATGCTCTTCTGACGCCACCGATCGTTCAGCTTCTGACGGCATCTCTACTTCTGGCTCTCCGGTATCTCTTTGCTTGATTTTCTCCTTAATCTTGTCGTGTTCCGATAGCAATTGCCATTTTTGATTCTGTAGTGTCATTCGCACTTCCAACAGTACTGCTTCTTCCTGAAAGGAAATGTTGAGGAGATTGACATATTTGAGGAAAAATTACAGCTTTCAGCACTTCGAGTTGTTCTTCGATGAACTTTGAACGCGAGTATTGTTCGTTTTTCTTTTCCATTCTGGAAAAAAGTGTAGTTTGTAGTATTATCAATGTCTGCTTGTGAGAAAAACAAGGTTGAGGGCGAAATATCTCGTTAAATTGATATGAAAGACACAAGTGTGGAAACCACCGTACTTTGAGCATATTTCAAATATTATTTTCTCAATTTTTCGACGATTTTCATCATTTTTTCGATGTAATTCGGAAAAAAAAATCAATTCAAATGATGAAAATCATTTTAAAAACTGCGAAAAATGTCGAAAAATGGAGAAAATAGGAAAATAGTATATTTCGCTCTCAATCTTGTTTTTCTCACTTCAGACAGCAATATTATAAGGATTCAGTCATTCACGTGGCAACTGGCAGCAATACTTTATTATAGGTTCTGACCGGTAAAAGGCTGAAAAATGAGAAAAACATTGAATGGAACTTTTATTATAATTGGAATAGTGTTAAAGCAGATCACAATCAGGAGAAAGTTAGAAAACGGGAAATTCAGCGACAAGGAAAAAATCAATGATTCTTGTACTTCTCAATTCCGGCTGGGCTCATCACACAAATATGTCCCAAATCGCGGAATTTCTGGTTATAGTCCAGCCCGTAGCCGACGATGAACTTGTCCGGAATCTCAAACGCAACAAAGTCTTCTGGAACATCCACGTGTCTCTTGACACGTTTCGAAAGAAGAAGGGCTGTCCATGTCTTCTCAACACCGGTCTCCTTGAGAGTTGTGAGCAATTTGGCGAGGGTTCTTCCAGTATCCGAGATATCATCCACGACAAGAACACTCTTTCCTTTGAGCTCGTCCAAGTTCGATAGTCCCATGATTTGAATCTGGAAATTTTTGAAATTAAAGTTTTTTTTTCAAATTTAAACAGGTCCCACCTGTCCAGTGCTGCTCTGATCCTCGTAACTCTTCACACGAATGAAATCCACGGTCATCGGTTCGGTGCAAGCCGATCGGGCGTTCGTGAGCTCCTCGACTAGCGCAGTGAAGAATTTGTAGGAGCCTTTAAGGACGCAGAGAAGGGCAATCGGTTTGTTTCCGATTTCCGCATGGATATCCTTGGCGAGACGACGGACACGATCGCGGACGAGTCCTTCTGGAATGACGACGCCGGAGAGATCGCCTTGATAGCAGAGGGGAATGTCGAAGGCGTCCACTGGGAGCTGGAAAATGGGGTTTCTGTTGAAAACTTTAGGTTTTTCTCGGAAAAAATGGTCGCCGTCTGAGAAACTGTATGCGCCTTTAATAATATTTACTGTAGTAATTTATTGAAAAATCAAACAATTTTTTATGCGATTTTTTGCGATTTTTGACAGAAAAAAAATCAAAAATCGGAAATATAGGCCTACAAATAATTGAGAAATGCATGTTCCTTTAAATGCGCCTTTAAAGATTTCGCTCAGGATCAAAGCTGCGCCAATCGCAATTGCCACGTGGCACATTTTTTCAAACAAACTCACCTCAAAATCGTCAGGAATCACAGCGCGAACAGGTGCCATCGTTTTTTTTTTCGAAATCAATGAGAGAAATTCTGAATGACAAAAAAAATGAAGGGAATCTTTTAGGTAACCAGACGATATAATCTTCTCTCTTATCACTCCCTTCTTATCAACATAAAATATATAGGCATCAACGACGAAAGTCACGAACGTGTCAACGATAGATGTGTTGCATTCAGCGGGAGAGAGAGGATGATAAAAGGAAAAAATGGGAGAAAGAAAATGAGAGGTTTTATGATAAATTCAACAAAAAACGAACAAAAAACAAAGTGTTAACAGAAACAGCGGGCAAAAAGTGACTATATATGATTGAAAACACCAATTATCTAGATAATTATCATAATTATCTCCTCAAATCCATCCAGCGTACTCCGAAATCACATTTTTATTGTCCTTTCGGTTACGGCTCACCGCACTTTGCTTTCCTTTGACCTTCAGACGGATCTGTAACCAAAATTGACTTTCTCTACCTCTGTTTGTCCGGATGTCCTACCTTCTCCTTATTCCTTTTCCTATCCAGCGCCAGCTTCCTCTTAATCTCTTCAGCTGTAAACGTGGCAGCACTACTGGCCACACTTCTGGCTCCAACTCCTCCTCCTCCTGCTTGTCTCTTCTTCTTTACCACCTTCGCCACTTGCTCTTCAACTGCCACATGGTCTTCTTCTTCTTCCTCGTCCTCATCTTCTTCGTTCTCGGAGGAATCTGAAGCAGCGACAACGCCATGGGGATGAGTCTGGAATTTCAGATGTTTTGAAATTAAAATGTTTTGAAACCCCTTACAATCTTCTCCGGCAAATCACTATCATCATATCCTTCTTCTGTCTTCAACGCCTTCAAATCCACGTTCTCCAACAGATTCGTGGCGTCTGACAGCCAATCGTTGAAGCGTGTCGATTGGGAGAGCACGATCTTCTGTTGTTTGACAGCCTGCACCTGTGCTTTCACTTCTTCATGGTCCTTCTCTTCTTCTTCCTCCTCGTGAATGGCTTCCAGATCTTCTTCTTCTTCTGAGTCAGAGTCGGATTCTCCGTCTTCCTTCTCTCCTGACTCATTTCTCAACTCCTGTTCACAGTGAGCCAGGAAGTTTCCATCATCGTAGGCCTGGAATGGAGATAATAGAACTTTTTAAATTAGAAAATTTTCGGCTCCGGGACGTTTCAGAACCCGAAGTTTCGGAATTTTCTGCATCCTTTTTATAGTGGTTATTTTTTGCATGCCAAATGAGCATTGCTCATTTCAATTTTGTGCTTTTCTGCTTTTTTATTCATTCTCATCTACCGTACTCCAAATAGTGATCCGTTCACACTCGGAATCTCTCAAAAAATCGAAAACAAAATGGAAATTTTCAAAACGATTTCTAGAAGTAGGCAAAAATTTTTTCCGGCGATCATGGGACTCATTTTTGCGTACTTCTAGACATCTTTTGAAAATTTCATTTTTTTCGTTTTTTTGAGAGATTCCGAGTGTGAACGTATCAATATTTCGAGTACGGTAGATGAGAACGAATAAAAAAGCAAAAAAGCACAAATTGAAAAATTGAAATGAGAAACGCTCATTTGGGGTGCAAAAACCATTATAATGCAGAAAAGTTCTGAAACGTCGGGTTCTGAAACGTCGGGGTCTGAACTGTCAGGTTCTGAAATTTCGAGTTCTGAAACGTAGTGGTTCCGAAACGTCGGGTTTTAAAGCGTCCCGGAGCCTTTTTGAAATTAGAAAATTTTCGAAAAAATTGAAAAACCACAAAAGGATTCAAGAATTTTCCAAAAATCTAAATTCAAATGTACCTTATTCAAATCCAGCGCCATTTTCTTAGTGAATCCAGACGCTTCCAACAAGACATCCATATTCCCTTTCCTCTCAATCTCATCAAATTTCGGCCAATCTTCACTCTCATAATCAAATCTTCGTTTGAAAAACGTTCGAACACAAGTGACATCTCGATCAAAATAGAATTCAGCATTGGGATGATCAATCGATACCATTTGTGGAAAATCAATCATCACAATCCTCTCATCTTCCAGCAAAATCAAGTTGAACTCATTGAAGTCTCCATGAATCACTCCATGTCTTGCCAGCTTCACAATCAACGCCATCAGCCGATCATAGAGTGCTGCAGGATCTTCCACGTGGTTCACATTACAGAGTGTCTGTCCAACAACCAACTGCATTACAACCAAGTGTCTACAAACGTCAACAGCCTTCGGAACTGGGAATCCTCTTTCTTGGAGGGCCTTCAGAAATGCGAATTCCTTCGCAGCAGCCAGACGACTCAAGTAGAGCCACGAGGCGCTCTTTCTCTTCTTATGATAGTCTCGTTTCTCCTTGATCTTCCGGAATGAGGTGCGGCCGAGTCTGTGGAATTTCAGACAGAGATCATTGAGCTCCGGGTCACCACCGACGTAGACATCAGACTCCTTTCCGATTCCGATTTGGTTTCCGACACTTCCGACGACTTCGCGGGAGCATAGAGCCCGAAGGGCGAGGTAGTCGTAGCCGCGGATTGTGAGACGGTAGCCGTCGACTGGAAATTGGGGAATAGTTTTGAAAAAGTCAATTTTCCCGAAGACTCAGAATTCCAAGCTACAAATTCTATAAATCGAAGGAAAATGTATTTAGTTTTTTTTTCAAAAATTCAGCAAAAATGAACAAAATCGCTTTAAAAAAGTCCATTCCTGTAAATTTCTTGAAGGTTCTAGAATTTTTTTGAATTCCCGCCAAAACTGACACCTCGAAAAATTCGCGGTTTGTTGCGATTTTTCGAAAGAATTTTTACTTAGATTTTTCGCAACACTTTTAGACCTTATTTGGTTTTTCAGCTATTTTTGAATATTATTTTTCGTTTTTTCTCAATTTTTTGTCTGAAATGTCTGAAAAAGACAGGATGGTTTTATTGACGGAGGATTACTGTAGGTTACTGTAGACAACTTATTTCCTTTTGTTGTTTTTTCGCACAGTTTTCATCTGCATTTTTACGTGATGGTGTTTGCAAAAAATCTACAGTAATCTACAGTAATCTTCACGAACACCGTTCCGACAAATTTTAGACGAAAAAAAAACCCGGGAAAATCGAAAAATAATTTTCAGAAATAGCTAAAAAACCTAAAAAGGTCTAAAAAGTTTTGCACGAAATCGGAGAAAAAATAGATTTTCCTTTCGAAAAATCGTTTGCATCGAAATTTGGAAGCTTCGAATTTTCTAGAATTCCTCACATTTTTTGCTCCTCTCAAACGCCACTAGCTGATGTTTGCACAAGTCATTGAGCGTTCTCAGCACGCCTCCACGATGAATTCCAGCGATCGACGAGACGAGAGCCAGTGGAACGACTTCATGATTCTTCATGCCCATCTCGACTGCGATGAGCACCCGGAAGTGATCACCTTCCAGGTAGCGCATCATCGAAACGTTCATGCGACCCATCTGAAAAAAAAATTGGGTTCTGGAAGCTTCTGGATGGGGATTCGGCGAAGAAAACCGAAAAAATTCTAGAGAAACCCCAATTTTGCAACAAATCTCTTACAAATCGCATTGAAAACCCTTTTTTTGCATCTAAAATCATTAAAAATCGAAAAAAAGGAAAAATCGATGAAAAATAGGTGGAGAATGTCCCCAGGGGTACGGTTTCCGTGGCGATACCCGTCACCAAATCGGCTCATGTTCCTTTAAATTTTTTGGGCCTTTAAAACACACTGGCCGACGTAGGGACTGATGAGGAAAAAAGAAAAGAAAGAGACATACGGCTGAATTTTAAACAGATATCTAGAAAAGTTCGGAATCGCCTTGCCAACGAGAAATTCATTCACAATTAATTGAGAAAATTGGATGGCATAAACGAAAATAAGAAGAAGAAGACGAAGAAGATTAGAAGAGCAAAAGGGAGATAAAGTACAAGTTAATTCAGTGGGGTAGGGGCGACAACAAGGGTGATTTGGAGTAAAATACGATACACCGGAATTCGTTTTTCTTTTATAAAAAAGAGAGAGACAAAAAGACAAAGAACCTATGGAAGCGATGAATATTGAAGAAGAGGAAGACAACATTTATAGATAATCGAGAATAGAGGAACATTTAGTTGAATTTAGAAGAAGATAAAATGGGAAGATAGGAACACAGAAATCACAGCAAATCCGAAGGAAAGAGGGTGGTGTTTTGGTGAAGACGAGAATGCAGCATTTCGACTATGACTAGAAAGAGTATCTAATGCGTTTTTTTGCAATTGAAAGAAGAGAACTGGGGCTATACACGAGATTTTTTAGTGGGTGGAGAGACGTCGTTGGCGTTGACCATTTTCTGAAGCAGGCTTGTCGCTAGGGTGGGCATCTCTTTGACAAAGTTGTTCCATACAGGCAGTTGCATGATCACTTGTCGATTGTGGACCGCCTGGAAAAAGGTATTTAGTGATGGGAGTGATAAGATTTTGACAATTTTCAGGAATCTGGAGCTCGATTGTCGAGTTTCTGATCACTTTGAACATTTTGAGGGATGTCCCTAGAATGAAAACTTTGCATTCACGGAATTTCAGATACCGTAAAACCTGTATTTGAAGGACCCTTTAACAGAAGGGCGCTCTTCAAACCTTTCAAATCAAAAATTTTCGTATATTTCCAGTGAAAAATATTCCAGTATTCCCAAATTTTCTTAGAAACTTGCTCAATTTAAGTGAAATTGACAGATTTTAATGACTTTAAAACGAGAAATCGTCGATTTTTTCGATGAAAATTTTTAGAAAATACGGCAGGAAAAATAGAGAGCCCCTTTAATTGAAGGACCCTCGGAAGGTACCTTGGAAAAATAGAAGGTCCTTCTAATACAGGTTTCACGGTAGGTTTGTTTTAGATCTTTCAAAAAAATTTCAAAGTGATCGGAAACTGGACAGCCGAGCTCCAGACTCTTGAAAATGGTCAAAATCGTAGTGTTCCCTCTCTAGATCCCTCTGAAAACTTACAAAATCAATGCAAGCATCATACAGAACGTCTGTGTTGAACTTCTCCGCCTGCGTTATGCATTCCAACACATTATTCACACTTAATCGATCCAGAAGACTCTGTTCGCACGACGACTTCAGCGCAAGTATCTGATACTTTTCGGCAATTTGCATCACGTCCGTCGCTTGGTACACATCGAATTCCGTTCTGATGCCACCCGAATAGATGAACTCAATCATGGCGCGCACAGCTCCAGGGGAGAAGTCGTTAATGTCGATTTGTTTGTCTCGCACTTCGCGCATGTTGTCATGGCTCAACATCGTTTGGAATACGTCAGAATGTGCGCGTAGTTTGTAGGTGTGCACTTGGAATGCTTCACGTTCTCCAGCGACTGGTCCAGCCAATATTGTCATGTCCGTTCCTTCCATATTGTCGAACATTCTGATTTCTCTTTCCACAAAACTCGTTGGCACCGCTGAGGTTGGCATTTTGATGGAAGGTGTAATCGGTACCCGTTTGCATGGAACTTTTGAGACGTCAGGGATAAGTTCGATATGACATGAAATGACTAGTGATTTGTCCTGTCGAATGCTATTCTGCACTTTGGTAGTGGGTATATTCCTCAGTCCCCATGAGTGTCCACCCTTCGGCGGTTTCGCGTGGAACTCTCCAACATTGACGTTGCTGAATTTTGGCTCATCGTTGTCGTCGAGGAAGTAGAAGCGGTACTCTGCCTTCAGCACGACTTCTTTTGATGGGGATGTCGCCGACATTTTGAGGAATAAGGAGACGTTGTTGGCGTTCTCTTCTCGCTTCCCGCCGGGGTAGAGGCATAACTGCCAGCATGCTTCTGGCACCGCGTCGTCTCTGGAAAAGGTAATTATAGTACGGGCGGCTCTCTTTTGGATGCTTCGCTTGCCAGAATACTCACTTGAACACTGTGCTTCTCAAACAGCTGCCTGGCTGGCTCAACTTCAGAAGGCTATCGAAATTGCTGACCGTCCATCGTTGGGTGAGTACCACTGATTCGACGTTCGTCATGCACTCGTTACCGTGTAGGGAAGCTGATTGACGTCGTCCGCTGGAACAGGAGGGCTTCGAATGGTAGTTGTGGTCTGATCTCCCACTTCGATCAGACATTTGATTTAATTTGCTGGAAATTTCGAAGGATAACTATTATTTTTGATCCAACTTTCTTCAAAAAGGGCTTAGTTATCAAAAATAGACTGATATAAAAGAAAAAAGAAAGCTGAATTATGAAAACAAGTGTTCGCTAGTTCTGGCGAAGCGATGCAGCATCAAGTATCGATTTTCGTGCGGTCTGCGTCTCTGGCCTTCCCCCCACTCCGTCGTGCCAAGACCACCATTTCACTAGGTGAATATATGTTTAATTGCGAGAAAATTGGGAGGAAAAGCTATACGAACAGTGAAAATATCGATATCTTCAATATCATTATAGAAATTTTGGCGATACAAATCTTTGTACTGCAAAATAAAACTTCGGATTCAAACCGGAATATTAAACGGAAAAACAAAAATTCAAGATTTATAATGTTCATCGAAGCTTGGAATATAATAGAAGAAGAATTGGATGAAAATTTAAAAATTCAAAAACGAATCGAGAATAATTTTGTGTGCAAACACGGCGACGCAAAAATGCAGAAACTGTAGATTACCGCCCAGTCGAGACGAGAAAGCAAAAATTTGACAGAGATCATTTGGAGATTATTATGATTTTTGCAAAAAAGTTTTGAGTCAAATTAAACAAAAGAAGCTAATTATAGAAAAATCTAATTATTTGCTCTTCCTGAGAATCCTCGCAATTTCCATCAAGTCATCGGCGCTTCCCTTGGTGAGATCGTAGGAGAGTTTTTGAGTTTTCAAATCGAGTTGCACGTCTGGCAGGTGCTCCAGGAGATACAGGCCGGCTCTGGAAGTTAATTATGGGTTAGAAGAGAATGCTAGCTTTAATTATGGGATTTTTTTCAAAATTTCCCCTTTATTTGTTGAAAATTATAGGCCTAAGCTAAAAAACCTTGTTTCCCTTCCGAAAAATGCCGCCAAAATCAAAAAAATTTAGGTGGTCTTACTTATATATGACACGTGGGTCTTCGCACTCATTGAGTTTCTTTGTCAACTCTTCGGGGGACTCTTTGGGATCTTTCTCCTTGGGTTCCTTCTCCTTGAGCTCCTTATCCTTCTCTTTCAGCCCTTTGTCCCGGGAATCCTTAGTTTCCCTAGTTTCTGTTTCGCGCGACTCTTTGGACCTATCACGGGACCTCTCCCGACTGTCTCTATGATGCTTCTTCTCCTTCTCCTTTTTTCGATCATCCTTCCTATCCTCCTTCCGATCTTCCTTCCTGTCGTTCTTCCGATCATCTCTCCGATCCTCCTTCCGATCCTCCCTTTCCTCTATCCTCGGCCGCTTCTTTCTCTCCTTCTCCTCTTTAATCGGTGACAATGCTCGCTTCGAATGCGGAGACTTCTCATCATTCGACGATCCGTAGGCCATCGACGCCTTCCGCTTCTTCGGTCGATACTTTTTGATCAATTCCAAGTACTCTGGTCGAATATGGTCAGTCATCACTGGCAGCTTCTGAACGACCTCGTTCTCACCCGACTGGCCTGTGTAGAGAGTCAGCTCGTAGGGTATGGCACGTGGCTTCTCGTTGGGAATGTTCAGGTGTATCGTCACGACTGCCGAGAACGATGCGAAACCGGTTTCGGTGATCTGAAATGAAAACGTTGTTGAACTTTTTGCGAAGAAAGAAGTGTGACTGGGGCTGGAATTGAGAAATGAAGGGAAAGAGAAAAAGGTGATCATATTTTTTTGAAAAGAGGGGGCGAGAAGGCAAGCTTCTGACCAGATTTAAAATACAAAAAGTCAAGAGCACTTTTCTCAAAAACATCATTTATGTTTTTTTTTCAAAAAAGAAGAGAGACAGAAAATTAGGTGCGATTTCGGGAGCAAAACTATACGGATTGGTTTATAGACGAGACTAATTTCTAAGGAGCCTGAGGTCCCACAGCGATAACTACAGTAACCTAGAAATATGTTTATTTTTAGGTTACGGTAGTTTTCGTTGTGAGACCTTTTGCAGCGGCCTGTTGGCGTTTCTCTTTCACAGCTCCTTTTTTCTGTTCTAGAATACTCGAAAAACTATATTAACCGCTTTTTCTGTTCTTGGAAACTAGGGAACTTGAAAAATTAGATTTTTTCTGAAATTTTCTGTTTTCTAGGCTAACTATAGTATCGAATGCCACTTTAAATATTTGTTTATAAAGTGCTGAATAGTTAGGTTCTCTCTCTCGTGATTCATTAGTGAACCCAACTATTGCTTATCGATTTCAGCGATCAGTATACTTTTTCTTTTGGTTTTCATAAGAGAGAAATAGGTTTCTTGGATTCCTATACACCTTATTTTAAACTGTGTAGTACAGTTTACAGCGGGTTTCCTTTCCTTTTTCTTCTTTTTTTCAAAGTACTGTATTGAAAAGGGGACTTACTTGAAACGGTGGTTTGTGAACCCATCGTGTGGGTTGGGCGAACGTTTTATGGATGTCGAATTTGACCTTCTGGATTAGTTTCGTATCGGGAAAATCGTCGTAGTCCTTGTTGGCAGGCTTCACGAAAATCGTCCATCTGTGGGTGTGCTGGTCGTCTCGCCCTGGTGGGAGTAGGGTGAATGAGTGACCCACTATTACCTAAATATAGAAAATTGGGTAGATCCCATGGAATTGATATGCTTACCTCCACAATTTTGTTACTCATTTTTCAACCTGAATATTTATCGTTTTTTTGCACCTTTTGCACGTGCGGACGCATTGCTTTTGCGCTCTATTGGCACGCGCGAGAGAGTACGAGACACAGACGAACAGCACAGAATTTTTGTCATTTTTTGGCTTGGGCAACAATTTTCCACTGAAAACTTTGAAAGTTACAAATTTACAAATTTTAAAAGTTGCAGACACAAAACATGACTTCAAACGAGGACGTATTATTCCAGACAGACGCGTTCTCCCCTTCAGATTGTAAGAATTCAGAGTAGAATTCGAATTATACAATTTTCAAAATTCCAGACATTCGAGATCGTCTAAAAGGAGTGAAAATCGGCGATGAGACGCGCAAACTTCGACAGTTGCGTTCTGAAATGAGCGCGCTGAATCATGCGTCGCAGGAGACTCTGAAAAATAATGTATTCCGGAATTATCAGCAATTTATAGATGCCTCCAAAGAAATTTCTCGTTAGTTCTTCGAATTTTTCTAATTTTCAACCTAAATTTGTAAGATTTGGAGCGAGAAATCTACCAGCTGACACATTCCCTAATAGAGCAAAAGCAGGTGATCGAGAATCTTCTACTGATGACTGACGATGATAAAAACTCGATTCACACTGTCTCCTCTCATTCTACAACGACTTCCAACACGAATCCAATTCAGATTTTGATGCAAAAAATGGAAGGAATTGGGGGCATTCTGAATAACATGTCGACGTCGGAGAAAGTGATTCTGCATGGGGAAATGGAGCAATTCGATGTGGAGACGAAGAAACCAGTGCAAAAGTGTATGCTGATACTGTTGTCGCATAGACTGATCATTGGAAATATAAATGCAGCAGGAAAATTTGTGTAAGTTGAATTTTTAGAAGTCAGAAATGTCATTCCTTTCATCATTAACACACACTTCAATAGATAGCCTCCCTAGATTTGCTCTTTAAACTCAATTTCTAAAAGAGATAACTAAATCCTGCTAACTTATAAATTGTGTATCATGAAATCATCAACGTTTTATCAGCTGACACATTTTTGATATCTTGCATAGGAACCGAGATAGTGGAGCTCAAAATTGACAGAGTGGGTGGGGGTTTCTACTAAAGGTTTTACGGTAATTCCTTTTATGAAAGATATCAGACAAAGAAAACCATTTAACAATTTTGTAAATCTTCAGTATGGAATCCACACTCTCCTTGAACTCTGTGGCTCCTGTGAACGTCAAAGATCGAGAGTCCGGAGCAGCGAACGCTGGAAAAGTGCTGAAACTTCTCATTTTCCCCGAATCCCGATGCTATCTCTGTGAAAGCGCCAGAATCCGAACACTGTGGTTTGATGAGTTGGAACAGGCGAAACGAGAAATTCTTCATAAAGGAAGTCTAGTGAGACAGGCGACGATTCGAGGCAAACGGCAAACTGTGAAGGAGAGAAAGGCTGCTGCCGCAGCGACTGTGATTGAGGAGAAAGCGTCGTTTCAGGAAGAGGATGAAGACGTTGGTGATGAGGAGAGAAGTGCGCATTTTTAAAAATATTTTTATCTAAAAAATAACGAAGTGTTCCAGATGACAATGACATCTCCTGGCTAGCCGAGTTGCCTGCGGAGCTTGATGACTGTATTGCTCATAGAGATTTGGATCAGGCTGTCGAGTTGATTCATGAATGGAAACAGTGTCCTACCAAGGATGCGGTGATAGATATTCAGTTGCAGATGAGAGAGAATACGGTGAGTGACTTACTCACCGTAAGACAGATTGCAGAAAAAAGAAAATTTAAAAAACCTAAATTTCCAGATTGTCCAACTTCTCAGCGACGATGTCAGCCGCCCTGGAGCCGTCCATGGCGGCCCTCGTGCCATGAAAAAAGCCAGAACCCTCCTTACCCAGCTGGGACGTGGAACCTACGCTACTGATGTCTACCTCCGTCGAAGAAGTGCAATGCAACGAAACGCAATGCGAGATGTTACAGTATCCGAGGAGCCGATTTCCTATGTAAAGCAATTATGTACCTTATATGGAAATGCCGTATCTGACATTGCCAACGAATTCCGCTCGATGCCTCAATACTACTGTCAGGTGTTGCAATGGTGTTCGTATGAATTGAGCACTCTCCTGAATCTTATCAGAAGACACGTCATCGAAGTGGCTCCCGCTATTGCAGTCATTGCGTATACCTGGAAAAATGTGATGCATACAATGGAGGATTTGACGGTGATCGGCGTTCATTTGAATTTCGAAGTCAATCGATTGCTCAGTGCTCCGTTGGAGAAGGCTTTACAAGGAAACTTTGAGAATATCTGTGACGCTGTGAAGATGAGAATATCGGAGGAGAAATGGAAGCCATATGTGCTGGATTCGGAATCAGCTCTGAACCGTCTCGTCGAGGAGCTCTCCGACGTTGGAATCAATGTGGAATGGGCGATTTCGGCGAACGACGAAACTAAAAGCTCACTGAATGTATCCCAAAACGTTGTTCACTTCGCAAGAGTAGCACATACTCTATCCAAGGATCTAGCTCCATTGAGACTTTCACCGATTCAAGTGCTATGTGAGGTGTATGCTGATGAGTTGTGGAAGATGTATCTTCAACATCTGGCAGATAATATTCGAGATGGAGCAGTTTTCGCTTACTCTACAACTTTCATTTTGACTATGGTAAGTCATAAGATTGCTCTGAAAAGTTAATTGCTCATCCTACCCTCTTCCAGGTTCTCCCAGTATGCGACAAAATCCTGTACGGCGAGGAAGGCGAGCTGATTCGTCTCATCGACCAATTCCCGAGTCTCGCACCCTATGCAGATCCATCGGATGAAGAAAAGCAGAAGGACGACGAAGAAGTTGCTCATGTTTAAAATTGCTAATTTATTAATTTAACCCCCCCCCCCCCATATTAGGCGCTTGCTCTCTGTGATATGTACCATGTTTTTAATTTTTCCTATTTTGCCTTCTCCTTTTGTCTCTCTATCTGAAAATAAAAACAATAGATTTTTGTGTGTCATAATGTTATGCTTCTTCTTTTCATCTTGTTTCAGATTTGTCATCTTTCCAGCTACCACAATCATGACGTCTGTCTTTTTCCAATCATAACGAATCGGGTCGCCGAAACAAGCTAAAAAAACACGTGGAACAGCTGACAATAATATATCGTAAGAGCATCCCTCCTCCGCAGTTCTTCTTCTAGCTGAGGATGTTTTTTTTTTTTCAATTTTTCGAAGCCAATCTCTGATTCTCTAATAAACGGAGGAGACACACGGTGAAGGGGATCCCACAGCATTACACAACAAAAGCGAAGAAGCGCTTAGCGAGAATGAGGTGTGCTGGAGCTGCACTCGGAGATTTTTTGGGGGGTTTTTTGGAAGAAAAAGTGTACAACGTTTCGTTGCGGGAGTCAAAAAAACACATGTTCCTAATGAACGCCGCAAAGTTCGGGAGAATAGAATAGTATATGTGCTAGTGTTGAAAGAATTATCAAAAGAATAGTAAATGTGGGCATTTTGATAAAAGCTTGTTCAGAATTGACCGGAAAACAAAAAAGAAAAATTCAAATATCTTTTAGTCCCTAGAGATCTCCAAGAATATTATCGTTGTCTTATAAAAATGAGGTTCAGAGGGGATATCTCGTTAAACAATTCTTACAGGCGAAAGAGCGGGCTACCGTATTTTTTTCAGCCTATTTCAAAAGCTATTTTCTCTAATTTTCGACGGTTTTCATAGTTTTTTTTCTACGATTTTAGTCATTTCATGTCATTGTTTTCCCGGTTTACATGGAAAAAAACGATGAAAATCGTTGAAACATTGAAAAAATCGGAAAAAATAAGCTTAAAGAATGCGGTAGCTCGCTCTTGCGCTTTTAAGAAAATTTTAACGAGATGTCAGCTCTTAGCCTTTTTTCTCAGACAACGACAATAATCAGAATTTAGTTTTGTAACGAACACCTTTACTGCACACAATCAGAGATATGCCACGTGGAAGAGACGCTCATCACCCAAATTGAAGCTTGTTTAGCGGCATTTGTTGCATAGCGGCGTAGTTTACTGGTCAACTCAGATCATCAAATGTTCATTGTCTTCGTTTGGGAATGCTAGTTGGGTCAAGACCACATTTGACCTATTAACACCCAACCTCTAATAAAAGCTCATTCTATGCCACGTGTTTTGTCCTCATCTTTTCTCCCGGCCAAAACTTCTGCCATCTGGAAACGAGATAAGAGTAACCTACAACGCCAACTGTTTTCTTTCTCCTTGTTATGTTGTGTTGCCACGCACATCCGAAATCTCCGGTCCCCCCGTCATTCAGATCTTCTTGAGAAGAACTCGAGAAGAGAGCAGAAAACAACGAAAAAAAAAGAATTAGAAACAAAAGAAGTGAAATTTTGGGAAGCGGATGATATGTGTGTTAAAAGTGTCTAGTGATCATTGAGGAAGTTGAGATGATGGGGATAAGAGGGAACAGTTGATTTGGTATACGATAGAAATCTAAACTTTTCAGATTATGAAAAAAAACTGATCCTTTGCAGGTCAACCTAGGAGAAATGTATCCACCTGGCAAAAGAGGCTGAGCAATATCTGGAAATGTATCATCTATGGGGTATTGACTATGGCAAATGCAAGCCTCGGAACGTATCATTCAAAAATTAAGAAGCTGAAAATAGTCACTTGAGGCTGAAAATAGAAACCTGAAAATAATGGAAAAGCAGGGGCTCTTTATAGTTCTTGAGCTAAAATAACAGTGAACTCAACAAAATTAGGAAAACATATTCATATTCAGCTCAAGGAGAGGAGTGAACACTCACTAAGTTTTCTTGGTTCATGAAACTTGTAATAACTTTTTGATCTACAAAAAGGCATCAAGTTTTTTATAGATCACTTTTTAGTTTTGTAAAACTTTTTACGGGTACCGAGACACTGTAAACACTCTAATAGAACGCTTTTCAAGCAGACAACTTTAAGTCAATTTATCTTGGTTTTTGTAAAAGATATCAAAAAGTTGTCAACTGATAAATTGTTTATCATAATATCAGCAACATTTCACCAGTTATCCACTTTTTCATATCTTTCACTGAACCCGAGATAAATTGGCTCAAAGATAGAAGTTGGAAGTGGCGTTCTATTAGAGTTTTCACGGTAATCAATTTCGAAGTTACACAAGCAAGACAAAAACTGTATTACAGTACCATTTCAAAGAAACTCTTACAACCCCGGAATCCCGTTTTTTTTTCATTTTTTCCCTTATGGTTGTATCAAAGACCTCTCCGGGATTGACTCCACAGATTCCACTCTTGCTTCTACTCCTTCTTCTCAATTCTATCCTCACTTCGCTTCTTCTTTCTGTCTCAATATCTGCTGTAATGTGCTCTTCTTCTTCTTGCCATTGGGGTGGGTGGAAAGGATCCCGTCCAAAGTGTCTCGCCACTCTCTCTGATTGCCCAACTATTCTCCCTTCAACACCCCCACTGTGATGCCTGGAATGAGGCGGAGAGTGTCCTGATGGGAAGACGTATCGATAGGAGAGAAGAGGCTCAAAAGAAAGCAGGAAGAAAAAAGTGGGCGGAGCCTGGACGACGAGAACCCGAGAAGCAAGCCCCAGCAAATTCATTCTCCCCTCCAATTTGAATCGTCGTCACCTCCGCGTGTTTCAAGAACACAACAACCACTACCAAAAATGGACGCCATTAAGAAGAAGATGCAGGCCATGAAGATCGAGAAGGTTTATATGATTGCCCTTTTTTTGGGTTCAAGAACCCTTTTTCGTTATCTTAGTGTTTTCGTCCTTATATAGCGTCTTTCAAGATTCATCTGGATTTCTGAAACATCAAAAGCATAGCTTTTAACTTTGATTAACTAACTAGGTAGCTTCATTTTGAAAATTATGTTGTCTTCTCAAGATTAATATATATATAGATCGTCCTGAATGTCATAAAACTCTAGCTATTCTCCTGAATGTCATAACACTAAACCAACTGAAATCTCAAAATGCTTTTTTAAACTAGATAATTTTTCCAGTAATTTTTTGAAACTAATTTACTAGATTTTTTCAAACTGGGATGACTTCCGAAACCTAATTTACTCAGCCCAGCTACCATTGAGCCTAGCTACCCATCCTACCCACCCACCCCTTCAAACCTTCCTCTACCTCCAACTTACCATTTTCTCCCGTTTCCAGGACAACGCTCTCGATCGTGCCGATGCCGCTGAAGAGAAGGTCCGTCAGATCACCGAAAAGCTCGAGAGAGTCGAGGAAGAGCTCAGAGACACCCAGAAGAAGATGACTCAGACCGGAGACGATTTGGATAAGGCCCAAGAAGACCTCTCGGCCGCCACTTCCAAGCTCGAGGAGAAGGAGAAGACCGTCCAGGAGGTACGTGACTAGGTCTTTTTGGTTTTGGTCGACTTGTTTCGGCGTTTTGGTTTTCTCTTTTTTTCGTACAGGTCCTTTCAATTCACAAGCACAATATGAAACGGTTATAAGGTTTGTTTGGTTTTTTCAACAAAAAAAAGAAGGTTCTTCCTGAATATGGTTAGTAGTTTCCCATTTCTCTTTTTGAACACATACACACATCATAAAGTCAATTAATCCGTTAATTAGTCACTATGCGTGTGTGTGTGTACAGCTAGTTTTCATTCCATCTCTCTTCCTATATCTGTCCTTTTCGCTTCATATGACGTTGTGACGAGGATGATGATGATCCGCGGTTTTTCCCTTTTTCCTCTGCTTTCCATTTTGTTTCTCCTATTGTCTTTAATATTAGATAGAAATGTATTGTTTCTTCTTCCATTTTTTTTTGTTGTATAGATTCTGACTGTACAGTCAACATGAGTCACCTGAAACATGGGTTACGGTCCCTTTTTTCCTTTCCAAGCGGGGGTTTTTTTGGGATCTCCCTATCAATACATAACTGATTCGTTGTGTAATAATCTCATCTGTTCGTCTAGGTCTTCTTATGTAGAGGGCGCGGTCCAAACTTGATGTAACACACTTCCTGTATTCTTTTTTTCAACGGCTTCTGAATGGCAAAAGACCTAAGGAGTACTTGGAAATGTTCCCTTGAACCTTAGGTTAGCTCCTGATCCTTAATGTCTAATTTTCACAAAATCTGGAAAGTATTATTTTAATCTCTTGTTTGGAAAGTTTCTGAATGCCGCGTTTTTTATACCTGAATCTGAAAAGTTTTTGAAGACCTTCCTACCTCAAGGCTTCAGAACCCGTCAATTACCATACTCTCAGCTTTGAACCAGCATATCTCCTCTCCGGTAAAAGGTATAAAAAAGTTGTTTACTGATAAATTGTTTGTCTTAATATCACAAACATTTTATCAATTGACACATTTTTGATATCTCTCATAAGTGCCGAGATAATTGAGCGCAAACTTGACAGTCCTTCTATTATAGGATTTACGGTTCCCCCTTCTATGAGCTTTGTAGGATTTTTCTTCGTTCCAACTTCTTCCCACCTAAATTCCATTTTCTATCCGATTCGCTAAGTTTTCTATCTCTCTCCGAAAATGAAAAAGAAGATAAACTTCGAGTGTATATGAGAGAGAAAGTGCCGCGCCATTGTCTTCTCTTCATATTCTCTGAGTCTCTCGACGGCTCGACGAGCTCTAACTGATTACAACGAGAGAGAGTGAGGAGCTGTTTGCTTTACAACAAACTTTTCTGTTTCTCTCTCGCTCTTCTGTTTCCCGCCTCCTTCTTCCCGGGAGCTCACTGAGCACGGGAGCATCTCTCCCCCGCATTTCTTGGGAGCTCTGATCTGTTGCTCCGAGAGAAGTTGCTGCCGCGGCGAGCTAGAGAGGGGGAAAGAAGAAATGAAGAATGGCATGTCGTTTTTGAATTCATACACATGGTAGTAATAAGCTGATGGCGTAAAAAAATGAAAAGAGGCATTCACTAAACTGGTCGCGGGAAGTTTTGAAACAACTAGATTTCTGGAACAACTAGATTGCTATAGACTTCGCAAGCTTATACAGTTTAGACATCAAGGTTCAGATACTGTGCAGGGCATCAAAAATTTATAACAGTGGAATTTAATACTAGAACATAGACATCCTCTTAGATAGGCCCCCCTCTTAGACAGAAGGGCCCTAACTTTAACTTTTGAGCCAATTTATCTCGTTTCCTGTAAAAGAAATCAAAAACTTGACGACTAATAAATTGTTTATCGTAATATCCCTAATATTTTATCAGTTGACACATTTTTGAAATCTCTTACAGGAACCAAGATAATTGAGCTCAAACTTGTAAATACTGTAATTTCTAGAGTAATTCCTAGTTTCCGGAAACCCTAAAACCATATTCATGAGAAGTTCGAAACGGCATTGAACTGTCAAGATCGTCGTCACATGGCTCTCACCTACCAATTAGAGACACCTTTTCTCCCCAACAATACAGGAAGGGGCCGGTTTCTCTACCAACCACAATTTCAATGGAAACGAGCGCCATTCCTGTATACAGAAGGCATGTACATAAGGAACGATGATGAAGAAGGGGAGTAGAAGAAAAGAAGGAGAGGAGAGGGAACATGTAATTCGGGTAAATACTCGAATGTGTCTATTGTTAGGTATATGCGCCGCCCCCTTTTTCCTTTTCCGGTCAAAACACTTCAGAAGACGAATGGAAAAACCTAGATGGCAATCTCCTGGAAGATCATCATCTCCGAAAAGTGTTGCAAATATTTTCGAGAAATTTTTCCAAGAAATTTTTGGCGCTCAGCCTTTTTGCATAGTCTAAGAAAAAGCGATTCATCAATAGACGTGCCCACTCTTCTTTCTTCTCTCTCTCTCTCTCCCAATAGTGGGACACACATTTTCTCCTTCTCTGGGTCCTTTCATTCCTTTTTACATGTCCAAATCAAGTTGTAGGCAACAGAAGAAGAAGAAGAAGAAGAAGAAGAAGAAGAAGAAGAAGAAGAAGAAGAAGAAGAAGAAGAAAAAGATATTGGATTACTCCAGATGTGCCCTATGTATACTTTTTGAATTTTTTCTAGTTCTCTTTTTTAGAAAGAAAACCTATTAATGTTCCAGTATGAAATGTTTGCCCTATTACCACCATTCGCTTTTCTCTCTATTGTTCCATCTTCTTCTTCCCCGCGTCGCCTTTTCAAGTACTGTCATCTCATCACTTACACTATCAGTCTAGCTACTCTCCACCATCTTTCACACTATTTCCCGGGCTCCGTACAGTCTTAAAACTCCGCAATTCGAATGGTATTTCCATGGAAAAGCGTGTGTCTCCGCCCGCCCGCTGGGTTTTTTCACTTTGTTTGTCGAGGAGCATAGGGGGGTGGCGCCCCCCTTTACCCAGTCATATACTTTCATTGCATAAGACACTCGGAGTGAGTCGACTCGACTACTTGACAAATCTTCATTTACTCTTACTTCTGTTCATTTACTTTTACTTTCTTAACTTGAAACTTCCTTTCCTTTTTTGCTTCGTTACCTTCATTCCATTGCTCATCTTCTGAATTCGTGCAGACATGTCGAAGGTGAACAAGGAGGGAGCTCAGCAGACGTCGCTTCTTGATGTCCTCAAGAAGAAGATGCGTCAGGCCCGTGAGGAGGCTGAAGCCGCCAAGGACGAGGCTGATGAGGTCAAGAGACAGCTCGAGGAGGAGCGCAAGAAGCGTGAGGATGTATGTGGATTCTATTGTTATCAGCTAGAACATTTAGCGCCCACTCATTATGATTCATTCTCTTTTTCTCACTTCTGAACTTTCTGATTAGCCTGCTCCCGTTTTTTATAACTTTTCAATCTGAAACTTTTCTAATAGACAGGTAGAATGCTGAAGCCTTTTTTCATCTTAAAAATGTCCTAAAGTTCTAGAAGCCCAATAATTTTTCCGCCTAAATACCTCTCTAATTTTTAAAATTCTAGAAACCCAGACACTTTTTTCGGTGTCCCAATTAGCGTGCCTACGAATTAGCAGGTTTTTTTTTGAATAATCCTCCTTTTCCGTTCTGTCATAATTCTATTTAGTATAACAAGGCAAACTCCTTCCGTAGATTCACCCGCACGGGAGCGGCACTAAGTCAACAATTCATAAAGTGGGAGAAGGCTCTGATTTTCCCAGGAATATAAGAAAAACGAAGTATTTGTTCTCCCTAAAAACTCTAGGGATGAGATATTGTAGGCTGAAGCCGAGGTCGCCGCCTTGAACCGTCGTATTGTGCTTGTGGAGGAGGACTTGGAGAGAACCGAAGACCGTCTGAAAGTTGCCACGTCGAAGCTTGAACAAGCGACCAAAGCTGCCGATGAGGCTGACCGGTTCGTTTTTTTACCCATTCGCATTGGTGTCCATTTCAGGCTGAGGCTGAGGTCGCCTCGTTGAACCGTCGTATGACCCTTCTTGAAGAGGAGCTCGAGAGAGCCGAGGAGCGTCTGAAGATCGCCACCGAGAAGCTCGAGGAGGCCACCCACAACGTCGACGAGTCTGAGCGGTAGGCATGAGATCAACGGATTCTTGGATACCGAGTCTCTCTTTGCCGCCTGAAAATGCTCATCCAAAACATTGAATATTGTGTCGTCCATTGTCTCTTGTCTATTTTTTAAACGTTTTAGTGCGCGCAAGTCGATGGAAACTCGCTCCCAACAAGACGAGGAGCGTGCCAACTTCCTCGAGACCCAAGTCGACGAGGCCAAGGTTATTGCCGAGGATGCTGACCGTAAATACGAAGAGGTCCGATTTTGGAATGCGCGTGTGTATGCCTAAACGTTTTGTCATGTGTCATCTGTCCTGAATGTTACCCCCTTTGAGAATTAATTTTAATAGTTTGAAGTTTTTTTGCTCATCTCTAATCCATTTATAGGTCACGAAAAGCGCTGAGCAATCAAATCGAGCTGGATGATGATAGATGCGCAGAGCTGGAAAGGAAGTTGAGAGAGTGTCAGTCGATTTTGCATGAGACTGAAAACAAAGCAGAAGAGGTATAGGCTTCCACTTTTTTCTGATTTTACATGTTCTTTCTGTTCTTTAACACATAGGGTCTACCAATTCTAATTATTTATGTTATGTGCACAGTCTGGTCCATATTATCTGGGAAAGCATCATCAGGTGGCACAGAACTCCCTCGGAGAAAAGGCGAAATCCGTTTAGGGAAATCACGATTACCTGATCCACTTCCAGCGTCCGCAAGGTTATGGAGAACCGCTCCCTCCAGGATGAGGAGCGCGCCAACACCGTTGAGGCCCAACTTAAGGAGGCTCAACTCCTCGCCGAGGAGGCTGACCGCAAATACGATGAGGTTATATTGGGTGCACAGTTTACTAATAATCCTTGATTCGTTTCTAATCACATTATAAGTACTAATGGATGCTGTTGACTAGTCTTCATTTGATTCAATTAGTTACCGTATTCTTGCAGGTCGCCCGTAAGCTCGCCATGGTTGAAGCTGATCTTGAGAGAGCTGAGGAGCGTGCCGAGGCCGGAGAGAAGTGAGTTAAAGATCCATCCCTGACTACCCCTTCTCAGTTTTCATTACGCTTCTTAACTCCAGCTAACATTAAACAACGCTTATGCATTTCTCATTATAACCCCCATACAGCAAAATCGTCGAGCTTGAAGAGGAGTTGCGCGTCGTTGGTAATAACTTGAAATCTCTCGAACTTTCCGAGGAGAAGGCACTTGAGAAGGAGGACATCTTCGCTGAGCAGATCCGTCAGCTTGATTTCAGACTGAAGGAGGTATCCGAAACGATGTCCGAAAGTGAAATCCAATCCTCCACACATCCATATTACCTTTTGAGACTATTCTAACTTTGATTGACTCGCTTTAACACGAAACGCTTCAAACTTTGTATATGATCATTTTTGAGTGACTTTTGATTTTCGAAAACTAACATTTACACAGAAAAGCCCACACGGCTGAAGTCCAAGCGCGGGGACTAGCATCGAATCTGCGGGACACCCAGGATCGCGTAGATCTACTCCAGCTACAAGACCACCAAACATCAGATCTTATGAAATGCGCTCTAGAATCACGAATGGAGGTTTTGAATCTATATTCCATTAATGTATACATAACTTTTTGCCTATATATGCACGACTAATCTATCTACGGCCCCTTTTTCCATTTCAATCTTTCCCTTTCCTCCCAAAACGTCGTTGTCCCAATTTTCAGCAAGATCGTCGAGCTTGAGGAGGAGCTCCGCGTCGTCGGAAACAACTTGAAATCCCTTGAGGTGTCCGAGGAGAAGGCCCTCCAACGTGAGGACTCGTACGAGGAGCAGATCCGCACCGTCTCTTCCAGACTGAAGGAGGTCAAAATCTTGTTATTTTTATGTAGTCCTGTAGTCTTGTCTTTACTGTCTACTGTACTATGTCTCTGTCTACTTGATTTAAGCTTTATTTGAAAATATTCGTTTTGTTTCAGGCTGAGACCCGCGCCGAATTCGCCGAGCGCTCCGTTCAGAAGCTCCAGAAGGAAGTCGACAGACTCGAAGGTGAGTTCAGGGGGTATTTAGGTGGAAGTCCTACTTCGTTTAGGTTCTGTATTTTGTAAAGTTTATTTGTCCAAATCAGTTGGACACTGTGTCTTAAAACTGTCCGTATGTTGTCCTATGTGTAATTGTCCTCAGATGAACTTCTCCTCGAGAAGGAGCGTGTCCGAAACTTGACCGAAGAAATCGAACAAACCGTCCAGGAGATCCAAGGATCATAAGAGAGTACGGGTAGAATTTATATGAGCATGAATGATGAATGTATAGATGAATTTTCATAGAATGTGCACGATATAACATAACATAAAAGAGTGGTTTTCTTTCTCTTAATACTTGTTTTCAGAGGATCGTGATGCGGAAATCCGCAAAGCACGTCAATTGCAAGACGAGCTTGACCATATGGTCCAAGAGCTCAATTCAGTTTGAGAATGCTCTTCTTCTACTTCTTCTTACTCCCAAAATTGTGTGTATAAACTCTTGTTTCCTAATTTCCTGCCGTGAAGATGATTGATTTTAAAAATTAGTCTATGTAAGTTGAATGTTGACTCATTGTCCTTCTACCCTTCCTTCTGCTACCTTTTTGAGAATCCACATGGATTCGGGGAGTGTCATAGTTCAAAATTTTGTTTGCCTAATAAAAGGCCACCCAAGCCTTTAACTTTGAACCTATATATCTCGGTTCCTGTAGAAGGTATCAAAAAGTAGTCAACTAATAAAATATTTCTGATATTATGATAAACAATTTGTCAGTTGACTACTTTTTGGTATCTTTTACAGGAACCGAGATAAACTGGCTCAAATTTGGGAGACCTTCAATTATTTTGTCAATTATACACTCCCCTTTAAGAATGCTCCCCTTACCCACTTCTATCCTCTTTCTGCAGTAACCTTTAAAACAATATTTAAATTTGAAATTTTCAGACGAATTGGTGCACGAGAAGGAACGCTACAAGACCATCTCCGAGGAGCTCGACTCCACCTTCCAGGAGCTCTCCGGATATTAATTCCATCCAATATTCAATCTTGTGTCCGTTCCTCCTCTTTCATGCCTACTTGTATTTTCGTCACAATATGTCTAACGCCCCACCCCTTTAAAAAAAACCACCACCACTCTTCAAAAAACACTCAAACTTTCCCATTTTTTGTCTCTTTAATTTTCTCTCTCTCTATAAAAAGCTTCTAAATGTTTTACCACTCGTTAAACTGTATCCAAAAATTCTCCTACAGAGATGAGAAGCTGAATTCTTTTCTATTCTCTTTTTAATTTTTTTTCTCTTTCTTTTAATCTTTTTATGTGCAAATCCCAGCTTCATTGCAATTATACAAGAGCCGGCAGATACCATCAATTTTTTTTCTCTTCTCGGATAATAAAGTTTTGATTGGAGACCAGTTTTTTGAATATAGAATTTGACTGTTTCCCACATACAGTTCCCATAGGAAACTCCGCATCTTTTAAAACATAACACAGAAAGGGACTGGACCTATCCTGAAAATGACAAATGACAGTTGAAGGAGTTAATCCATTAAAGGTGGGGAGACAAGAAAAAAAAATAATGTTCTCGAAATTCCGTCTGAATATGCCCCTCGAGGAGTTGAGCTAGCATGGGCGAGGATTGAGAGTGCGGCGCCGCTACCGACTGAGCCACGCGGGCAAAAAGGTAGCCAGCGCCCGATTGCATACATAAAGGCGAGGACGCCGGCTGTACGCAGAGTGGCATTAAGCGTTGAACACCGTGACGGTAGAATGCATACTCTAGCTACAAAAAAACTACGAAAAATCTCCTGTCCCCCCACCTTTAAGTGTAAGAGTAATAATTTACAAATATCATACTGATCAATTAACAGTATCCCAATAGATTAATTCTTTAAAGAACAAAATCTTGAATACTTAAAAACATTTTTCTGCTCAAAATGGTCATTTTTAGAATGCTCACAATACTTGTTCATATTACTTTTGAACTTTTCAATATCTTCCTTACATAGGGTCCCCATGTCAGGCTGTCCAGAATGAGATAATATTGGACCCAATTTTGAAGACAGATTTCGAGAAAAATCACATAACCAAATATCACTCTTAATATTTGGTTGCAGTACTAGGTTCAGCGTATATTAGAACAGAGAAATAAGCATTCCGAGTTTTTCCTAATCCACCCATAGCGTTGGAAGTCGTCATTCGTAGATCGTTCATAACTTGGCTCATTGTGCACCCTAGAAGCTGAAACCAGTCTCAAATATAATCATTTTCAGCCTTTTATCCATTTCCGTCGAAAAAACGAAGAAAATATCGAAACTCTTTAAAATCGTAGTTTCCCTGAAAACGCATTTCCTCTGTTTGCCTCTCCCCCATTTCAATAGAGAAAAGTGGGCGGAGTCTTCTGACACACAAAGTATAGTGGCCGGCGCGAACCCGGGAAGTGTCGGCTGCTTCTGGGGGAGCGCGCCGATTATTCTGTCTGTTGCGTTTATGAACTGTTTTGCAACGGAAAATTGAGGTAACTTATTGAAAATTGGTAGACTGACACTTTGAAATACGGAGAATCAGAAAATCTACTTTCCAAAATGCAGAGTGTTTGTAAAGTATGGTAATTTTGACATAAAAAAGTAAATTGTAATGGTTTAACTTTTTCTGTTTGTTTTCTGGAACTTAAAAAGTTTACAGACTGACACTGGGACCAACAACGTCTAGCGTTTCATAAGACACCTAAAAACTTGCATTAGAAGGGCTCCGCTAATAGAAGGGCCCTCCGAAAGGGGTTTGGAAAAAATAGAAGGATCCCCTGTAATAGAAGTGCCTCTGTAAAGGACTCAAAATTTGTTTTGAAATTAAAGAAATTCCGGAGGTTTTCAGTGAAAAATATTCCGAGATATCCAGTTTAATAGAAATTTGTTGAAACACTTTTTTTTTAACTTGCTAAATTTTGTTAAAATTGACAGATTTTCATGAAATTTGAGCAAAAGTTTGTCGAGTTTTCTAATGTAAAATATTAGGAAAAATGGTCGGAAAAATAGAAGGGCCCAACTTTTTCAAGAATGTCAAAACCCAAAAATCCCCACATCGCCAGAACACCTCTGAACAAATGGAAATTTTCAAAACAAACAAACCGTCACCCAACCACCACAGATAGACACATCATTTGGTCGAAAATGAAAATGACAGTTTCTTTTTCCCGCCACCACTTTCTTTGATTTCAAATTCCCCCTTTCCGTTATCCTTGTCGCTGGCTGCCTATCGGGAAGTGATAGAATGAAATGATCCGGTATTTCTTATATCTCTCTTTCTGTGATTCTCACATGTTTTCTTCTGGAATCTCTAATTTTATTATGTGTCGTTAAGATGGCTTTTCCCTTTTTTATTAACCGCCCTTTCTCGATTTCTCGCATAACTTTTTCTATTATGAATCCTAGTTGAAGTCCTCTAGAATTCTTCCTTATAACTTTTTCCTGTGTCTTCGCAACACAAACTTCTTGAAATGTCATCATTATCATATCATCTTTGACTCTTTTTTCCCGCTGAAAATCGATTATTTGTACATATTTCCCTCCTTCTTCTCTCTTATCACTGAATAAAAGAGCAGCCAATGTCATAGTGTATGTATATGTATGTGATTGCTTCTCACTGCCATTTTTTCCTTTTGTGGTGCCCACTCGTCTCTGTTTTATAGACTGTTTTAATAGTTTGAAAAATATAAATAAGTTTTTGTTTTTTTTTTGAAGGAAATGAACGAGGATGGCAAGCCACCTCTGCCATCGAGTCCACCTCCGGAACCTTATGAACCGCCGAGAAGAGTCAATTTTAATTTAAGCAGGTGAGAGTTTTGCAATTCGAAATTTGTTCCCCTGATCCTTTAAAGTGCATTTTTTTTAATTAGTGTTCATCAGTTCAAAAGTATAAAACTTCAAAATTTCAGAAAAATACCGTTAAACATGTAATAGAAGAACCCTCACCCTGTCAAGTTTGATCTCGTTTTTCTCGGCGTCTAAGCAAGATATCGAAAAAGCATCAACTGACAGAACACTTTTGATATTATGATAAACAATATATCAGTTGACAACTTTTTTCAAACTTTGACAGGAACAGAGAGAAAATCGGCTTAAAGTTGTGAGTTAGGGAGCTCTTCTATTACAAGTTCTACGATTTATACAGTTCATTATAACACAGACATAGAACTTGGTTTTTGTAACTCAGAATTTTTCACAGAAAGTCATGAGAATACTGTGAAATTGCCGTAAAGCCTGTAATAGAAGCCCCCCCCCCCCCCGCTACCAAGTTTGAGCTCAATTATCTCAATTCCCATGCAAGATATCAAAAATGTTTTAATTGATGAAACCTTGGTAATATAATGATAAATAATTTATCAGTCGACACCTTTTTTATATCTCTGATAGGTACCGAGATAATTGAGCTCGAAGTTAAAAGTCGAGTAGCCCTTCTATTACAGGTGTTACGGTATCAGGAGAACTTTGTTTTTTTTCTAAATGATCAGTCATGTTTTAGTGTCTATTTGTATTTTAAAATAGACAAATTTCTAACCTCAAGTGATACATAATCAATGTCATGACATCACAGGGTTCCAAAATGCCTGGTCCGAAATCGCGCGCCAGCGTCTCTTTGAAATTATTAAATTTTGTCCGGTCTAAAAATTACCGTAAACACTCTATTAGAAGGCCACCCAAACTGCCAATTGGAGTTCATATATCTCGGTTCCTGTAACGAATATCGAAAAGTGCTCAACAAACAAAACTTTTATGATAATATCACCAATATTTTACTAGTTCACTACTTTTTGATATCTTTCACAGTAATCTAGGTATATGGGCTCAAAGCTGGCGATTTGGCTGGCATTCTAATAGAACGTTTACAGTATCTTCGGCGCGATTTCTGACTATTGTCGAATTAAAAAAAGTGGAACCTGAAAAATTTCGCGGGTGGCTTTCCGGTCAATTTTCGAGGCCTTGCCCCAAAAACACTACGGTAGTAAACGAAACTTATTTCTGTGAATTTAGTGGGATTTTCTGGACAAAATTTATGTTTCTCGGTATGAAAATGATCGCTAGCATCTCTAGAATCTGTTTTTCAGCGAAAAACCGAACTTAATTGCGAAAGTAGCTCGAACCAGGCGAAACTCTGAAATATTAAGTTTTTGCCGCACTTTTTCGTAGATCAAAAAAAGCTACGCCTTTCAAATTCTCAGGTCTCACTTTTTTTAATTCGACAATATCCTTTTTTACCGATGTCAGCCACCTCTAATTGCCAATGATCCCCACTTGAACCCATCCATCGTATTCCACGTGGGATTATTTGTGTATGAACACATACATATCTGTGCATGTGACACACAGAGTGTCCGATTACGTGATTGCGCACGGAGAAGAGGAACCCGGCTTTTTGCCGTTCGCCTCAAATTTCCTCTGCCGTTCTTTTCCCCGCGCCAAAATCAATCCGGTCACCACACCAACAGAACTGTCAAGTGAGAACCTGAACGATCGGTCGGCAGGAAAAAAACGGTCAGGTCGTGCTCCCTGCACACGGGGCTCACGGGCGGTATGTGTGTGTGCAATTGCAAACACATGCTAATCGTCAAACAAATATATGAATACCACTTTCTCTTGGTAACCGTGGTGCATCCTCTCTATCTTTTGCATTTGGAATTATCAAAGATTTGAATAATATAGTCGAAACTAGTTGGTGCCACGTCATCATCTTCTGCATCTGCATCATCGTCGTTATCAGAATATGTGATTCTCTGTTTAATTGTCTCCCATGGCTATTTTCCATTCCTTCTAGTACATCCAGTTTTCTAGTAACAGTCGTTTTCGTTTTTCTCTAATTGCAAAAAAAAAACGTTTACTTTCTCTTCACTTGGTGATTAGAAGAAAGTAATGGAAAAGAAATGAACTCTTGATTCTTCTAGAATTTCAGAGTAAAATAGAATTACTCTCATCATCGTGTAGTTGTTTCATTGGTAATATATTTTAATAGTTTCCGCCGTTACTTTGAGCTCTAGACGATTTCAAATTTGAGGTTTTGTAAGAATTGAGTGCTAGATTTCTTAATCATGTAAAATTTCAAAAACTTTTAAATATAAAATTTTCGTTTCATAGTCAGTTGAAGAATTGCAATTTTGTTTAAAAACCAATCTACCGTAAACCTGCAAAACTAGGTCCCCTAACTTTGGCCCAATTTACTTTGAGTATATTTATCTCAGTTCCTGTGAAAGATCGGACAACTGATAAACTGTTTATCATAATATCAGAAATTTTTAATCAATTGACAAAATTTTGATACCTTGTACAGGAACCGAGAAAATTTAGCTCAAAGTTGACAGTGTGGAAGTTTTTTTTCTATTTTCGATAAATCTGAAAATTTCCGTCTTCTAAACGAATAGTGTGACTTTATTCTTGGCTTCGGGAACTCCAATGTGTGAATTACTGAAATACCGTAATCACTCTTATAGCACACTACCCAAACCGTCAACTTTGAGCCCATATATTTCATTTCTAATGAATGATATCAAAAAGTGGTCAACTGACAAAATCTTTATCACAATATCAGTAACGTTTTGTTAGTTAACCACTTTTTGACATCTTTTACAGGAAATGAGATAAATGGGCTCAAAGTTGACGGTTTAGGTGGCGTTCTACTACAGGTTATAGGGCAATCTCTTTTAGATCAATTTGAAAACTTTGAAACCAATAATTTCATTTTTGGCTTCTGGAATTCCAGAATTCTCGTTAGTATTATTGAAATATCTTCTCAAGAATCTTGTTTATTTTAGGTGCAAAGTAGCCAGATTGTTCTGAAAATTTCAGAAAACATGAAAGCAAAGTATAATACCATAAAATCTGTAAAAGTAGGCTCCCCTCTATTATAGGAACCAATAAGGATTGACTTCTATGACAGGTTTTACGGAAGTATGGCTATAACTGTACAAAAGTTTTAGAGATTCTAGAAACTTCTCATCGTAATTTCAACTAGTACTAGACTGCCTACTCTACTCCTTCAAACACATTCTCAAATTACCCTGTTTGTGTGTGGACAGGGTACGTGTTGAGCAGACTCGTCGGTATACTAAGGTCACTCATCTCTTCCTTCCTTCCTGCTTTTGTGTGTTCAATCTCCCAGAGACCGTCCATATTGCTGCGTCTCGTGTCCAACAGTACTGTCTCTTACCTTGTTCACCATACGCCATTCAGTGTCACCTCCTTCCTTCCTTCCAATACAACTCGTTCCTCCTTATCTATTTCTCTTTCTCTCTATCTCTCTCTCTCTCTCTCTCTCTCTCTCTCTCTCTCTCTCTCTCTCTATCTGTATGTGTTGTTTCCTTGTGTTCACCGCCCTTCATATACCCTCTTTACACTTTTTCTTGTTTTTTTTCCTTGATTCAAACTTTTTGACTCTAGTTCTTTTTTCCATCAATTATTTTTTTTGTTTCACAAAAAACGGTGCCAATTACTGCTAGTAGAAAATAAAAGGAATGTTTTATTTGAATTCCGAAAATTGGCGGGCCGTCTTGAGGGGGAAAAATGACACAAAACGGTGACAGTTAGGAGGGAGAGAAATGACCGCGCGCATAAAACGAAACAAAATGTTGAAAAAGAAAGAGGACATAAGATAGATGACACCGAAATTCCTGTGTATTTTTTTGGTCTTCCGCTAATTTTTTTTTTGAATTCCTGGCTTCTAGAAACTGTAGTTTAGAATTTTTTAATTATGAAAAAAATACATTTACTGATTATTAGTCATTAGACTCCATCAGCCTGTTTGCCGCGCCTCTGGCGCTTCAAATAGCTGACTGGTGCGCCTTCGGCGCAGATTTAACCTATTTTCGAAGATTCCAGTTTATTGGCTTCAAAAATGTATGTTTTGAAAAATTCCAAAATTTTCAATGTTATTTATTTTATGGAAAACGAAATCTCAAAGAAAATGGATCTCAAGATTTTCGCTACTTTTAGAAACTCAGATTTTTTTGTTGTCTAGTTTTTTTTTTCTGGAAGTTCTACAATTCCACAATTTCCAATTTATTGAGTTTGTAACCTTTTGAAGGAGAATTTTCTGGAAAGTTTGAAATTGGCGGCCTTCTGAAAACTTTTATTTTAAATGTGTCTGTCTTCTGATTCCCGTTCTTTCTATGTTTTCGAATAGCCACCTGTCCAGCATCTTTTTTTCACTTTTTACTTTTTTTTTGAATTTTCGGGATTACTGTACTTTTTCTGTTTTGGACACCTGTCGCAGATTTTCACAACTCAACGATCAACACTTTTTGAACAACACAGTTTCATTTTTTTGAAAATTTTTTTCCGGAATGGTTTTTAATTGAATTTTTCAGTTCAATTTTAAGGTTTCGCTTCGAGACCAATGGTAATTTTACACTGTAGTATTACGGTATTCGCATTTGAGCGCGCTTACAAGACGTTTCGAAATCATTTTCTTCTACTTTTCGCAGCTTGATCTAATTTTTGAGCCCTGAAAGTCTTTTTTTTCAATGTTCTAATCTGAAAGTCTTTTTTTTTCAATGTCTTTTTTTCCATGTTTGGAATGTACCTTCCCCCACGCAATGTTATAAAAGTTCCATCACATGTTTACCATTCGGCTCTTTTGCCGAAAAAGGAGAGAGATAAGTAGGTGACGAGTGATTGCGAATGACTAATTTGATTTGATTTGGTAACGAGTGAAAGTTTTTTCTATTCTCTCTCTATCCTATATTTGGAATCGAGGACGTTTGTATAGTTCTGTAATATGGAATTTTCCAAAAATTCCGAAAAATTCAGAAAAAAAATCATTTGTTGAGTGCTACTAATAACTTTTCATCATCATCAGCCTCTCTTCTACTACCCAGTTGCCCGCAGCTGCTCCTCATTTTTTTCGAGCGAGCGTCGTCCCCAATTCCTCCTTGTGTCGGCTCGTAAACCCCTTCGATTTTTACCTCTTGTTCCTCACTTCGTTTAGCTTCAAAAATCTTCTTTCCTATGGTTTTTGAGAGTAGAAAAACCTTCTTTCTCAATGTATCTAGTTTCAGTTTTTAGGTTCTCTTGTGACCAACCCAACGCCGATCGCCTTTGATCACTAATTGGTCAGGTAATGGCTTTTTGGAGATTCTTAGCGGAAAACATCTCATGGACTAGTAATTTTGAGTTATCGAGGTTTTAATTACTTTTTTCAAAATTGAAACTTTTTTGGCAAATTTGTTCGAAAAGCTGAAATTCGAAATGTTTGTGATTTTTTCCCCTTTATTTTAATAAAAAATAATAGGTTTTATGTTGATTTTATGGCTTTAAAGTGCATTTTCATCTGACAAATTGCCGATGTTCCACTTTTTCCCACGGAATTCGCTCAAAATCTCGAATTTTGACCCGAATAATCCACGAAAATGAAATTAAAAGTGGGCGGAGTTTCGAATTTGCAAACCTCCCGCACACTTTTTCTCGCATTTTTCTCACCACCCGCCAAGTTCCATTTTTTGAATTTCGCAACTTTTTGTCATGATTTCTGTTACTTTGTTGATCACAATCTATTATTTCAAAGAGGTATTTTAATAGAATTTTTTCTAAAAAACAGGAAATCCGCTTCGTTAGCGCTCAGCTGATTTCTCGGGCAATTTTCAATTTCGAAGGTTTCCGCTTTAGAGATGATTGGAAAAATGTTGGTGTGGAGGAATCTTCGTCATCGTTCCTCTCTTTAATGTATTCTTCTTCTTCTCCTTCTTCTCTTCTTCGTTATATTCGTTCCCCCGCAAATCGTCTTGTGAGAAATGAGATGACCCATACCCCTGTTTCTCCGAAGCCTAGTGTGTTTTTCTTTTGTTGTCATCATAATTTATTGATTCCTCTCCTAATCACTTGTCGTTTTTCCAGTGAATCACCCCTCTACAACTTCAACTTGGCGACGTCGTCTTCATCGACATCATCGTCGTTCGTCGGCAGCGAGTTCCGCTTCTTCTCGCCAAGTTCTCCGGGTATTCCACTCATTCCGGAAGACAAACCATCCTACTACGAGTCTATTTTTCTACCAGGTATCTTTCTGAACCCCTTTTTATTTCTAAATTTCCAATTTCCAGTCTCAAGTTCATGGACATATCCTCCCTCAACAACACCATCACCGCCAATGATTGTTGAAGAGGGCGTGGCCAAGAACGGGCGGCCGGTAACACCACGGAGCATTGCCAACTCGCTGGATTCGCTGTCAGAGTGTGCACAGCATCATAGCGACGTTGTGAACGCCAATTCCAACAGTGCTAACGGGGATCGCAGTAGAAGTTTAGGTTAGTCAAGGGGCGGAACTTTAGAATCGGCAAATGCCACGTGGCGATTCATCTCGAGCTAAATAAAAGGTGTGCAAAATTGCGCTTTGCTACTTGGGAGCTTTTCGAAACAGGGGCGGAGCCTAGAAACGACGATTTCTATATTTCAAATTGAACATTTTGCCACGTGGCAGTTCATCCTGAGCTAAATAAAGAGTGTGCAAAGTTTCGATTTTCTTTTGAGGGCGAAACCTATTTCTAATTAAAAGTTTTGCCACGTGGCAGTTCATAGCAGGTCAATAGAGAGTGTGCGAAACATTGGAAGCTTTGAAGCTTTTATAAATATTTGAAAAAAGGGGCGGAGCCTATTCAAAACGACGATTTTTATAATTTTTCAAAATTCTTTTTTCCAGGTGATCTCCTCTCGGCGACCAATCAAGACGGCACCGATGCGATGCGGAATGGAAGCTACGACACTTTGGTATCATTTTCTAATTAAAACTTCCTTCTAATTATATCTTCTAGGTCTCAAAAGGCGGAGGACTAACTGACAGTGGAATTGGTGCCGGCCTGATGATGGGCATGCGCGACGAAATGGAAATGGAGGACAACGACGTCTCGTTGTCGTCGCCGGACCGCATTCCGACTGTTCGTTTATTGTTTTTATGGGGAAGTTGGGCAAAGAATATCGCAGAATTAAACGGGAACTCAGACCAAAAATTTTTATTGCATTAAAATGATCGAAAAGTTGTCTATTTTCCCAATATTATAGCGAAAAAATTCGAAAAAAAAATCCGAAATCCCCGAAAAATACCGTTAAAGGTGGGGGGACATGAAAAAAATAATGTTCTCGAAATTTCGTTTAAATATGCCCCTCGAGGAGTTGAACTTGTGAAGGCGATGATTGAGGGTGCGGCGCCGCTACCGACTGAGCCACGCGGGCAAAGAGAAAGCGGACGCCCGATTGCATACATAAAGGCGAGGACGACAGCTGTACGCAGAGTGACATTAAGCGTTGTACACCGTCACGGTAGAATGCATACTCTAGCTACAAAAAAACTACGAAAAAAAAGTTGCTAGGAGGGACGAGGATTTGAATTCCCGCGCAGTGAGAAACCTAGGCCACGGCGCCTGATAGCATTATTTTCAAGTGGCCGACAGTGGTTTTTTACGTTTTTAACCTGCCGGACATGAAAACCGAAAAAATTCGGAAAAATTTCCATGTAAGAAAGGCGCTATGATGCCGTGGCCTAGGTTTCTTACTGCGCGGGAATTCAAATCCTATTTTTTTTCAACGCCGTTTTTCGGGGATTTAGGATTTTTTCTGAATTTTTCTGCAATAATATTAGGAAAATACATATTTCTTGAAACATTTTAAGGCAATAAAAATTTTTTTCAAAAAAAACCAATTTTCTATATTTTGAAAATTGAAAATCTCATTTTTTGAAGATTTTTCTTCCAGGACATCTCATCACCCGACTCATTCTCCTATCCTGCTGTCTCGTTCGCTTCGTATGATCCTGTGGTGGCCGGAAGTGTCTATTCGAATGGTGAGCTTTTTTTTATGAGCTTCATGAAAAGGGGCGGAGCCTAACCTCAATTTTCCTTTTGGTTTTAAAAAGAAGGTTCTCTAATGAAATGAAAAAAGGGGCGGAGCTTATTCCCATTAAATAATCGTCCGTTCGGAAAAATGAAATGTTTTATGAGCCAAAAATGAAATGTTTTATGAGCCAAAAATGAAATGTTTTATGAGCTAAAATGAAATGTTTTATGAGCCAATTTGATAGCTCAATACATTGAGAGTAATAAAAAGTGGGCGGAGCTTAATTTCTCAGGGTGTGCTCAGATTTTGGAATTTTATAGAGATATCTCCATCACGATGCGGAGAAGAGGTATTTTCAAAAAATATACTGTAAAACCTGTATTAGAATCCCCTCTAATAAAAGGGCCCACCGAGAGGGGCTTGGAAAAAGTGGCCAGAAAAATGGAAAGGCCCTCCGGAGCTACCTTGGAACAATAGATGGGCTAATAAAGGTTTTATGGTATATGGTCTAAGAGCCCTGATTCTAAACTTTCAGAAAGTGGGCGGAGCTAAGTTTTACAGTTTTTTCTTGTAACAAACTTCATAACCTTTTCCATGTTTCTATACCCACGGGGTTGGAACAGGGGACATGCATTCGAATTTTTCTCAGTGCTCTTGGGCGCGTTACGCCGCGCGACGCGGCTGAAATTTGTCTTGGAATTTGTAATTTTCAATTTTAAAAAAAGATGGCTTGGCACGGTGCCAAGTCCTTGAACTCGAGGTGTGCGCGGGCAATTCCGTGTATACCTAGAAGAACGCACATAATGCATTTCTTCACCCCTATTTTCCATATGAATGTGTGTGCATTGATGACGATGAAAAATGTATGTAAAGACATATTCTGTTCTGCATAAGGAGACTTTGTTGTGTAGAAGAAAGAAAAACAAGGAATCGGAGGCGACAATATAAAAAATTTTTTGATACCCCTATGAGTCATACCTCTCCTCTTTTGCCTTGTCAATAATCTCTGAATTGTTCCAGAGAACACAAACCCATTGGATTCTTCCTCTCCCAGTCGCGGTCACTCTTCAGACGATCGGAAGTACACAGAACTGCCAGCAATCAGTGAGGAATCGGAACACGAGCAATCCATTCATATTCCGTACAACTATCCCGTACAAACACCACCACCACACGCCTCCTCAGTCGGACCATTGCCATCGGCAGTGGATCGTCATCGAGAGGTTGTGGAGCACACATATCCGATGGTTCACTGCAAAAGTGCCCCATCGACGAATGCGTTCAACAACATTGAGCATCGGAGAGTGGTTAGTGATGATGTGACGGAGATTACACGATTGAAACGCAGTGAGGAAATGGAGAATATCGATAAGACGGGAAGAATTTCGGTGGGTAGAAGTTTTAAGGGTTTTAGAAGAAAAATGTGTAGAAAAATATGTAGATTCCTATAGAAACAACGAGAAAATTCAAGAAAAATTGCAAAATTTCGAAAAATCGGGTTTCAGGAAACTTCTGGGAGATTCTCGGATCTTTTTTGAATTTCCGCCAAAACTGGGAACTCTGAAAAATTAGCGATTTTTTAAAAGAAAGGTAATTTTTCTCCGATTTATTTCGAAATTTTTAGACCTTTTTAGATTTTTCAGCTATTTTCAAAAATTCTTCTTCGATTTCTCCGGTTCTTTTTGTCGGAAATTCGATGGAACGGTGTTCGCGAAGATTAATCTAGGTTACTGTAGAAAGTTAATTCCCTTCTCGTAGATTTTTTTTTGCAAACACAATCACGCCAAAATGCAGACAAAAACGATGTGAGCAAAAAAAACGAAAGGAAATTAGCTTCCTACAGTAATCTACAGTAATTTTACGAACACCGTTCCATCAAATTTCAGACAAAAAAACCAGGAAAATCGAAGAAAAAATATTTGAAAATAGCTGAAAAAGGTCTAGAAATTTTGCTTAAAATCGACGGGAAAATGCTATTTTGTTTCGAAAATTCGCAAAATTTCCGGAGTTCTCAGTTTCGGCGGGAATTCAAAAAAGTTTCCAGAACCTTCCAAAAGTTTCCAGAAATAGACGAAAACTGAGATTTTTCGCATTTTGATCCAATTTTTATACATATTTTTCTACACATTTTGATTTATTAATAATAATAAAAGACATAAAAAATATAACTTCTACAGTAACCAAAAAGATAATTTGCAGTTCGAAAAACGCTCCTCCTCGACACACAACTTGAAGAAACCGCGGTCCAAAAGCGCGATGATTGTGTTCCAAGGCGATCCAGAAGAGAATTCAAAAGACGAGGAGGACGTAGATGGATACTCCAAAGACAATGATATGCTGATTCTGGATAGGAGTGGTGTGGATCGATCGGCAAAGAATCCACTCCGGCATTATGATAATCGTGGGTTTTTTAAAGCTTCTAAAACCTTCTGAATCTAGAAAACAATTACAGTAAAACCTGTAATAGAAGGGCCCCCTAACTTTTAACTTTGAGAAATTTTATCTCGGTTCCTGTAAAAGATATCAGAAATGTGTCAACTGATAAAGTGCTTGTGATATTATGATAAATAATTTATCAGTTGATCACTTTTCGATATCTTTGTCAGGAACCGAGATAAATAGACTCAAAATTAAAAGTTAGAGGGCCTTTCTATTACAGGTGTTACGGTATTTACAATGCCTATGCATTCCTGAGAATGATTCCTCTGAGCTTTCGCTCCTGCTCTCCTTATTATTCCTTCCCTGTTCCTTGTATATTTGTGTTGGGTGGCCATGTACATATGCAACAAATTCCGCTTTCTTCTCTCTCTCTCTCTCCAGCTTAGATCATATGGGTTGTGTCTGTACAAAAGAAGAAGACGGAACACACATATACACATTTCTCTAGAGACAGACAGGTAGTATAGATTTCCTTATTGATACTTCCTAGACACCTATGTACATTTTTTGGAATTGTTTACTCGGGTTTTGGCTGTTTTGGGGATGAATATTCAGAATTCAACCAAATCAATTTCTTGAAATTTCCAGACTCCAACTTGCCCTCAATCTCTACCGAACCGCCACCAGTCCGGATACATCGAAAAGTGTCTGCAGCGTCTTCGTCGTCTAGAGTCTCGCCATATAAAGCCAGTGATCAGTCGTGGAAGGATAAGATGCCACCATTTGGAATGGTTGGTCATACGGTAGGTGTACAGTGATGTTTATAAGCGAAAACGGCAAATACAATACCTTTTTCCAGTTGATCTTCACCATTTTCAGAAGTCTAAAGCTCTGCTATCTAGGTTCTGATAATTTTGAAAATTCTGAAAGATGTAAAACCGACCAAGATTAAAAACTTTGAATTTACAGGTTTTTTTGAAAATCCCTAGTTTTTCAGCTATTTGGACCCTCTTTTCGGACCGTTTTCAGTACAAAAATGGGCCAAAAAGTGGTGTCGGGAAATAGCTCAAAAACTAGGGATTTTCAAAAAATTCTGTAAATTCAAAGTTTCCAATCTAGGTCTGTTTTAAATCCTCCAGAATTTTCAAAATGATCGGAATCTAGACAGCCAAGCTCTAAACTCATGAAAATGGCTGGCGAAATTCAACTGAAAGATAAATTTTTGTATATCATGAAACCTCTAATAGAAGGGCCCCACCTTGTCAAGTCTGAGCTCAATTATCTCGGCTCTTTTGCGAGATATCAAAAATGTGTCAATTGATAAATTAGTCATCACGATATCACCAATGTTTTATCAGTTGACAAATTTTTGATATCTTTCACATGAACCCAGCTAATTGAGCTCAAAAAATTTGACAGTTTGGATGGGCTTATATAAATGAAATGCGGGATTTTAGTTGGAAATGTTCAATGAAATGCACAAACTCTATTAAAAAGTTCAGATCGTATTCTAAAAAGGGCAAGTGAGTTTAGCAGATGTTGTAATGTGGATAGGCTGTTAGCTCTTTTTCTAAATTCCCCTATTTCAAATGACCCCCTAAAAGTGCATTTTCCAGATGTATTCCCCACAATCCCTCCCAACCAGAGACGCCATTCCACGCTCACCATTCGACGGATCCGGAACTGTTAGTGCCGGAGGATCTCAGAGGTATGCTTATCAGATAAGCCTTATCTTATTGCTAGAATTGCCATGTCATGTGAATGTCTTACTTTTTTCTGGTGGATGGTACTAAATTATCTATAGAATGCTTCAGTTTCTTTTATGAGTGTGCATTTTTCTTCTTTCTCCTTTGTTTTTCCCTGTGTTTTCAGACTGATTTCGTTGGAAGTGACAACTCCCGACGGAAGAGGCGACACGGAATCAACTGATAATTACTCCACACCACTACGTACTCGTACCTTTCACCATCATCACCACTATCACAGTATCCCATCACCACCGGCACTTCTTGCCACAAATGAAGTTAGCGAGGTGTTGATGCCACTATCTGAGATTTGTAATCAGAATCGTTTCTCCACCATTTCCTCGTCGACCAACACTGATTCGTCGCCGCCAAAATCCGCAACGCCGAACAGCTCGTTTGTTCGGAGGAGTCTTCGAAAGATAATGAAACGGAGTTCAGTGTCGGCGTCGACGCTAAATGTTGGAGTGGTGGATGATGGTGGAGGATTGAGGAATGGGTCGTTGAAACGGAGAGCTTCGAATGTGTCAACTGGATTTTTTGCATCCGCTCAAGCTCACTTGAAACCGAGGCCCAAGAGTTTGAAGAAGCAAAGGTTCGGTGGCGGTGTTGCATGTGGTTTATAAGAAATTTCCTATAAGTTTTGTCCATTGTCAAAAGTATTCTAGAAGCTATCTAAATTTAGAAAACAGTTCATATAGGAGCCCACCCAAACCATCAACTTTAAGCTCAATTATCTCGATTCCTGTTAAAGATACCAAAAGTTTGTTCACTGATAAAATTTTTATCATATATCATTATAACACCAATATTTTATCAGTTGACACAATTTTGGTATCTTCCACAGAATTCGAGATAATTGAGCTCAAAGACGACGGTTTGAATGAAATGCTATTATAGGAAATGAGGTATTTTCAAAATTTCTGATTTTCTGTTTTACTACAGTTGGATGTGCACGTCTATGTTGCTTGGTGGTATGGTCACAACTTCTTCTCCGTCGTCTTCTGGCGGAGAAGAGAGTGACGCATACTTTCCATCGGCTTCCTTGTCCTCGTTGTCACAGTCTTCGTCGTGAGTAACCGATGCTTGTGTGGTGTATTCTGTTGTGTGAAACCTCTACTAATAGTCTGAAATAAGGGTCTCAAAAGGGAACTTCAACACCTTGTGAACCCAGATTTTGGTGGAAATTTCAGGATAGATTAAGGGTGGCCTATCTAGAGACTTCGGAAAATTTCAGAATCCGCTCGCCAGTTTCATCCGAGTTATACGCGATTTTTGATACAGAAACTGATAAAACTCGGCTGAAACTGGCGAGTGAACTCTGAAATTTTCAGATGCGTCTAGTTAAGTTGTTCTCAACCTATCCCGAGACTTCCATCAATATCTGGACTTCCCAGGTGTTGAAGTTTCCTTGTCAGCCTAACTTGAAGCTTGAAACTCATTCAAATTATTCAAAATTTGTTCAGAATCGCCAAGAGCAACAAGAAAGAGAAGACTGGCTCGGATACGTTCACATTTGGAAATTTGTTCCGGAAGAAGGTAAGCCCCTGTCCATTCACAGTACCGGTCAATAAGATGTACAAAAACATGATTTTCAGTCGATTTTCGGCCATTTTTAGGAGTCTAGAGCTCGGCTGTGAAGCTGCTTATCACTTTGAAAATTCTGGAAGATCTAAAACAGACTTGGATTGAAAACTTTCAACATTCAAAGAATAAATTCCTAGAGAATCGGCGAATAGCTGAAAAACTAGAAACTTTCAAAAAATTCTATGAAAGCAAAGTTCTCAATCCAGGTCTGTTTTAGATCTTCCAAAATTTTCAAAGCGAACGGAAACTTGACAGCCGAGCTCCAGACTCCTGAAAATGCCGAAAATCAACTAAAAATCATGTTTTTGTATATCTTATTGACCGGTACTGTTAATATATCTGAAATGACTCATTTCTCGTCTCAATGAATCATTGGAATAATAACAAAAACAATTTTTCCAGCCAACTGCCAGTCGTCCAAATCTAGCTGACATCATATCGGATCTCGATCAGAGATCCACAAGGGGTGGCGGATCGCTTTCGGTTGGAGCCACAAATGTTAGTATTACTAGTTTTCAGTTCTCGAATAATTCTAGGTTTTGGTTTTTTTCTCGTCGCCACCGCTGCCTCGCTGCTGCTTGCCAAAACCAAAACATTATTTTCTCTCGTTTTTTGTCTCATAGCTATAGCTGAACAAAACGTTTAGGATTTTTAATCGAAAAATAGATAGATAGGTCTTATGATTTTGGGATTTTGGGTGGGAAATCGGAAACAGAATCTCTCTCATTTTTCTTCCCCAATGCCCTCTAGAGTATTCGAATTCCGGGTAACGGTTTTGTTCTCTCTTATTAAATTGTGTCTAGATTTCTAGTTAATTGATACAGATCAAAATAATCCCAGCTGGAGAATTGTCTGGGTTTTTTGTGGAGTATTTAAGTCATGGGCGCGATATTAGAAAGAAAAGAAAGCTGAAAATTCTGCGCTCAAGGTTTTTTTGGATCAAGGCGAGTAAAAACCATTTTCTGAAGAAGTTATTTTTGGTACAGTAGGTACAGTATCATTTTTATATACCGTAAAACCTGTAATAGAAGGGTCCCCTAATGTTCAACTTTGAGCCAATTTATCTCGGTTCCTGATGAAGATATAAAAAATTTGTCAGCTGATAAATTGTTTATCATAATGTCCTATACATTTGATCAGTTGACACATTTTTGATATCTCTTATAGGGGCTGAGATAATTGAGTTCAAACTTGACCGTGTGGGGCCTTTCTATTACAGTTTTACGATACTTTAAAAATTTAAGATGTGGCTGATATTATGATAAGCAACCTATCAGTTGACCGCTTTTTGATATCTTTAACAGGAATGGAGATATATGAGCTCAAAGGTGATGGCTTGGGTGGCGTTCTATTACAGTGTATACGGTAAATGAGTTTTTCATCGGGGACCCTAGAAGATATGTCTCTGATATCTAGGTGCTCCAAAATCACATCTAATCCTCCCCAAGTTATTCCTGATCATCCTCTCGGTACAAACGTTCTAGACACCAGACTAAGCCATCGCTACAAAATCCCTTATCTAACATTTCTTTTTCTTTCCAGCGACGCAGTACATCTGCTACAATTCTTCCGATGAGTGGAGGAGGTGGACCCAACGACCCGACGACTCCATTCGACTCTTCGTCTTTGGACGGTAGGCTCTTCATTATATTCTGAAATATTTTCTTCAACGAAAGAACGAAAACTGATTCTGAATCACCGTTTTATGACGGTGGTGTTGCCTCTTCTCTATTATTCGTGACGCCGCTGTTTGTTTCATTCTCTGCTTCCTTCTCAATCAAGAAAGTCCCTCGAGAATCGGTTTGTCTAGGCAACATGAGCTCGTTATCAGCAGCGGCTCTAGTTGCTCGTCGAGCCCGTAGAAAGTTCTCAACAGCGGACGTTGGTGGAGAGATGGAGAGCAGTAGCAGTGGAAACAACAGTAGTCCCTTCTCGACAGTCTATCAAAACATATTCGCACAGCATCTGACTATTTGTACGACGAGAGATCGGCGAGCTAGTAAGTTTTGTTTGGAAGGAGGGGGGAGGGGTTGGAAATAGAAAAGTTTGGAAATTCAAAAGTCTGTGGACATCTGGACAAACTCCCTAGATCAAGGCTAGGATGGGTAGGATATGGCGGCCTAGCGGCTCTAGAAGTTTCTGGGTGAATGAGCTTATTTCTGGAAGAACGGTCAGTTGGGTCCACGGCTACCAACCCACTGCCTGGGTAGCGGCCGACCGCGGCCCTGTTCTCAACCTTGATCTTTTTGAAATTCGAAGATGATTGGACATCTGGACAAACCCAAAAATTCTGGACTTGTTCATCTAACCCACTATATTGAACCCTCTGTGAGAGAATTCCATTCTTGGTATGTCGGACAAGACTACGGTAGTCTGTCCCTCCAAGATTTGTGACTCTTATACCTAGTCTACAGCTTTATTTGATATTAGCTCAAAAATGACACATCTATTCGAAACGCCTAATTTATGTACCAAGCGGTACCTTGGTGTTTGTTGCCACTGAGCAAGTCGAGTCACATGTCTTTAAACATGTAATTTAACTTCTCTCATCAATGGTCACTAACGATGTCATTTCCTCTTAAAAAGGACTCGCAAACTTTTTGAGAAACGAAATTCTCTTGCTCATTCACTTCACTCCTCACACACAACCAGTTGCCACTTGACACCTAGAGCTCTTGAAAAGTAAAGAGAGATAGAGTAGTGATAAGAGAGCTAAAGATGACTGTTCGTTTTGTGTTTGGGCTCTCTCGATTTAGGATTTCATCATAATAGTCGGCAGTATATGAACAACTAGTGTTCCAGCAGCTGTGAAACATGTGTATAGTATACCATGAACTGACCCCGACGATCCTATTTGAGAAAGAGAGAGAGCTCCTTTTTATTTGAACATTGACTCATGTCTTCTTCTTCTTCTTCCCCTACTACTTCTCTTTTTAGGAAGCGGGGCGCAGGCACTGGTTTTGAAACTACAAATGTCACACTTCATTCCATATATACTCTCCCTTCCCGTCGCTTTTTTTCTTCTTGATATTAGTGAAGTGAGAGATAGAGAGACCAAAATGCAAATTCGCACTCCAATAGAACCTTCAGGGGGCGAAAAAAAAACAAAACATCATTGAGTATGCTAAGCTGCTTCACAACTCATGACATTTCGGTTAAATTTTGTTCAAAGGGAGAGAATGAGAATAGTTCATTTATAGTGAGGAGCGACGACTTTTTTAGCATTAGAACCATATGTTTTTCTACAGTAATCCCTGGTATATTTGAAACTGGAAAGTGTAAGCTTAGGATTACTGTAGCTTGACAATATAGGTCATCAATACTAATAGTACGTCCTACCTAGATCCCATATCAATTACAGTACCTGTCAGTAAGATAAAGAAAAGCGTGTTTGTCAGTTGATTTTTGGCATTTTCAGAAGCTTGGAGTTTCGGATGCCAAGCTCACAATCGTTTTGAAAATTCTGGATGTTATAGAACAGACCTAGATTGAAAACTTTGCATTCACAGAATTTTTTGGAAATTTCTAGATTTTCAGCTATCTGCCGATTTCTGAAAGACATCCCTTTTAGCCGGTTTTTGTACTGAAAACGAGCCAAAAGGGGGTGTCTTTCTGAAATCGGCAAATAGCTGGAAAACTAGGAATTCTCGAAAAATTCTCCGAATGCGAAGTTTTCGATCTATGTCTGTTTTATATCCTCCAAAATTTGGAAAGTTATCGGAAACTTTACAGACGAGCTCAAGGCTTCTGAAAAACAGGACCGAAAATCGACCTATACTGTATATTTGAAACCTGGAAAGTGTAGACCTAGGATTACTGTAACTTGACAATTTAGCAGTCACCTAGATCCTACATAATCATCACAGCACAAACTGTGTTCCCGGTTCCTGTAGTAAATTTTAGTTCCTCTTGTTTCCTTCTTCTTCTTCTTCTTCTTCTAATTCTTCTTCAAGTTTGTCTCCCACGGGAATCTCGTTGTTTTCTTTCAGACAACATATTCCCTCTGTCTTCTTTTTCTAAAGACGGTGATTATGTGCTGAAATTGTTGTTTTCATCTGTGTCTTCTCCTCCTGTTCAAAATACCGACACCCAACTTGATCGATTAAAAAAAAGAAGGAAGCGACGAAATGGGTCTGAACGAGAAGTGGACACGGATCGTGGAGAGACGAGGACGACGCCAGAGTTCAGGCACCGCCAGTTCTAATACTCTTCCGACGAATACATCGAGCCAATCGATTTGTTGCGACGACACGGGAGAAGAGAAAACGAATTCAAATTCAAATTCGTCGACGACGATTCTGAATAATTCCAACTCGACTACTATTACTACTAGAAGAGTGTCATTCCCTAACGTTTCACCGAAACCTGGTGCCACAGCAGTTATGAAAAGTGATGCTGAATCCGACACGATCTCCTTGTCACCCAGAAGCTTTGGTAGTGGTCGAACCAACGACTTCTCGTCGTGGTTCAGCCGAAAACTGAATGGGATTCTGAACGATAAGGTGGCATCCACTGAAAGCAGTAACAGTGTAGTCTCAATACTCACTCGAACTCTTTCCAAAGCCACTGCTGGGTATAGAAAAAAGAAAAGGGAGTGTTCACTGACGATTAGCTCTTTTGAGTCATTCGCAGGATGTGAAGTTTCCAAACAAAAGAGTTGGTTTCACTCGGAATCCCAACTTCTTGACTTGTTCATTCCGGAGACTAGCTATCATGCGGAATGTCGAGCGATCGCTGATAAATATGGACTTATTGTGGATGATGACGAAATGTTGGCGAGAATCGTAGAGGGAGGATTGGATTCTCCGATTATGTTCGAGCAGAAGACAGTGGTGGAGACAGTTCGAGAAGCTCCCATCGCTTTCATTGATGCTGATTTTAATGAGGGCATGTATTACAATTAAAAAATAATACTTCAGCGATTCCATGATTCCTAATTTTCAAAATTTCAGGCCTCCCGGATCACATCTCACGAATGGTGTCACCATCGGAAAACAGCCATGGATCATCGTCGAATGTCAATGGAGCATCCAGCCCAATGAACAATTTGTACACCCAATTGTAAGTTTATGATAATATTCAGATATCGAGCTATTGAGAAAATGAGCTATTAAGAAATTGAGATAGTAAGAAATGAAGCTTTTAAGGAATTCAGAAATCGAGATACTGAGAAATTGAGTTATCAAGAAATTTAGAAATTAAGATGTTTAGCTATCAGAAATTGAGCTATTAAGAAATTGAGGTATTAAAAAATTGAGCTGTTAAGAAATTAAGCTATTGAGGAATTAAGAAATTGAGTTAACTGATGTACTGAGAAATTGAGATATCGAGATACTAAGAAATCGGGATATTAAGATATTGAGATATTAGGGAATTAAGATATTCAGAAATTCAGATTTTAAGAAATCGAGTTATTAAGAAGTTGAGTTATTGAGAAATTCAGAAACTCTGAAAATAAGATACTAAGAAATTGAGTTATTAAGAAACTCAGAAATCGAGCTATTAAGGAATTAAGAAATTGAGCTATTGATAAATTGGGTTATTAAAAAATGAAGGTATTGAGATACTAAGAAACTGAACTGTTGAGAAATTGAGCTATTAAGAAATTGAGATGCTAAGAAATCGAGCTGTTGAGAAATAGAGTTACTACGAAATTCAGAAATTTAGAAATCAAAAAATAACATTTTTCAAAATTATATTTTCCAGGGATCGCCTCTATGGGAAGTATGACTTGTTCGGTGCGGAGGAGTATCAGTCGTGGCACGAGAAGTATCGGCATAACACGCTGTCGACAAAGCAGGTCAAGAAGCAGGACGCCATTTTTGGTGAGTTAGAATTCTAGAAAGACGGCCTAGGAACCATAGACAGTTGTCTTGAAATTCTTAAACTCTGAGGTGGCCAGACTCAAAATAATTGATATATTTCCAGAACTCTACCTGATGGAGAAGCGTCACTGCGCCAACATCGCCTTCCTGCTTCAAGGCTATCGTCGTCGAATGCTGGAGGAGAATATAATAAGCAAGCAAGACATGGATGTACTCATTCCAGACGTACTCGAACCCTTGCTCATCTTCCATCTCAACGTGCTCGAACGCATCACCGCTCGGATTCAGGAGAACTACGAAGTCGGCACTATATCTGACATAATCAGTGAGGAGTTGGCCATCGATGGTGGACAACATACGAAACTTTGTTGTGATGCCTACACTGATTTTGGAGTTGCCAAGGAGCGATCTGATGTTCTCTACCATCATCTGATGAATAAGAACGCCAAGTTTGCGGAGTTTTTCAAGAGAACCTACAGTGAGGAGCCATTCTACAAGCACTACGATTTCCGTCCACTGATCACCAAGATAATTGGTCGTGCTACAAAATACTCGTTGCTTCTGGAGACAATACTCAAGAACGAGCAACCCTTCAGTGAGCATCACGATCTGACAAAGACTGCGTTGGAGACTGCCCGTAGATTCGCGCATAAGATCGACGAGAATCTCTCAATGGCACATATGTCAATGAAATGGGAGGAGATCAAAATTCAGATTGATCCATCGTCATCAACAAATCTCTACGTAACGGATCCATCTGTACCAAACGCAGCGATTCGTTATAACTTTGATGTAAGTTATTTCAAAGCTTTTATATATGGACCTTTTATATTACAGCTGGAATCTCTCAACTCTGCTGCCAATCGGAGACTGGTTCACCTTGGCGAGGCCCTCATCAAGGCTCCCAATCAGCCTGGGTCCAGTGGAGGAACGCATTCCTCATCGTCATCTGGAAAGCAAACCGACAAGAAGGACCAATGCTACATAGTACTTTTCGACGATATTATAGTCATCTTGATTCGCAAAACCAACCGTCAGTTGATCTTTATGCCTGATCAAGGAGCAATGCCAGTTCAATCATTGCTCATCCGAACAGCAGCACGTGGTCACTCGATCATGCTTATCTCGGGTGCCAAGCCAGTTCTCTTCGAGATATCTTTCAATACATCGACAGATCGGAAGAAATGGGTTGCTCATCTGGAGGCTGCACCGAAGAATGTGCCATTGGAAGGTATAAGAATCACAACTGGGGATGCGGATGGTGTACTTCGGGATCGCGTGGCTGCTCAGCAGGAATTGGAGGACAAGTGGTTGAAGAAGCTTGAGGAGTTGTTTGATTCAAGACTACCAGAAGAAGAGGCACTAGCTAGATACCTTGAATCTCGCTTGACCTTTTTTGATGATGTCCGGGAGCATGTCTCAAAACTTCCATTCAAAAGTCGATCGGATATTTCGAATCGCATTCGAGAGGCAGTTAAGGCTAGATTCCGGGAGTTGAGACGCGTCAGAGTGATCCCGTTGAATAGATTGGTTGAACGAATGAGCGAGTCACGAGATGCTGATCTCTGGTCGTACTTTGATGAGAAAGCTGATGCTTCCGATGTTCTCGAGAAGTCCAGCGATCTTTCAGAAGACTCGGATTCCGGAGACTCTGCTGTTGCAAGAACGAAGCCACGTAGAATTCAGACGTTCCACGGAACCTCTCAACCTCAAGGATCCAATGGTGTCAGTGAGTCGAGTGAGTTTCCCAGGACTTTCAGACCTTTATACTTTTGTAATTTAGAAAACAACGGAATCCGCCGTCACACTACAGTACCCCGCATGAACAGCGACGGAGGATCACAGCCAGCCACATCGTCTTCAGCCACTGATCGTGCTCCTATTGATGAGGTCGATCTGGATGAAGATGATGCGTCAACAGCACAGACGTCATCTGCCAGAGGAGGTCTGGATACGGAGAATGATCGTAAGACGTATGGAGCCATGATCGCGGACCTTCCAATCCGACAAACGATGCGAGCACGCAGAGCATCGACGAAACTGATAAAGGAGGTCATAGCGTTGAGAAGGGAGAATCATTTGTTGAGGAATGATAATGCTTTGTAAGTGTTCTAAGCCTTAAATCTAAGATTCTGAAACTTCTAATTTTCCAGAACAAAATCCCGTTGCGCTCTTCTCGAACGCGTTCGTGGTGGCGGCGCAATGATGTCATCCACGGCTACCGCTGTCGACGAATCCATGGAAATGCTTCGTCGTAAGGAGAAGGAGATCCGTGAGATGCAACGAGTGATGCAAGCCGAACGTGAGGAGCTCAACGAGAAGCAAGCGTCTGTAGATGCTCAGGAGCAAGAGGTTCATGTCAAGTGGGCGGCAATGCAAGTGCGCTCCAGCGAACAAATTCCAATGCACACACGATCGTCTTCGTCGCACTCGCAAGTGTCATCGCCGACTTATAAATCGTAAGTGAATATGAAAATTTGGACTTGGTTTGGAGAATTTTAGACTTTTGAAAAATCAAAAAAGAGTAACAGATTGATTTAGGAATATCGAAGCGGATGTCACATATGTGGTATGTTATATATGTACTAGTACTAAAAATATGATGCAAAAATCGTCGTCGTCAATTCTAACCATGAAAAATCTAAAATCTTTATGTTAGATTTTAAATAATTAACAAAAAAGTCCGTCTCGTTCAGTTGGCGCTTTTTTCAGTTCCAGGACTAATACTTCTTGGTGAAACGTCTAGATTTTACTCATTTATATTACTATGGTCTAATTTCAAACTTGCCGCTGAAAATGGGCGGAGCTTAGATCCGAAAGCAAATTCCCTTCAAAAGCGCATTTTCGCCATTATTTTCTGTCCTATTTTCCTAGATTTTCAATGAATTTCATAGTTTTTTTCCTACTTTTTTTAAAACAAAAATCCGAAAAATCGCAAAAAAATTTACCAGAAAATAGTCTAAAAAATACATGAGCCTTCAAGGGTTTCGCTTCCGGACCTAAGCTCCGCCCATCTTAAGACGCAACGAGCATTGAAATCAGACCAGAGTTATAGAAGCCTTATTTCATTTAAAAAAAAAAAAACCATTCCAGACCCCAACAACAACTTCCACCAACTCAAAACGGTGAATGGTCTCCAGTTCTGGCAAGTTTGGCAACCAAAACCGAGACGAAAAAGTTGAAGAAGTAGTTGCCTCTTCATCATTTCTAAATACACATTTTCTCGCTTTCCCTTTTTGTACATTTCGTCCATTCTCTCCTAGCTGTGTTCCCCATCCCCTCTTAAAAATGTGACATCATCCCTGCCACGTGGTAACATTTTCTCTCCTCCCTTAAATTTTTATACACCTAATCCGGTCATTTGTGTCCCGATTCTTTGCCTTTTTGTTGTCTGAAACTCCCCCCTCTATCTCTGAAATCTCTCTCTCTTTTTGGCCATCACTACTTGTGTGAATCCCCTCTTTCTTCCCCCAATTCCTTCTTCACGAGTTTGACCCACCCACCCAATTTTTAACACTCACATTTAGGTCTGCAAATGTGCTCCATAGCGAACTTTCCTAAAATTCGCATTGGAGCTCGCTTGCTAAATCTTTTGTGAGCATCAGAATCCTTTTATTCTTTTCTTAGTTTTTCGCTTCTTGTATAGATCGATTGCCCCCGCTCCCCATAGATTTCTCATTCTCATTTAAGTCCCGCCCCCTTTTCCCAAATCCCCCCAACGATTCGTATGATTTATGATTATTATTATTATTTAACGAAAAAGTTTGCACATCATCAGAATAATATGCTTATCTCAAATGGAAATAATTCTCTCGAAATTTTATTTTAATTTCTGAAAATTTTCAAGTTCAGGGATCTCCTATCGGCTATATGATTTTTTAAAAGAATTTTAGGAAATAGTAAAATTTGAAAAAAAATTGTTTCAGATGAATCGAATAGCCAGAATCTCAGCTAGAATTCCAGCTAGAATTCCAGCCCACTTGAGGCAAGGTAAGTAGATTTTTAGAAAAATCGAAAAAAAAAACTTTTTGATAAAAATTTCTAGAAAAATAGGTCGATTTTTAAAGCAATAGAAACGAGTTTTAAAAACTTTGAAAACTTCGGAAAATCGCTTTAAAGTCCATTGCTGGAGGTATTTTTAGGCTTGATATAATCAGATTTTTAGCCAAAAAATGGCGATTTTAGAGCCAAATTACTCAATTTTTAGGGTCCAAAATAACTAATTTTAAATCCGAATTTCACATTTTAAGGGTCCAAAATTTATATTTTTAAAGTTAAATTTCACATTTTTAGGGTCCAAAATCTATTCTTTAGAGCTAAAATTGACACTTTTTAGCCAAAAATAGCCCCATTTTTAAAGCCAATTTTCACATTTTCAAGGTTAAAATTAACGTTTTAGGGGTGTTTTTAGGTCAAAAATTACCAACTTTGAAACCAAAATTGGCATTTTTAAGCTTCACAATCTTCAATTTTAGACATAAAATTCACATTTTTAGGTCCAAATTTACTATTTTGAGCTCCAAAATTGCTTTAAAAATCTCACTTTTCGTCCATTTCTGGATTCCCGCAACAACTGAAAATTCTGAAAAATTAGCGGCTTTTTTGCGATTTTTTGAAAGAAAAAAATTAATTTTTTCTTCGAAATTTTTGAAAATTTTCAGACCTTTTTAGGTTTTTCAGCTATTTTGGAAGATTCTTTTTCGATTCATCCGATTTTTTTGTCTGAAATTTGATAGAACGATGTTCGCGAAGATTACTGTAGGTTACTGTAGAAAACTTATATATTTCCTTTTGTAGTTTTTTTTTTTCACCAAAAATTTTTATCTGCATTTTGGCGTGATGGTGTTTGCAACAAAACAAAAACTACAAAAGGAAATTAGATTTCTACAGTAACCTACGGTAATATTAAACACCGTTCCATCAAATTTCAGACAAAAAATCGGAAAAATCGAAAAAGAATCTTTGAAAATGGCTGAAAAACTTAAAAAGGTCTGAAAATTTTGCAAAAAATCGAAGAAAAAATCAATTTTGCTTTCGAAAAATCGCTAATTTTTAGAGTTTTCAGTTTTGAAGGGATTTCAAAAAAAAAAGATTTGAGAACCTTCCAGAAGTTTCTAGAACTGGACTTTAAAGCGGTTTTTCAGGGTTTTGCCTATTGTTTAGTATGTTAGCATCTACACATTTTTCTACACATGATCGGAGTGCCTCTTTCAAATAAAGAATTTTCAGCATCCACGGCTTCTACAGCATCTACAGTAATCTCCACAGCCGAGGAAAAGAAGCCGCCGCTAAAGGAGAAAAAAGTGGACTGGAAGACGGATTTGCTGAAAATTCTGGAGACTGAACACAAGCAGAAGAAGAGGAAACTATGGAAGATGCGAGTGGATCAGCAAGCGATGGCAGATATCTTCAGATTCACACTGAAAGATGACGTGCAGTCTCTGGTGAGACTCACTGAGAATCAGCTAAGAAGTCGGCATTCTCCGGAAACTGTGCCCGTTTGCTTCCTGGTTCTTCATAAGAAAATGGAGAAGATTTTGAAGAAAGTGGAGGCTATTGAATCACCTGACTCTTTATCGATTTTTATAGGAATAGCTGATCTATATAGGTCCATTAAGAGAAATGAGACGAATACCACTTATCTGATGGCTCTTCTGTTGCTAAGTAGTCTCCGAAAATGGAAGGATCAACGATCCTACGAAGAGAGAAGTTCTAAAACCATCGCGGATCTTTTTGATTCAATGGAACAGAAAATGAGGCAATTGGCGAAAGGAGTGAATGTTGAGGAGCGGGAAATGGAAGTGTTCTTGAACTCGGATGATCACAAAGCAATCCAAAACGAAGTGGAGATGTTGAGAAGTTTTAGTGTTCCCGTACCAAGGAAAAAAGAAGGAGCAAGATATTCGGAAGAGTTGGAAGATCTAATAGGGCCACTTCAGACGAATTGTCATCAAGAAGAGTACAGGAACAATCCATTTCAAGTTGATGGGATGGAAAAGGGGAAATATAAGACATTGTTCGAAGAGCATTTGAAAACAGAGTCAACAATGTGGATTCAAGTCAAGAATACGGTAGGGGAGGCGGCGGAGAAGAATGGGAAGTCGGGAGAGGAGCTGATAACGGAATGGGATTGGAGGAAAAGGATTAGTGATGGATTGAGGAAGTTGGATCCGAATGATACGCATCCGTTGGGTAAGGATTTTGGAAAGTTGGGTTGTAAAAATTAAAATTTTAAAAATTAGGTCACGTAACATTTACAATAACCCACGTAAAGAATTTGACGTGAAAAACGAATACATTTGAATTTTTAAAAATTTACTTCTGTCAATTTTTACGTGAACAATCGATTTATGTGAATATTTACGCGAAAAATTGAATTACGTGAATTTTCACTTAAAATTGATTTACGTGAACTTTTACGTAAAAAGTTATTTACGTAAAAAGCTAATAGGTGATTTTTTAAGTAAAAATTTAATTAGGCGAAGTTTACGTGAAAAATTAAATTACGTGAATTTTTCACGTGAAAATAATTTATTTTAGTTTTAAAATAAAAATGAATATATTTGAATTTTCACGTGAATAATTAAATTACGTGAATTTTCACGTAAAAAATTAATTTATATGAATTTTTACGTGAAAAATAATTCTAGGTGATTTTTACGTAAAAATTTATTTGGGCGAATTTTACGTGAAAAATTACTTTAGGTGAATTCTTCTATGTCAAATCCGAATTCGAAAATTTTCAGTTTCCACATGCCTTGAACTCCTCCCCCGTGAGAAGCTAGTTGAAATCCTCTACTTCACCGTCGTTGCCGCCTGCTCCCAAGGACAAAACCTCATCGGAGCCACCCAATTCCAATACGATGTCCTAGACCCGATTCTCAAAGAGCTAGGAAACGCATTCAAGAAAGAGTTGGGATTCAATGAGACGGAAATCTGGAAGCGTGTCTTCGACTCGTACATCAACTATTTTTTGGATTCAGGAGTCTCCAGACAGAATACGCATCGAGAGTGGTGGAGCAAGGCGTGTAAGCAGCAGAACTTGGCCCCAAATTTTAAATTTCAAATGGGAAATCTGGATGCAGAGACGAGGAACGAGGTGTGCAATGTGATAGTGGATGTGCTTTTCAACTCGTGTCTGTTTCCAGTGGAGTCGAAGGATGGGAAAAGTAAGTATCACAGAAATCAACACAAAATCTTCATTGTTCATTAAATTTGAAAGTTAGGCATCTCTAGTTTCTGGACGACGGCGAATGAAGAGTTTCTCGCGAAGGCGACTTCCAAATCTGGAAATTTCAGAAATTAGATTTAGTTATTCTCAGTATATAGGTACTTCATATAGTCAACAAGCCCGATGGCGAATCCCAGAACTAGGCATAGGAAGAAAACAATGAATGGGGAATAGATGTTGTCAAAGAAATCGCGCTCTTCGAATTCTGAAAATTCAGAAAAATTGAGATGGATACTGTAGATTTAAAAACTCACTGATCGGCGCGGTGTGTGGATGAAATTCCAGAGCTCTACGCTTGATTTCGATGGCTTTTTGGATGAATGCATGATTCAGAAAATGCATTTTCTGGGGGAATGAGAAGTTGGGAAAGAAGCATTGCTGGCTGAGAAATTTGAAACTTTCTATAAACATTTCATCGAGTCACAGTATTCAAAATTTCCAATAGGAGTAATAAACAAAAAACTGATGACACGATTATCTAAAAAGAATAAAGGAGGATTCCGAACAGTAAACTATTTTTTATCAAATCAAAATATGTAGGAAAATATGCAGATTCATTAAAAAAAACGAAGAGAAAATTCGAAAAAAATTGTAAAAATCTCGAAAAATCACTTCAAAAATTGCGATTTTTCGAAAGCAAAGTAGATTTTTTCTTCGATTTTTTGCAAAAATTTTAGACCTTTTTAGGGTTTTCAGCTATTTTCAAAGATTGTTTCTTGATTTTTCCGGCCTTTTTCGTCTGAAATTCGATGGAACGGTGTTCGTGAGGATTACTGTAGGTTACTGTAGAAAGCTGATTTCCTCTTGTAGAAAAAAACATTTTCTGCATGACGTGTTTTTTTGCAAAAAAAAAACTACAAAAGGAATTTTTTCAGTGACCTACAGTAATCTTCCGGAACACTGTTCCATCGAATTTAAGAAAAAACCCGGAAAAATCGAAAAAGAATCTTTGAAAATACCTAAAAAACATAAAAAGGTCCAAAATTTTTGCAAAAAATGAAGTATTTCTTTCGAAAAATCCCCAATTTTTCGGAAATTTCAATTTTGGCGGAATTCAGAAAAGAAGATTCGAGAACCGTCCAGAAGACGAGAACTGAGATTTTTCGCCTTTTGAAGTTATCTTTCCACACCTTTCAATGTCCCCCTTTAACAAAAAATTTGCAGTCACCTGGACTCGCTCCTTCTCCTACCGATCCATCTCCATAGAAGAAGAATCGAAACTCTCCACGGATTGTCGTCTCTCCCTATCCAGAATGCTCTCAATCAACTCGAAACTCATGGCAATGTTCGACAAGAATCCCTTCGATTTCATCGTATTCTCCACATTCAACCTCCCAATGACAGTACCACCAAGACCGTGGATTGATCGGGGAACGGGCGGTCCGTTGTATACAGCAGGACAGGATATCATTAGGAATATGTTCGAATTCAAATCGGTCCGTTTGAACGATGAAATGAGGCAGAGGATACAGTCGCCAGCACAAGGAAGGCCGGTGTTCGACGCGCTTAATCAGTTGGGATCTACACCTTGGGTTATCAATGAGTCCATGCTGGACACGTTGAAGACGGTGTTCGGGCAGTCCGGATGTAAAGAATCCGAGCCACTTTTGGAGAAGTTGGGTATTCCAATGAGGCATGATACATTTGATGTTCCGGATTTTGTGAGGGAGTTTGGAAATGTGAAAAAGGAGGATGTGGATGTGGAGAAGTTTAGGAGATATGCCAAGAAGAAAGCGGAAGCTGTGAAGATGAGGTAAGGATTCTAGAAATTCTATGGATTCTAGATCCCTTTAATACTAGGTCTTGGAGATTATAAGTCTTCCGGGTAGCTGCTAAATTTTAGATCCTTCAAATGCTAGGTTTTAGAGATACTAGATTTTCTGAATTCTGAACCTTATGGACCCTAGGTCCTTGATTTGCAGTACCGGCCAAGAAGATGTTTAAAATTTTTTTTCAGTCGATTTTCGGGATTTTCAAGAATCTAGAGCTCAGCTGTCAAGTCTCCGATCACTTTGAAAATTTTAAAGAATGTTAAACAGACCTAGACTCAAAACTTTGCATTCACAGATTATTTGAGAATTCCTAGTTTTCCAGCTATTTGCCGATTCTTGGAAGACACCCCTTTCTTCACGTTTTCAGAACACAAACGGACCAAAAAATGGGTGTCTTTCAGGAATGGGCAAATAGCTGGAAAACTAGGATTTCTCAAAAAATCTGTGAATGCAAAGTTTTGAGTCTAGGTCTGTGATCCAGGCTCCTGAAATTGACCGAAAATCAACTGAAATTTTGTGTGTCTTATTGACTGGTTTTTGTGTGTCTTATTGACTGGTTCTGTATATTCTAGATCTTCCGAATCCAGAACTTTATGGACCCTAATCTTTTCTTTTTTTAGAAACGAAAGCAATTCGCTGTGGTGTTGGATGCAGTACCGAGTGGTCCTAGCTGATCACTTCCGCGGCCAAACCCTCTTCTTCCCTCACAACATGGATTTCCGCGGCCGTGTCTACCCACTCTCTCCATATCTCTCCCATATGGGCGACGACGTCAATCGATGCATTCTGAAGTTTGCCAAATCTCAACCACTAGGATCGCACGGATTCGACTGGCTCAAACTGCACTGTGTAAATCTGACGGGGACGATGAAGCGAGCAAGTGTGGCCGATAGAATGGTCGAAGCCGAACGTCTCATTCCCTCTATTCTCGATTCGGCACGTAACCCATTGAATGGCGAGAAGTGGTGGATGTCTTCAGATGAGCCATGGCAAACGTTGGCGGCGTGTGTGGAGATCGAGAACGCAATGAAGTACGGTAGTGACGTGGCATCGTTTCCCAGTCAACTACCAGTTCATCAGGATGGAAGTTGCAATGGATTACAACACTACGCGGCGTTAGGAAGAGACAATGAAGGAGGCGTTCAGGTGAATCTGACGCAGTGTGAGACGCCGAACGATGTGTATTCAGATGTGGCACAGAGGTACAGTAATGCAATACCGTAATACTATGACATACAGTAATCCAAATGTTTAGAGTTGAGCAAAAACGAAAGCAAGACGAGGAGTCGAATGGTGAGGATCGTGACGTGGCACTGAAGCTTCGAGAGGCTCTTCCACAAAATGTTCCACGAAAAGTTATCAAGCAGACAGTGATGACAACGGTCTATGGCGTGACAATGTATGGAGCAGTTTTGCAGATTAAGAGACAGTTGAAAGCAATGGATATACCAGGAGAAGACGTGAGTTTGATAGAGAATACGGTGGGCGCTCGGACGCTAACAATACCTAACATCCAAAAACCGTAATAAGCAGGCGTTGGCCTCGTTTTTCTTTTGTATTAATTCAATTTTTTGTGTATTTAAATGTAAAATTCAAGAAGAAATTCCAGGCAGCCATATTCGCTCGCTATCTTGCTCGCAAAACATTTGCCAGTCTCAATGACGCGTTTACCAGTTCAATGGCTCTTAAGGATTGGTTCCGGCTGATTGCAAAAGGAGCAAGTGATTTGATGAAGACAGTGGAGTGGGTCACACCATTAGGTCTTCCTGTTGTCCAACCGTATTGTCGACTTTTGGAAAGAAAATCAAAGTTGGTGCTAGTCCCGATTCCTATGAAACAAGTCGACGCGTTTCCACCGAACTTTGTACACTCGTTGGATTCTACGCATATGATGCTCACTTCGCTGAATTGTGCTAATCGGTAATCCCTTTTTCTTTTGAACAGTAAATAATACTGGAATTTCAGTGGGATCACTTTTGCCGCCGTCCACGATTGCTTCTGGACGCATGCCAACTCGGTGGACGAGATGAACCAAATCTGTCGTCAGCAATTCGTCTCGCTACACTCTCAACCAATAGTTGAGCAATGTTCCGAATGGTTCAAAACCACCTATTTGACACCGAGGATTCAGAAGATTCTCCCGCCGTCTGAAGTCGATAGATTCGCTGATATCTTCACTGTTAAAGTGAAACAAGGAGAGCTGGATATTGAGAAAGTCAAGGATTCTGTGTACTTTTTCAGTTGATTCTTTTTGTGCACTTTTAGGTAGAATACTAGATTGTTTTGTTCTTTATCTCATTGTTTTTTGTTGATTAGAATTTTTTTTGTTACGATTTGTTTCTGCTGGATGAATTTTAAATAACTTTTGCTCACATTCTCCAGATTTTTGTGAATTCTTTGGGAAACAAGTAATACGCTTGGTTGTCGGCGCCAATACTTGCACAAGTCTCTGAACATATTATTCAGCCGAGTAATACTAGAGCCTGAAAATTAAGGACCAAGATAACAACACATTTTTTGATTAATATTAAAAAATGTATTTCATAAAACTTTTCAGAAAATGGTAACAAGAAGAATTTAAAATGCAGAGAAGAGAATTTGTGACTAATTTGTTGACAAGCAGATGCAATGATTGAAGGGGGGAACAAAACCAGTAGTAGTTAGAAAATAATGCTGTGAAGTAATTAATGCTCAATAGTTTCAAAATGAAAAGTAATCTAGAAATGAGTAATTGGAACAGTCAAGAATTGATCATGATTGGCGTTTGTCGCCTGCTGTTCAATCTCCATATGCTTCCACTCTCCGCCCTCTCCAGTCTTCAGAGAGAATGACCATTGACCATCAGAATCGGCGCTGATTGGTCCGGTGTGCGGCATTCGGAGTTCGCATTGTTTCTCAAATTTCAGTCCTGTAGAAAGAAAACAGTCAGTTATAGTTAGCTTTTCGTAAAATCAATGGGAACTACCGTAAACACTCTAATAGAACGCAACCCGAATCGTCAAATTTGAGTTCATATATCTCATTATCTGTGAGAGATATCAAAAAGTGGCTAACTAATAAAATGTTGCTGATATCATGATGAACATTTTATTAGTTTACAACTTTTTGATATCTTTCTAAAGAAGTGAGATATATAGGCTCAAAGTGGACAGTACGGGTGGCGTTATATTGAAGTGTTTACGGTAGAAGTTTACAACACTCTCTAAAACGGGCCCTGTCATAGTTTTCTTTAGGATCAATATTTATGAAGCGGCTAAATTAGGCATGATAGAACTCGATGAGTACTACAAAATGCTACTATTTGGAAAACTATTCATACTTTGAGCAAAGTTACTGGTTATAAAACTGTGATAGTGCAGCTCAGATGGTTTGTGATCTGTAATTTTGTTCATAGACAAGATACAGTATTCCAAATTGTATTCTTTTGTAGCGCTCGTCAAATTCTATAATATTCAATTTGATTGGTTCAAAAGTATTGATTATAAAAGAAGCTATGGCAGGCCCCGCGAAGGTCATGAACCCAAATTTTCGTACCATGACCCATATTTCGATAAGCCATGATTTGATTTTTTTTCTAACGATACAATTCCACTTAGGATTTTTCACACGGAACTTTAGCTAGGTTAGCATTCATGAACCATTACCAACGTCTTTTCTTTTTTACAAGAAATTCTTCCCCCCACCAGTGTGCTACTTCCCCCCACCAGTGTGCCCGCTTATTCTCAGCAGCCGTTAAGCCGCCAATGGTCCGTTCAGAATTAGAAAAAGGTTTCTAATGAAAACTCGGAAAAAAGTATCGCTAGAATTTGATTTATTAGTTATTCTGAATTAGGTAAAAATCTCAGAAAGTCAAAATTTCCCCCAGTGGCTCGCCGACAAATCATCGATGGCCCTACAGCGGTCTTCAGCCGCTACTTGCCACATCTGCGGCTGCTTAGACTCCCCTCGCCCGCTATTAGGACTCGTTACTTTACCTATGTTGATAACAAACAAAATTTCAAACGATTCTAACCTTGTGGTCCACACATGACCAATGGTGACAACAGGGTTTCTCCTTTGGATCTATCAATTGGTGACGAGTCGCCTTCTCGACACACTTTCACATAAATCTCGTGTTCTTCACCGTCGGCAATCGCACCGGGCGGTATCCTAAGTTCCACGTTCGACTTCTCACACCGAATGACTCCTCCTTGGGATCCAACTAGTGCTGTGCTCTCCTCAACCACCGTTGGCTCTTCTTCCTCGGACTTTTGCCCGTTTTCATTTTCATCCAAACGAGGAGTTGGTGATTTTGAGGCGCTGAAAAGTTGAGAAAGGTTTGGGTTGTTTTTAAAAATCAGTTAAGAATAAAACTCACATAGAAGAGCCTGTTGGCACATTGGAGACTGTCAATGAGATACTCGCGTTGGCTGGTGATGCACTTCCATTAGTTCTGGCTGGAATTGCAGGTGGGGTATGATGCTCTTCTACACCTCTAGCATCTATCGCGCCATCGTTATTCCATTTGTTCCTAATGTAACTTGTCGTGTATGGATTGGAATTTACTGGTGGAGGTCTTGGTGGTGGAGGTGTTTGGGTATTCTGAAGTTGTTGATTCCGTGACGCTCCAGATGATGAAGACGTCATGCTGGAAGGTGTCAAGGGATGGTATCGAGTGTTGTTTACAGCATTAGTGTTGATTGGCGGCGGAGCTCCGGTTGTTGGTACTGAAAATTGAAAAGATGATTAAATGAAGGTACAGTACCAATCTTACAATTGGAAAAATCAAAACTATTCGGTGTGGCATTGTCCAGACGGTGTGCAAGATTTGAAGGAGAGGCTTGCTGAAATCATACATTTTTAGAATATTAATGTTCACTTTTTATAAAATCTTTGAAAAAAAATGACAACACAACACCTCAAGTCGCTGCCTTTGCACTCGCTCTTCTCGAAGTTTCGCTTCTTCTCGCAATCTGGCATTGGCAATCTCGTTGGCTAGCCGAGCATCTTGGTAGAGGGAATCGTCGTCGAGTAGCTGGAAATTGAGACAACACATTCACAAGACTACATAGAGGTACAGTAACGCGAAAAGCTGATGTAGTTATTTTTTCTAGTTTCGTCCAAATTTTTTGTATCTTACATTAGAAATTTAACTCACCTGTTTGACATGATAATATCCGTGAGGAGTAGTCGTTCTCGATGCTGATTCATCTCTTGTAGGCGTCAAAAGTGGACGTTGAGGGCCTTGTGGAGTTTGTATATTTTGAGGATTCGACGAAGACGCCGTTGTTATAAATGTAGACAATGTTGACTGCGAATTCGACGACTGCCGATTCCTTCCCACTCCAAAATCAGGTCCTAATTGATGATGAGGTCTTGGCATAGTAGAATACTCTCTGATTTCTGGTGGCAAGTCTCCAGGCCCTCCTCCAATCGACGATGCGATACTGTTATCCCAGTTGTACTTGTTATTCTTATCAGCTTTCCTTGGAAGACTATCTTGTGGTGTATTGTTATATTCCACGTACTCGCTCTTCAGAGAATCCACATCGCCTTCGTATTTGGGAAGTGGGAAGAGAAGAACGTCTTCAAGAGGGAGGTTTGGAGGGAATTCAGGCATCCAAAGCCGACGTTGTTGAAGATGTCCAATGAGTTCACGAAGCGCATCGAACCATCCAGTTTCGTGTGTTGCGTCAATAGTGGCTGATAGTAGGTGAGAATGGTGTTTCTTGATTTGGCTCGCATGTTCGGCTAGTTTCCGAGATGATAAGTGAGGAGCGTTGCATTTCTTTCGGATCTCTCTGATCTTTGATCTTCCATCAACATCCAAGAAAACAACGATCGGAGCATATTGTGCTAGCTGAAGACGTTCCACTGATTCTATACTGATATCCAGGACGCAATGCTTCATCGTTGCAATAACATGATCCACAGAGCTCAATCGAATCACTCCACCATCGGATTCTGGAGATCCGAATCTTGCGGAGAACTGGTTCAAGAGTTGATGTCTGGCAATATCGGCAAGTGGACCAAAAAGGACTACAGGTCTATGGAAAGATGGAGTGTTGAGGGCTACTCTCTCATAGGCAGGTAATGGGAGATTCAGTTCATTCGGATCACAAATCATATTCTTCGGAAGTGACTTTGTCCGCCTTGATTCGAATTTCCGTCTCAAAAGAGTTCCACTGCCTCCACTGCTCTTTGCCTGTTTCTGTTCTACATACACCCTCCATTCCTTTGCAATCTGTTCTGCTGTTGCTTGATTCGGAATGACTCCTTTCACAGGTTCTCCTTTGTTTTCCGATGAGGAATAGACTCTTGCAGCTTGCCACAATCCTACAGTACCTCCGAATAGAGTATCCGTGACGTGGAAGATGTCTCCTTCATTGATACTCAATTCCAACTGACTTGACTTATCCCGGCGTTCTCGGGAGAAGTGAGAGCGAATGTAGAAGTTGTCTCCGAGTTGGTTGGTTCTAACGTGCTCAAAGTCTTGTCTTGCATGTTCCAATTTCAAAGACACTCTGTCGTCGAGTCCTAGAAGAAGTTGTACGGCAGACTCTCTTGTCACTCCTCTCATATTCCTCCCGTTCACTTCGAGAATCCGATCTCCACAACTAACTCCATGAAGTGAGGCTGGTGAGTCGGCAGCTACAGCTGATACGAAAATGCCCACTTCGTTACCACCAATTACGCGTACACCTACACTTCCGCCAACCTGCAAAACGATAAACCCTTTAATTATCTTTTCAATTTCTATATAGTTTTCCACCTTCCGGAACATGACATTTGCAACTCCATTCGCATCTATTGACCTGGATGGTTGACGTGTGTAGCAGTCGTATTCTTGCGTTGTGATTTGCGAAGATGCCATTCCATTGAAGTTGGAGAGTTGCGAATTTGCTGGAGACGAGACGCGTCGCTCCACACTTCCGTCGGATCGATGACGTGGAGAATTCACATACTCGTGGGAGTTCCTCTGAGCAATCGGCATATGCGGTAGCATTGGACTTGGTGAATGCCTTGGCGTCGCTCCAACACTCCCCACTCTCTCATAAACAGTATTCTGGGATGGCCACCGGGAAGTACCCCTCCGCACATCCCTTTGTATCACAAGACATAATTTGTCTCTAGATCTCTCTAACCATTTATTCACTTCTTCCAACGATGCTCCATCTAGACTTTGTCCATTGATCCTCAACACCGAATCTCCTTCCTTCAACCCTGGATCCTTCTCGGCTAATTTCGGATTTCTGATTTCTTTTATATAAAATTTACATCCAACAACGATTCCAAAATCATCCTTTTTCCGAGACTTTGATAGTGTAAACTTTAGTGTTCTCTGCTCGTATTCTAACATTGGAACTGCTACTCGTCGCTTCACTATCATATCAATGTGATCCTTATTCTTGATTATGTCGACTGCACTGCTATAGTCAATGTTTTCGAACGACACGTTGTTTGCCGATAGAATCCTATCATTTACTCTGAAAAAAGAAGCTGAATTGATAAGTTCAAAAGGAACGGAAACTCACTGAAGAAGTCCCCAAGCTGGTCCGTTTGGCACGACGTCCGAAATGACAACGACAGGGTCTCCAGAAGTGAAGTGTGGATTGTCGCGACCACCGGATATCGCTATGCCGAACCCGAGATTGGCAGCCTGAAAAACAATTCTTAATCGGTTAAAGGAGAAGGTTCTAGGAAAGAATGAAAGATTCGAAATGAAAAGTAATCATTGATCAAGACTCCATAATTATCCGGACTAAGCTTGTAGTAGCATAACGTTTGAGTTAAGCTTTGTACTGGCCAAGTTTCAAACTATTTGATCGACTTTGAGCTGAGTTATCTCTTGTCAAAGTTTCTTCATCTCGTGAAAATTACTACGGTGTCGTCTTTGGACAACCATAACAATACCTAGACTTGAGGATTCGCTTTGAAAATTCCAGCAGCTTTGAATGAAACTTAAAACTATATTTCTACCAATTTTCGTGTTTCCAAGACATTTATGTCTAAATATACACTACCGTATTAGAAGGGACGGTCCTTCTATTGTTCCAAGGTACCTCCGGAGGGTCCTTCTATTACAGGGGCACTTCAATTCGAGGGGGTTTTTCTAATTTTCCGGCTATTTTTTTTCGAAATTTCGCATCGAAAAATTCGACGAAGTTTCGTTCAAAATTCATGAAAAACTGTCAATTTCACAAAAATTTAGCCAGATTTTCATCGAAAAATACATTTACAACAAATTTATAGTAAATTGAAGAAGAGTTCCCGGAATATTTTCCACTGAGAAAGAGGGGGTTTTTTCTCACAGAGAGCTCTTCTATTACAGGGTGCCCTTCTATTTTTATCAGCCCCTCTCGGAGGGCTCTTCTATTAGAGGGGCCTGCCTAATACAGGTTTTAAGGTATGTCTAAAGATTTATAGCATAACAAGAATGAAAAGAAATAGTGAATATACACAGAATTTGAAATTATGTCTTCTCAATACGATTATCCAAAAAAGTACGAAACCTGCGAGTCAAAAAAGAATCCTAGAAAAAAAAGGCCGTTCTCTATATACAGAACAAAACACTTTAGCTTTTCTTCCCCCTATCCCCTATCCGGTTTTGAAGGGAGACACAAAGACCTCGGGGCGGACATACTACTCTCTTTCTCTCTCTCTTTTGCTCCTAAAAACGGCAAAAGGGTGATATGCAAAACTTGTGCTCTTTTCCTCCCTCTTTTGGACACCAATTCCCCAGCAGCCAATTCATCGTTTTTCTCATAGTTTCATAAGCCATCCATTTGTGGTGTGTGTTGCAAAGGAGGCATCCCAAGAAGAACATTGTCTCTTTTGGGAGAATACTAGTATTACCAGGGGGTGGACATGAGCAATTTTCGTTTTGACCGAAAGAAATTTTCTAGAGAAAGTTGAAAAAAAAACGGAAAAGTGAGGAGGCAAAAACGCTTGTGATATTATGCATTGTTGGGTGCGCGCACCCCGTCCGTATTGATATAATTTTATTATATATCAACGAATGCAGACACACAAGAAAAAAAACGGAAAATGTTGGCAATGATCCAATTTTGATGAGAGAGGAGGAAATCGGAGAGAGAGAAAGAGAGCATATCCGGATATGTGGAGGGTTTTCGAATTTCCGGATGAAATGAGGGAGGAGGAGGAGGATCGGAGTAGATTTGACTTTCTAGAGAAGGATGGGATTAAGCATAATATGAAAGAAAATGTAACTCTAAGATTTATGATAATTGGCTTGGTTTCTACAAGGGTTAAATCTCTAATTGAGTTCCACCTCCAATAGTATTGCTCCTCTGAGAAACCATCGAAAAATAGTATATTGCACACTTTAGTTGATTCACATCTCTAAATATAGTGCTCTTCATTTCTTTAAAGATACATCAAAAAGTCTTAAATGAACAATAGGATCTGAATTCCATATTACCGTAAAACCGTGTAATAGAAGAACTCCCACACTGTCTAGTTTGAGCTAATTTATCTCGGTTCCCTTGAAAGATATCAAAAATGTGTCAACTAACAAAATCTTTTCCATAATATCAAAATCAATCTGTCAGTTGACAACTTTTTGATATCTGTTACAGGATCCGAAATATATGAGCTCAAAGTTGGGGTGACCTTCTATTAGAGTGCTTACAGTATTTATGAAACTAACTAACTAGGATAAGAAATTTGCTGAAAATTCAAGTTTTAATTGACCCTCCAAAATCCTACAATGTCTTTCAAAAATATTCAGATCGAGATCTGAAGTTTTTGGAATGTTTTTAAAAAATCAAAACGAAGAAACTGAGAAACTTAGACGATTTCCTGTGAACCGCTAGTAAATCAAAACGGATGAATCAATGGTTGAGAAAGAAGAAGGAGCACAGAAGCAGGAAGAGCAGAAGTTGTGTGTGAACGAGAGGTGGTGGTGGTTGTGATGACTGAGTGATGCTCTGCACATCGCCATGCTGTGTAGTAAGCGGTGTGGCTACTCCCGGGATGCTTCTTTCCCGGGAGGAACGAGAAGGTGACAGCTGTTCTCGGAGAAAGAGAGAGAAAGAGAGAAATGGCCATTGGCTCTTTCTCTCTCGTACCCACAGAGAAAAGAATCATTCTTACTATCAAATCAACTCGATGGAGCAAAAGAGAAAGAGAACCAGAAAGCGCTGCTCTTCCTCGTCTTAATAATGAGACAGCACTGAAAAGTGAAAACTAGGAGGAGTAGATGGGTCCGCGAGACTCAGAAGGGTTTTTCTGATTTTTGGAAATTGTAAAAACTTGTCATGGGGACAAATTACAGTCCACTAACTACTTGAGAAAATTTAAGAACACCTGCCGTAAAACCTATAATAGATGGACTCCCTAACGTTTAGCTTTGAGTTCATATATCTCAATCCCTGCAAAAGGTATCAATAAGCTATCAACTGATAAATTGTTAATCACAAAATCAGTGATGGTCTTTCAGTTGACACATTTTTGATATCTTGCATAGGAATCGAGATAACTGAGCTCAAACGTGACTGTGGGGGGCTCTTCTATTACAGGTTTTGCAGGAACCTGAATACCGTAAACACTCTAATAAAACGCCACCCGGACCGTCCACTTTGAGCCTAAATATCTCACTTTATTTGAAAGATATCAAAAAGTTGTCAATTAGTAAAATGTTTATCATGATATAAGCAACATTTTATTAGTTACCCACTTTTTGATATCTCTCACAGATAATGAGATATATGAACTCAAATTTGACGATTCGGGTTGCGTTCTATTAGAGTGTTTACGGTAATTCAATTAAAAGAAGAGATGTCCGCTTTAGGGAGTGCGGTAGGTGGACTAGAATTGCCAATAGTAAGAATAAGAAAGAAAAATCGACTATACACAACAAGTCAGGTTTCAAAAAAAATCTGAAAATATAAGTATGGGATCCTTTAAACTTAATTGATCCTTGAAATTTGTCTATCATTCTAGAGAGAATGCTTGAGAAAGAGACATTTTTAAGAAGACGAGTTACAGTACACCAGGAAGTCAAGAAAGTCGAAATTTAGAAAAAAAACGCCTATTGGTAAAGGAAGGGTGCTGAACACATATACAATACTGTCCTGTGTAAATGGTTTTGAGAAACCTATGAAACAGGTTTCGTGCCACTAGGAAATTCTTGGAAATTGGAAACTTTTATTTTTTCGTCAATTTGTTTATGCAACACTTTGGAAACATGGGGACTATCTCAACAAGTGCGGACTCAAAAAATGTCAAAAATTAAACACTTACTCTGTGTAATGAGACGGATAGAAGTTGCCATGTGCATCCACTTGGATTGTACATCTGAAAAATTGGAAATTTTAGAAAACTGCTACTTATACCAAAAAGCAACAAAAAAATTGGGAGAGCAAAAGACAAAGGGGAAGAAGAAGTGCGCATGATATCAATGCGTTTAAACGGGTCCCTTCAACAATTCTCCCGGGGGGAAAAGAAGAAAAAAAAGAAGAAGATGGCTCACTCTCATACACACACATTTCTCATTTACACTCTGTTGAAAAACGAGAGAAAAAAAAATAGTGAAAAAGAATAGAGTTGGTGTCTGTTTCTTTTTTTTCCTACTTTTTTCTCTTTCATTTTTTGACCTGCCTGACAGATTGGGGTCATTAGTTTTCTGTGTAAAATTAGTTTTTTCTTGTTTCCAAGACATTCATCTGCTTTGAGTTTTTAAAAATGGTCCAGGACTAAAATCAGTACTCTGGGAATTAAGACCTTCGATGTAACGGGCTTTTCAGACTTTTTGGCTTTTGAATACTGTAGAAAATTGTCAGATTATTCTAAAAGGTACTTATGCATCCAAAAAGTTCTAAAGCCTTAGCCTTACAGGGAAAAAAAAGGATCTAGTCATTGAAAAATGGTTGTAATTACCGCAGAACATGTAATCGAAGGGCCCCGTGACTTTTAACTTTGAGCCGATTTTTCTCAGTTTCTGTAAAATATATCAAAAAGTGGTCAACTGATAAATTGTTTATCATAATATCACAAACATTTTATTTGTTGACAAATTTTTGATATATTTCACAGGAATCGAGATAATTAAGCTCAAACTTGACAGTGTGGGGGCCCTTCTTTTACAGGTTTTACGGTTAATATGGATTCAAAAATGTTAAGTTTTACAGGAAAAACGAAGTAGTTTAAATAACGAATGGGTTCTATAAGTTTTCAAAAACCGAATTTCAGACTTACCATAAAACCTGTAATAGAAGGGCCCCCTAACTTCAAACTAACTTATCTCGATTCCTATGCAAGATATCAAAAATGTGTCAGCTGATAAATTGTTTATCATAATAACAGCAATACTTTATCAGTTGGTCAGTTTTTGGTTATTTTCACAGGAATCGAGATAATTAAGCTTGAACTTAACAGTGTGGGGGCCCTTCTATTACAGGTTTTATGGTAGATTTTTTTGTCAATTCAGTTTTTTTCTTTTTTATCAATCTCAATCATGATTTTTTAGTTTTTTTTCGATAATTTCACATTTTCAGACAATATTTTTTCGAATTTTAAAGTTTAGAAAAACTATTAAATCTCACCTCTTCTTCATCCTGATCGACTGGCTCGTGCTCTTCTTCTATACATGACGACGTGCTCGAAATTGAGGTTTTGTACCACGCATCATCTGACGACGACATTTTTTTGGACTGAAAACACTAATTGAAATCGGGAAAAAAAGAAAAAGTATAACTAAAGATGACCACAGAAAAGAGATAATCAAAAATCCGTAATGGTCGTAAAGAGAAGGAGGGGAAGAAAAAAAACTGAAAAAGAAAAAGACTAGAATACGAGAAGAAAGTATAAAATCGATAACGCAATGAGTACAAAAAGGAATACCCAATGTTTGTATAAACAACCTTGACTTGGTATAAATGTTTGTAAAACTCAAACTTATTTGCCTTTACTAGTGCATAGAATATCCGCAAACATTACATTCGACGCCATCAGAAGAAGGAGAAGAAGAAGAAGAAGAAGAGAAGGGGGAAGACGGAGGACAATTGGTGTATTCAGATGAGGGGAGGGAGAGTCGGTAGAATGAAATGTTTGGAGGTGTAACAGTGTTTGTGTGGACCAGGACGGATGGAGATAAGACAAAGAGTTAGATCTTGGAAGAAGAGCCGTGATCTTTGATGGTGTTCCCATTTGACATTATCTTGGCTTTCAAAAATTCATGTCAATTATAGAAAAAAGGGAAACATGAATAACACTTTATTAGTAGAAAACATTATTTTTCACGAAGCGATACGGGGCTCTGGCGGGCCTCCGCTGGCCCTGTCATAGCTTCTTTTAGAATCAATATTTTCAGGCTAACTAAATTGGATATGATGAAACTCGACGAGTTCTACAAAATAACACTATTTTAAAAACTGCATCTTGTCTATGAGCAAAGTTATAGGTCATAAATCTGTGACGGCGTGGCTCAAACGGGATCTGGCTTGTAACTTTGTTCAAAGACAAGATACAGTTTTCTGAATAGTATCATTTTGTAGTACTCGTCGAGTTTTATTATATCCAATTTGATTGGTCTGAAAATATTAATTCTACAAAACACTATAAAAGGGCCGGCGAAGGCCCGCCAGGGCCCCGTTTACATGTACGAAATCTGAACTTTTCTAATTTATCCTTCTTAAAGCAATGCTTTCAAAGTCAAGTAGTGAAAAAAAGTTTGGTATGTCTTCAATAGTGTCGCAACCCTAATTTGGGACAAAGGCTATAAAGTTTTCTGCTTTTCATCTCCTCCTCTGTCCTTTCCCCCCACGTTTCTACCGTATCTCTAATCTGTATATGTTGAACGCCTTAATCAGCTCTCAGTCTAGTTATTGCTTCTCCATCCACATTGGCACACTGCCAAACATGTGTCAACATAGAGAGCCGCGCAGCTGCCGAGTCCAAGTCGTTTGTCAAAATTTGAGCTAGAAAAACTCGTAAGAGAGAAGCAGAGAGGGAAACAAAATCATATATGAACGTCGAATCGACGAATCGAAATCGAAATCGTCTCGAGCAAAACAAACAGAGAGCAACCCAACTCTTTCTGTCTCTCTCGATTCTCTCTTTATTTGAACATCCAACTGTTCTAATTTCACTCTTGGACAAAAAAAAAGGAGTCGTCTTCCCTTAACCGTCGGGTCTTGTTTTTTCACATCCACCCGATTTTTTTTCGTCTTGTCTAGCCTTTACTAAGTGATTGAAAAATAGAAAAAAACTCACAAAGAATGTTTTCAGTAGGCATACATTTACAAACACATAAATCATTTGTACATATGTCCCCCCTATTGTGTGGTGGTGTCCTAACAATTTGATGCAATATGAGAGCCCCGTATATATGCATATACAAACCAATTCATAAATAACTTGTGTTATATATATATATATCAATCACGCCCTTCTCTCTCTCTCTTTTTCTCGCCATTTTTTTAGTGCCTACTTACATTTTTGTGTCAGCTCGATTACCATAACCGGGTGCTGGAATAATTGTCGCTGGTTGAAGTTTTTAGTCAAAAAACGAGGCGAGAAAAACGAAACGCACTGATTCTTATCGGGTGTACAGCAGGGTGAGAAACCCTGCTGTGTCCAGTTTTCTCGGATTTTCAACACTTTTCCACACTTCGATATGTCAAGTGGTGGTTGGTTGGTGGGGCCGCGTCGTTTCCCTAATCCAAGTGAGATCATGTTCAAGAGATTCCAATTTTTTTTTAAATCCGAAAGCTCTAGTGAGTGAGCTACTACCGTAATCCCAGAAGTACCTTTAAAGAATTTTCACGAAAATATTTAGAGTTTTTTATTTTACGACCTAAAAGTTCACGTACAATTTTTGTCTAGCTTCACGTGGATTTTTTCTAGCTCCACGTAGATTTTTTCCACATTCACGAGAATTTTTCTAGCTTCACACAAATTTTTTCTAGCTGGATTTTTTCTAGCTCCACGTGGATTTTTTCTAGCTTCGCGTGAATTTTTTCTAGCTCCAGGTGGAATCATTTTAGCTTCACGTACATTATTTCTAGCTCCACGTAAATTGTTTCTAGATTAAACACAAATATTTTCTAGCTGGATTTTTTTAACCTTCACGTAAATTTTTTCTAGCTTCACGTCAATGATTTCAAGCTTCACGTGTATTTTTTTAAATTTAAAATCTACGGCTTTCAATTTTCCAATCCGGCTTCACGGTGACATTTTATTAACCCAAATTGTTAGATTTTAAATTTAACCCAAATTTATCGTATGGATAATTAAGTAGACTCCCAGTAGACGTTCTAAACCGTTAAATTAAATTTCTACAAACCCACCGGCGCGGGGCACAAGGAAAAGAGTTATCCTGAATTTCAATCTCCAGATAAGAACAGTGTGTTGACCGAGATTCCGCCTCAAGATGCTGCTGCATTTCATTTGGAAAAACCGTGTGTCTCATTTTTCTCACCCATAAATGACGGGAACTTTTTGCGAGCTTCTCTGTTCTGTTTATCAGTTCGTCCAGTCGAAAAAAAAACCGCCTACATGTATAAAAATGTTTGTTCAGACAGCCTCCTGATTCAATCGAATGGAATTTATATTCTCTATTTATTTCTCTATATAGGTAGTACTGTAAAATTTCACTATAGTAAGAAAGCTCTACTGTCTTGATTGCTGATACTATGCTCAATGGTGTTTGCCACGTTTCCGGTCCAATGAGGGTCACCACCACCAGTGGGCCCCGTTCGAAAGCGCACTTTTTGTCCGTTTTGCACACACACTGTTTGAACAAGTTATTATCCCTCACAGCTTACACTCTTGACGACTTTCTCTCCCACCGGGCATTGTTTCATGCCTTCTCACTCTTCACACGATTTTCTTCAGGGAAATTGCATTTCACTTTTTTTTTCATGTGTTGTACAAATCGTTGCGGTTGTCTAATTAGTGTTCGTTCTGCGTTTTATGTTCTCTTTTAAACGAGATTCGCAGTTTTATGCTAAATTAGCTTTTTTTGAGAAAAAAAAACTAAGCGAGACACAATACGATTTCGAGAGACCTAGACAAAATTCTGAGGTTTCGCGTGCTTGTGTTTGCGGACCATTGAAACCGCGCCAGGTTCTGGAATTCAAAAATACTGCGTTTCTCCTTTTTTCCAGCATTTTAGACATTTCCTCCTCATCCCGCTTGTCGCAAGCCACCTCCTCCCCCTATTAGATTTCATTTCATCTCATTTCTCTCTCGAAAAATTTGACAAATCGCTTGACGGCATCCAGTTTTAGAATAGTGAGTGAGAAGACGTCGTCATCACTTCTCCAAACGCAACGCATACTATTATGAATAAATCGCATCGCATAAACCGTTTTGCCTGTGTCGTCGTCGTCGTCTCTTGATTCGTTTCCGATTACACGTTGCCTCTCGATCCCACCACTCTACAGATTTTTATGATTGTATTATATGTTGTTAGTTGGTTGGTATGTGTGTATATCTGTGTTTGTATCTTTTCTCGTGTTCCCTGTACCTCTGCGGGATTTCTAAATTGGAGACGTCGGGCCTGTGTTCACACTGCCCGATTCGTCTCGTTTTCTCTGTCTTCTCTCGTGTCCACCGCGCCTTTTTTGGAGTGAGAGGAACTGTCTCATCACACACACACACATCCTCCACCACCATCCCACCAGATGTTTCCTTTTTTTCAAAACACATTTCGCAATTTTTTTTTGAAATTTTGAATTTGAATCAAAACCCTTATTTTTTGAATTTGGCGCCAAAATTTGGGCGTCTCAGTTGAAGCAGAACAAACCATTTTAGCCTAAAACTTTAATTTCAAAATAAATTCCAGTCAAAAAAGTGCTGAAATTGGTGAAAGTCAGCGAATTTTCACATGTTTCGACTGGAATTTTTTCAGAATTTTCAGCTTATTTTTTCTAAAGATTATGGGCGTAGTCTATAACCGATTTCCTGTATTTGGCGCCAATATCACAAAATTTAGACTTTTTGCCCAATTTTTGAATTTGGCGCCAAACTCATTTTTTCGAATTTGCTGCAATTTTTCGGACGTACAAGTGGAAGGGATCAAGCCTTATAGGCCTAATCCTGGAGTTTTGGAAAAAAATTCCAGCCAAAAAAATACTGAATTCTGCAAAAATCGGCAAAATTTTCATATTTTTCGCAGAAATTTTTGATCCGAAATTTCTTATTTCTTGTCTGAGATTCCAAAGAATCTGAGTGAAAATTTCGACTTCTTTCTATCTTCTCTATTTCTCTCGCCTCTCACTCATCGGCTTTCTTGATTTCTTCCATTTTTCTACTTTTTCCCTGAATAATCGTCCCAGTACCCCTATCATTTTCCAGCAATGGCAGACGCTTACCAAATCCAATCAAATGGCGGCGATTCGCTGTCGAAACCGCTTCTCGAGCTTTACGTCAAAGCGTCTGGAATCGATGCGCGGCGCATTGGAGCCGACTTGTTCTGCCAGGAGTTCTGGATGGAACTGTACGCTCTGTACGAGATTGGCGTAGCGCGTGTCGAAGTCAAAACCGTCAACGTGAATTCCGAAGCGTTCAAGAAGAACTTCCTGGGTGCACAGCCACCGATCATGATCGAGGAGGAGAAAGAGTTGACTTACACTGATAATCGAGAGATCGAAGGGCGCATCTTCCACCTGGCAAAGGAGTTCAATGTGCCACTCTTTGAGAAGGATCCGTCGGCTGAGAAGAGAATAGAGAACTTGTACAGAGTGAGTTGATTTTGGCAGATTTTTTGATTTAATTCAAATGTGTAATTCGGGCCTCGGCGGACCCTGTCATAGTTCCTTTCATAATCAATATTTTTGGACCAACTGAATCAGATATGATAGAAATTGACGAGTACTACAAGATGATACTATTGAGAATGCTGTATCTTGTCTATGAGCAAAGTTATGCGCCATAAAACTTTTTGGCTTATAACTTCATTCATAAACAAAATACAGGTTTCCAATTAATATCATTTTGCAGTACTTTTCAAGTTCTATCTTATCTATTTTAGTTGGTCCAAAAATATTGATTATGAAAGAAATTATGACAGGACCCGCAAATTGAAATTCATTGATTTTTTTCTAGAACTTCAAACTCTTCCTGCGCGCCAAAGTCGAATTTGACAAGGGAAAGAAGGAGCCATCGAGAGTGGAGGACTTGCCAGCACAGATCAAAGTGCATTACAACCGTGTCTGTGAGCAGCTCTCCAATATTGATCAGCTGTTATCCGAGAGAAAGACACGCTACTTGCTTGGAAACAGTATGACAGAGTATGACTGTGAATTGATGCCACGTCTTCATCACATTCGTATCATTGGGTTGTCGCTTCTTGGATTCGACATCCCACACAATTTCACTCATCTCTGGAACTACATTCTCACCGCTTACCGTACCGCGGCGTTCATTGAGAGCTGTCCAGCCGATCAGGATATAATTCATCATTATAAGGTAGGAAAGATATATAAAAACGGATTGTTCTGTTGATTTTCGGTCATTTTGACAAATTTCACGAGTCTGGAGCTCAATTTTCAAGTTTCTGAACTTTTTGAAAAATTTGGATAATGCAAAAAAGAGCTAGATTGAAAACAACTTTGCATTTGTAGAATTTTTTGAGAACTACTTTTATTTTCAATTTCTGAAAGACACTTTCGACCCGTTTTCGGCCCGATTTCAGTACAAAAATAGCTGAAAACTAGGAAATTTCGAAAAAATTTATTTTCTAAATTCGAAAATTTAAATTCCTCTCGCTGATTTGTCCACGAGGAGTACAAAACACGAAATCTTCAATTTTATTTTTTTGTTATCGTAAATCCGACTTTTCATGATTCCTAGCGATTTTACACCGAAAAATTGAATTTTAAGCTGATTTGTAACCCAACATTTCAAATTTCGCGTGTCGAATTGTCCACGAGGAATACAAAATCCAAAATCAATCAAAATCCCGATTGGTCGAATTTCAATGATTTTTAGTCATTTTTAAGCACACCATTTCAAATTTGATACTGTGCTTATTCCGTTTTTAGTGCAAAACTGGCCAACAGGGGGTGTCTTTCAGGAATCGCCAAATAGCTGAAAAACTAGGAATTTTCAGAAAATTCTGCAAATGCAAAGTTTTCAATCTAGGTCTGTTTTAAGCCCTTCAAAATTTTTGAAGTGATCGGAAACTTGACAACCGAGTGCTAGGCTTCTAAAAATGCCCGAAAACGAACTTTATTAAGAAAATCGCAAAACAATTTTTTCAGGAGCAACTGAATCTGTTCACAAACCAGCGAGAAACGCTCCAATCGCCCACGAAAACCCATACGATTCCAGAAAAGGTGCTCTCGGATATTCGTGTCAAAGGACTCGCACCAGATGTGAATGTTCACTAGAATACACACCCTCGACCGTCTAATTCTCTACTCCCTCCTATCTCTCTCTCTATCTCATTCTATTTCCTTTCCATTCCTCCCTGGCTTCCCCCGTTTTCCCTCTTTTCGCACCAACGATCGATTTGTTATTTTCTCAAAAAAAAAAACATAATATTTGCTTTTTTTAACTCTATTCCTCTCTTGCTCAATTTACCTGGAAATTCGACGCAAAACCCTATCATATTGTTATTTTTGTGTTATCTCTTGCCATTTTTTCTCATATATTCCTTCTTCTTCTTTTCATAATCCTGTTATTTTACACTCGAATGAATTCCGATTCCCGATTCAAATTAATTAGAAAAAAGAACAGTTGAATTTCGTGCAACCGTATTTCCCTTTTTTTTCATAGAATTATAGAAAAAAATTCTGAAATTTCAAGATAAACAATGGCGAGTAGGCCACGACGAAGTCAAACACGGCTAACGCCTTCACCGGCGGTGGAGATTAAGCCGTCGAGAATTGAGATGGCGATGGAGGATCATGAATTGTTAGTGACTGAGGAACATATAGTGATGGAGGAGGAACGATTCGGATTCTCATTTCAAGAAGAGCCACTGACAGCTAAAGAGTGTGCAGAGAAAATGGAGACGTTTAAAGTACGGTTCTCATTACTCTATAATAAGTGCATGCGCCTTTAATACCGTATCTCGGAATTATTCAATTTTGGATTTTTCCTCAATTTTGCTGAAATTACCGTAAAACCTGTAATAGAAGAGCCCCCACACTGTCAACTTTAAGCTCAATTATCTCGATTCCTGTGAAATATATCAAAAATTTGTCAACTAATAAAATGTTTGTGATATTATGATAAACAATTTATCAGTTGACCACTTTTTGATATATTTTACAGTAACTGAAAAAAATCGGCTCAAAGTTAAAAGTCACGGGGCCCTTCGATTACATGTTCTGCGGTAATTACAACCATTTTTCAATGACTAGATCCTTTTTTTCCCTGTAAGTACTGAAATTCGCGAAAATCAGTGAAAATTACAAATTTTTCGGAGAAATTTTCTTTTCAATATGTTTTTTAATAAAAAATATTTTCAAAAAAACTATAGGCTCAGGCTAAAACACATTTTTGCCTGCCCCAAAAAATCATAAAATAGGCTAAAACCCCAATTTTTACAGACAAAAGAACAATTTCTGGAATCCATCCACGTTGGAGAAGCTGTGCGATTTCTGACCAAAGTGCTAATTGGACGAAACAATGAACCACTGCAATGTATAAACTGTGACAGAATATACACAACATCCTCCGGCTATTGGATACACTTCCAGAAGTGTAACAAAAAATCAGACAGCGAGATTGCGGCGGAAGTGGAAAAGTTGAGAAGTGCGCCGATTCTATGGCTGAAGGTCTCGGCGAGAGATCAGGAGAAGACACTCAGGCATATTGTGGGCACTGAATACAAGTGCTTTGTGCAGGGATGCATGAAAAGTTTCAAAACTCCAAAAGCTTTGATCAATCACTTGGATAGTTGTGTTAGAGAGGGATATTACCAGTTCAAAGATCGTCCTGATGATTTTCGATCGCTTCCCAGTAAAGCCAAAAATGCGTATATTAGAGCAGGATTGGATCAAAATAATGGATCACTGGGATGTTTTTTGTGTGGTCGAGAGTACAGTTTTCCGCACGGATTGATTTATCATATTGATCGATGTGGAGTCGAGGAGGCGCTTCAACCATGGAAGTGCTATCGATGTGGTTTTGAGACGAAGCGGGGAGATTCTGAAGCCCATCGTGCGGAGTGCGTCCAGCAGGTGGAGACGAAGAATTTCGATACAAAGATGGAAGCGTCGGTGTTGAGGTGAGCCTAAGCGTCAGGCGTAATTTTCTCAAATCCATCAGAATGTGTATGTAGATTCACATAGAAACAAAGAGAACATTCAAAAAATTCATTCAGAAAACTGAAAAATCGCTTTGAGTCCATTTCTAGAATCGTTTTTGAACTCCCGCCAAACTGAAAACTCCGAAAAATTATTGATTTTTTTGCAAAATTTTCAGACCTTTTTCAGCTATTTTCAAAGATTTTTTTTCGATTTTCCGACTTTTTTTTCTGAAATTTGAATAAACGGTGTTTGTGAAGATTACTGTAGATTACTGTAGTAAGCTTTTCTCTGCATTTTGACGTGATGGTGTTTGCGAAAAAAACAACTAAAATAAGAAATACGTTTTCTACAGTAACCTACAGTAATCCTCACGAACACCGTTCCATCAAATTTCAGACGAAAAATAAGGAAAAATCAAAAACGAAGCTTCGAAAATAGCTGAAAAACCAAAAAAGGTCTAAAAATTTTGCGAAAAAAAACGAAGAAAAAATAAATGTTTCTTTCGGAAAATCGAAATTTCAAGTTTTGGCGGGAATTCAAAAAATACGGTTCGAGAACCATCTAAAAGTTTCCAGAAATGTTTTCAATAATAAGCCCCTTTGAAATTAGTCGAATCTGAAATTTCCAGCCTCCTGAACGGCAACAATGGTGATGAAGCCGTCACAGATGACACCCCAGAAGTCATCCCAACGTCCACAAAACGCCGACGAACTACTGGAGGACCAGCTCCTCGTGTGACTGCTCGAAAAGACGGAACCACTCTGCTAAGATTCCGAAAATCCACAGTAAATCGGCAATTCAATGGTATCGTTACTCAAAAAGATCAGAATTCCTATGAGGAGACGTGCCAGGCTGTGTTCGAGACTTGGAAGACGGATTCTGACAACGTGGCATTCTGTAATCGACTTCAGCATATTCTGCCAAGCGAGTGGAAAACGGAAAATTTGGAGAGTACCAGCCACTTCTATCCGATATTCAGTCGTCAATCAGTGACGATTGCAACGGAAAAAGCAGAAGGATTGCAGACGACAGTTCCAGAAGGAATTCGAATTGATTCTAGAAAAAGTGAAGTGCTGGATCGAGCTACAGTAGCTTACTGTGGAGCCCCGATCAATGGAATTCAAGTGGCACCTGGTAAAGCGTCAGATGCCTCTGGTGAAGCATCAGATGACGTCATTTGTGTCACCACTTTTGCCAATGAGACGAATTTCGAATCGGATTCAAGTGTGGTCCAATTCTGGAGACATCGTTTGGCAGAGGAGGATAAAAATGAACTGAATCTCTGGTTCCTCTTACATATTCCAAACCATGGAACTATTCTCTCGATGACGTGGCTTCAGAAGCACGACACCTCGGAACCTGGATTAATTGGATTTATAGCCTTCTCCACGACTATTGGTCGGGTGCTCATCTATCGAATTGATTCTTCCAATGTCGCTTTTGATAAAGAAGCTCACAATTCATTGCACACTGTTCCCATTGTCACTGCCGAACCCCATCTGATTTTAAAACTACCCAAAGTGGATGACACGACGCTGGATGAGTCTTTTCTGAATGCAACTATCAAAGTGGAAGGGGAAGAAGTGGTTCTTCCGATGCAAATCGATGAATCTGTGGTCCCCCTGACGAGTATATCTTGGTCTGCGCATGGAGGTGGTGGAGTATTGGCGGCGATCACGGCGCTAGGAGCCATTGCGATTTGGAATTTGGACGATGAAAGCGATAATCCTAGAGTTCATATTGGTCCGAGTTGGAATTCGCCGCCCACGGAAATATCGTTTTTGAACTTCGACCATCTTGTCATTGGATTCAAAGAGCGTATTGTGAGAGTGGTGAATATCGATACATGGGATGTGAAGTTGGAGGATAGTACGATGAAAACCGCAGGTCAGTGACCATCTAAAATTCAAATTATCGGAAAAATGTTCAAAGTTTTAGAAAATCTTGTTTTTGAAGCTAGTTATGATCACACCAAATTTCAAACTTGGTGACCTAGTTTTGGGTTCCTAGGCCACCAAACTGGAATGGGTGTAACTTGCTGGGATTGTGATTCTAACACATAAAAATGTGTAGAAAATCATGGAGATTAACGTATCATAGAAATTTGTAAAATCTCGAAAAATCGCTTCTCATCCATTTCTGGAAACTTCCGGAAGGTTCTGGAATTGTTCTTGAATTCCCGCTAACACTTTAAATTCTGAAATATTAGCGGTTTTGTGCGATTTTTTCTTTCATTTTTGGCTCCCGGACGTTTCAGGACCCAACGTTTCGAAACCACGACGTTTCAGAACTTTTCTGCATTTTTGCATAGTGGTTTTTGCACACCAAACGAGTTTTGCTCATTTCAATTTGTTGTTTTTCTGCTCGGCTCCGGGAAGTACCACAACCCGACGTTTCAGAACTTTATATAACTGAAGCTCTGGGGAACATCGGGTACTGAAACATCCTGGAGCTTCAGATATATAAAGTTCTGAAACGCCGTGGTTCCGAAAAGAAGTTTCCAGAAATGTACTTGAAGCGATTTCTGAATTCGCTGAAAAACTCTGAAACAGCTTTAAATGACTCAAAATGCCCGAAAAATCTTTAAAACCGGTCAGAAATGCCTGAAAATAGTCAAAAATTGGTCTGAAAACGTCCAAATCTGGCATAGAAATGACTAAAAAAAGCCGGAAATAGTGTAGAATCGATCGGAAATTGATTAAATGCTGCTGAAAATGGCTTAAAATGACCCGAAATTGGCTGAAAATTTATGGATTTTTAGATGTTGATGTATTAAAAAATGTGAAATCCTCTCAACTTGACTTTCTTTCCAGGAACCCGCGTGCGTGCTGACTCCAGAATCCTTCACAGCTTCTTGACCTGGAACAGCGAGTACAACTCATTTCCATATTCGAACGCCATGAGTGTCTCCTATATTAATATGGACATGGATTCGATGAATATGATAATAATACCAACTGCTAATACGTAAGAGCTTTTGAGCCAGAAACATCCCTACTAGATTTTAATTTCCAGTCACCAACTGATGATTTGGGATGTGGCAATGTGTGCTCCACTGGGTACCCTAATATCCTGCGGTGTTGACGGACGACTCGTGGCTTCTGCAACTGGACGTCTTCTGAAAAACATGCATCATCCATTCTTTGCGAATCGAAACTTGCTACAACTGAAACGCCGTCGAGTGCTGAAGGTGGAGATGAAAATGGCAAAGGTTGAAGGAGAATCGGCGGAGAAAGAAAAGGAACAGCTAGCAGAGAGTATTGTGGAACATGACGACGTTTGTCGGAAGATGTGGTTGGATATCGAATTCGATCAAGTGTTCGAGCCAACACGTGTCGAGCTATCCTGTCGAGATCAGCGAATTGAGTCGTTGAATTGTGTCGATGCTACTGCAAATGCCACGTTTCCAGTGTCGTTTACCGGTGGAGAGGCTGGACTGATGTTTGTAGTGCCGAGCAAGCTGCTTGTTCAACAAATGGATCTCTAAACAATTTTTACCCTTGTTATATTTCATTGTTGTTGTTTAAAACTTGTTCTTGAATGAATCATTTACTTTCGTGTCGAGATTCAAACCACTATTTTATAGACTGTAATAACTGTAGAACAGGGAATTTTATTTTTTGTTTATTTCTTGTTGTTTAGAATAGCTTTTTGCGACCCTAAAACTTCGAAAAATTGACATTTTTCATTGTCGAAAAGCAAATAATGCAAACGCGCTCCGACGAACACTCGAAAAATAGCAGGCGATTTGAAGAGAGTGCAGAGAAACAATTTCAGAATTTTTCTTCATTTTTCTAGTCCTAGCCCTATGTTTCAATCTCGATTTTTCATCAGACACTCCAGCACATATGTCACATCTCCTATTTTTTATGCAAATGCTGGTAAGCTCTAATTTCTAGGAATTTCGCAATATTTCCAAATCTCAGAACCTCACATCGGGCACGCCTACACAGCAGTGTTGTGTGACACTGCTCATCGATGGAATCAGTTGAAGAATTTCAAGGATAAAGAATCGAAAGCATTGTTTTCAATAGGAACCGATGAGCATGGGAGTAAGGTAGGCTAAATGGCTACGGAAATCTTGAAAATTTTCGAAATTTCAGATTTTCCAAGCCTCACAGCTCGCCGGAACAACACCCAAGCAGTTTTGCGATCAAGTATCTTCAAAATTCTCCACTCTTTTCGACACACTAAACATCTCGCACACAAACTTCATCAGAACTACTGACCCAAAGCATGCAGAATCTGTGCAGCACTTCTGGAGGGTACTTCAAGACAGAGGACACATCTACAAAAGCAGTTATTCTGGATATTATAGCATTTCTGAGGAATGCTTCATTCCTGAGAATGAGGTGGAGGAGAATGCGGAAAACAAGATGGTTCTGAAGACAACAGGCACCGCTGTGGAATGGATTGAAGAGGAGAATTATATGTTTCGGCTGTCGGAATTCCGAGAAAAAGTGGGCGAATGGATTGAGAAGACGGACGTTGTGTGGCCTGTCAAGTACAAATCGCTGGCTCTGGATAGTTTGACGTTGGACGGCGATTTGTCGATTTCAAGGGCGAGAAAGCGGCTGTCTTGGGGCATTTCGGTACCCGACGATCCCTCGCAGACAGTGAGATTTCTGTTTCTTATTATTTCAAAGTAGGGTTTCTACAGATTTACGTATGGCTGGATGCCTTGGTGAATTATTTAACTGTCTCGGGATACCCAAAAGATAGACTTGTATGGCCACCAACCTGCCAGGTTATTGGCAAGGATATCACAAAGTTAGTTCTTTAGAAATTCCTATTTTTCCAATTCCAATTTTCAATGTTTTTTTGAATTTATTTGAAAAATCGCTAAAAATCGCTAAAAAGCGAGACAATCTCAGTTCTCGTCCATTTCTGGAAACTTCTGGAATGGTTCTCTGGAAAGTTCGCCCAAACTGAAAACTCCGAAAAATTAGCTACCGTAAAACCTGTATTAGAAGGGCCCCTCTAATAGAAGGCCCCCCCCGAGAGGGGTTTGGAAAAATAAAAGGGCCCCCGTAATATTGTCGTATTAAAAAAAAGTGACACCTGAGAATTTGAAAACCGTCGCATTTTTTGATCTACGAAAAAGTGCGGCAAAAACATAAAATTTCAGACTTTCGCCTCGTTCGAGCTACTTTCGCAATTAAGCTCAGTTTTTTTTGCTGAAAATAGATTCTAGAGATGCTAGCGATCATTTTCATAAAAAGAAATCAAAAATTTGTTCAGAAAATTCCACTAAATTCACAAAAATAAATTTGTTATTTACAGTATCCATTTTCGCTCCGCCCCCTCGTAAATCGACACGAGCGCCGGCTCCGAGGTTTTCAGGTGTCACTTTTTTTGATTCGACAATAGAAGGGCCCCCTGTAAAGATGGTCCCCATTCAAGACAGTCATAAAATTAAAAAAATTCCGTACGTTTTCAGTGAAAAATATTCCGGGAATTCTAAAATTTAAAGGGGGACTCGGACCAAAAATTTTTATTGCATTAAAATGTGTTAAAAGTTATCTATTTTCCGAATATTATTGCGAAAAAATTCAAAAAAATCCGAATTTCCCGAAAAACGGCGTTGAAAAGGAAGAAAATTCAAAAAAAGGTGCCGCCGGGGGACGAGGATTTTAAGTGAGAAACCTAGGCCACGGCAGCGGGCGCCTTTCCTACGTGGCAAATTTTCCGGATTTTTTCAATTTCATGTCCGGCAGGTAAAAAACGT